ACGTTTAGATTATATTCTTCACGTTGGTATGTTTGCACGGTGAAGAATCAGAGGTATGGGAGCCCACGGGCTGCTGCCATTGACGCGTAATGGCAATGCATCTTTAATATTTTTTGACTGGTTATTCGTCTTCAGTATAAAGACGGGCAACAGACGCATAATATACGTCGGAACGATTAATGTTCAGTTTTTCGTCTTAGAGACGCATAACCAACAGTAGTTGGTCGAGACGCATAATACGTCTGTTGCCCGTCTTTATACTGAAGAGAATAACCAACCAAAAAATATTGAAGACGCATTATGCGTCTCTAGTGTGAAAACGGCCATTTGTGTAAATGTATACTTTGCCACGAATATTGATAGTTTTCGCTTTCATTCTGAATTCTAATTCAGCCAAAAGCTTGGGTACGAGGTTTTTATCCCGTCTGTAGCCAAAATACAGGGTGTATAAAATAACGTATAGAAACAATAATTAACTCAATTCATGCTTGAATATTTCTAATTTAATATAAATTTTTTTATACATTACGTGTGTATGGAGTAGCATATGATTGTTATCAATTGTTTACGTCTGAGACTGGTTAAGTACCGTAAAAAATACTCGTTTCGCTGTCGCAGCGTCAATTGCATCATTTTAGGGACATGTCCCAGGGCTCGGAAGCTTTCCACCAATTGGATAATGCTTTTCTATGCTTTCTAAAGTACGAAGCTATGCTATTGGTTGAAACAGAAACGTATTGTAAAGTTCAGCCAATGAAATTCATTCTTGCGAGGAGCTGCAACACTACCCTCATTTTACGACAGACAGAAAAACAAGCAGAAATCAGTATTGCAACAAATCAATAATGAATATTCTCGACGCGGGCGAAGGCTATGCCAAAAGACACCACGTTTATAGAAGAAGTTCCAACTAAGACGAAGAAGTGCTGAAGATGTTACAAACTCGTTTGATTCCGATTCAAATCGAGAAATTGATGAATTCAAGCGTTGAGAAGCAATGCGAGTTGAAGATTCTTAGTGTTGGCAGCGGAATAGGTGCTGTGGATTTGAAATTTGTGGAAATTCTACTCGAGGAATTGAAGAAACACAGCTCTGATGATCAAAACACGACGATATATCTGCGAGTGGTTGAACCGAATTCATCTTCGTGCAAACAATTCAGCGACGCCGTAGAAGCGCGTCGAGATTTGCCAATCCACGTCGACATTCGTCAAAGTTTCAAGAATACATTCAAAATGAGCAAAACGCAAGCACTACATTTGACATAATACATTTTATTCACAGCGTTTACTTTGTTGTAGAGGAAAAAGCGATTTCTTACTGTTTGGAAAAGCAATTGAAAGATCAGGGTTGTCTCTTTTTCGTGTTTTCTGATGAGGTTATAATAAGGCAAGTGGCACTTAAAACAGCGCCAGAGCGGAGACGACCTAATGACAAGTTGGCAAACATCGCCGGAAAAATTGGCCCCAAATTGATTGAAATTGTTGAGAAAAGTGGCAGGAAGTATGAAGTATATTCAAATCAATATCCAGTTGATGTGTCAGAAATCTTCGTCGGATCAGAGAATGGTGACCTGCTTCTTGACTTCATAACTCAAAAAGTCGACTTTCGCAAGAATGCCGATGCAAGTTTGGTTGATAGAGTTCTGGCAGTGATCAAAAACGCGAGCTTCGTGAAGGATGAAAAAAACTTTTGCATGCAAACTGACACTCTGATGATCGTGCACAAATAGAATATCGGAATGATGGTGTGCAATAAAAACGAAATATGACGAACTTGCATGTTCCTATCTTGTTATAACCTTGTGTGTTTTGTATTTGTTAATGAATATCGGTCGGCTGCAGTTTTTGTCTTTTGAAACAAATAAAGGGTAAAGTCGTAGTCGTAGATCATAAAAAAACGTTGAATACATATCATATATGCCACCTTACCATTTTGTGACATTATTTTTAAAACATTGGCGCGTCACTGATCTTATTTGACTGTTCAGTAGTTGAGTTTAAATGTGAAACTCAGTGACTGATATCTCTTGGTTATTAGGGGGAAAAAGAGACTTGATGTGCACTGAAAATTAATAAGAGCAAGTGAAAATAAAGGGACAAAAGGGGGCGAGGGGTGAATTGCCTCCTCTACAAACCCTAGCCCAGTGAACTGTAATGAAACCTAAAACGCTAACTTCTATAGTTCAGCGTAATAGTTTATTGAGGCCAAAAATTGAAGCAATCGTTTCTCGGTCAATTTTTTGATAAAAATTAGCAAATGATTGTATTTTACATAGTTCTAGACATTTCTAGATAATCACTCTCTGCGTCTGTCTGACTGTCTCGAACGTTAAAAAACTCGAAAAAGCTACCTTCAAATTTGGCTTCAAAGATGGCGGCCGCCAAGTTAGCGTTCCAGGTTTTATAACAGTTCACTGCCGATTTTAAGAAATGGAAATTTCTGTCCGAAGCCCAAGTGGAAACACGACGTCGAGAAAATTTAAAACGATCGTATAATTATGCAAAATGGCCGAAATGCGAGAATTTGTTGTTTGTCAATTTTGCCAAGAAGAAGTTGAGAAAAGCAAATTTAAAGCATGCGATGCCTTTCAATCATGTCCACAGTGTGGTTCTGTCCTGTCCGAAGAGCAAGTTTTCAACTACGAGAAGACGAATGCGGAAAGTAATCGACTAACAAATACACTCAATGTAACCGACTTCAAGCGTGATTTTAGACGACCACAGCATCGGCCGAACGCTTTGACTCCTTCAGAAACCGCTTTAAAAGTAATTGTGCTCGGTATTTGCGAGAAACTAAAGCTTGCTAAGGAAATTACCAGCCAAGTAGAAACCTTTCTACTGATCGAAGCAAATCAAGCCTGGCAGTTTTGTAATATGCATAGAAAATATCGCCTGGCTGGTGCATGCACTTATATCGTATGCCGAAATAATAACGTTAGTGTAACGTGCAAGCAAATTGCTGTGGCAACAGGTTGCACTCTTTCTGAGTTGGGTAGTGTTATAAAAGAAGTTGAGAGGGTATTTGACTTACATCCTCCACCAACCACAGTTGAAAGTTTGATAACCCAAACATGTGATGGTTTACCTTTTGCAAAGGAGTGTGAGGAGTTGGCACTACAGTTGTGCCGTATTAGCAGTGAATCTATGGTTCTTGTTGGTACTGTGTTGCCCCAGGCTATTGCATACTGTGTCTTGGCTAGCCTCGCGGTCAACAAAGGAACGAAACAAGCCACTGAGGTTTCAAATCTATGCCTAAAAATGTCTCAAGTAACGGAACTTACTGTTGTGCGTTGCATTAGGTTGCTCAAAAACTACATGATTAGACTGTTGGAAGTGATACCCTGGGTTAACATGAAACATGTCAAAATGGCTAACATTCATTATTTCATTAAAGATATTGTTAAGTATGAAGATACTTGCGGCAAGTTTCCCGCAGAAGCTGCCACACCACAATGGTGTCAAGAAAAAGAAAGTGAAATACGAATGAGAGATGAGAAAATACAGAATGCATTAAAGCGCATAGACCATCGCCAAAATTCTAGTAGCGCAGGGGGTTCAGATTTTAAAAACTTGGTCACCTTAGACTCAACAACAACCTCAGAAGAGAATGTTTCTTCAGAGGCAAACAGTTCTACCTTATCTCAAACAACAGAAAACATGGGACACAATGTCACCATGGGTTCAACTGCCATGGATAAAACATTAGACAGAGAAGACACTGTTATTGAGGAGTTATTAGAACTTGGTTGCACGCCTCAACAAGTGCGGGAAGGGTATTATCATAACCTTAAGCTGTGTTGTTTGCCAGTGAATGAGAAAATTGAAGAATCAGAAATTGATTCTTATGTGAGAAAGCCAGAGGAAGTTAATAAGCTTAAACGAGTAAATGTCTCAGAATTTGCCCCAAAAAGGAAGAAAACACGGAGGAGAAGAAGAAAGGATCCTGCCCTGATGCTAAACAATACATAAACAATAAATGTATATTTCGCATATGTTTTTCTACTGTTAAGTCTAAATTGGGTTATCATTGTGGTCTATTGCTACGTCAAATTGGTTATATTTTTGTGTTGAAGATATTAAAATCTTTGAGAAAAATATTCAACCCAAGTAACAAAGTAACATGTAATAACTGATATTTTAGATGCACACCTAACCAGGGGCACAGAAGCCACCTTTTGGCATAAAGTCTATTATTGTCGTTGGAAATATTGAATTTTAATCACTGAGCTCTATGAAAGTCCCTGTAGGTGTAGTTGCTATATCCAGTGTATGCTCAAATCAGTGTTGCTATATCCAGGGCAGTGTATTATTAAATCAGTGTTAGTAACTTTTAAGTGAAATCATATTAACTATGGTGAAATGGTGTTACTATGTATACCCAGTGTATTATCAGTGTTGCTTACTATATCCAGTGTATTATCAGATCAGTGTTGCTATATCAAGTATGTATTATCAGATCAGTGGCCAGTGGGGGACAGTGGTAATTTCACATTTAATTATTTTGAACCTAGTGTTTAACAGTTTATCGGTAAATATCGCGTTAAATTTAATTTATTCTTAAGCTCTTGTATGAAATTTTGTATCAAATGACACGTGCATTTTTCCTTACTCTTCGACATAGAAAGATATTTCAATTTAATCGCAGTAATTTAAACCTTGAGGCTGAACTAAACCGGAAGAGGTTCTTTGCTTAGTTTGTGACTATGACTTATATAATACGACAGAGTATTAAATTGTTTACAGTTGTACTAATAACAAGTGTGGAACCCCTTTGTAGAAAATGAAGCACTGCAGCCCCCCCCCCCAGTCAAACGAGTCAATCTCTGAAAGGGAACTTTATAGCAGGGAACAATATTATGTACAGTACCATGTATGTAAGAAATATAAACACGAGAGCACCTTTCATAGTGAAAAGGCTCATTATGACTGAGATAAGTACTTGATAAACACGAGTATATACAAGTATATATTGTTATAATATAGACTATAGAGGCAAACCTGGTTCTAGATCTCAACTTGTTGCGTACCAAGTTCAAACCACCTTGCAGTCGAGACGCCAGTTTATCGACTTTATCGCCAACAGTAGGGTCAATGACAACAACGTTAGATTCGACCTTGACGAGTGAGGATTCGCCATGAAATAACACCCCTTTCTCGCTCATCTTTAGGATTATAATAACGCAAAGCACACGGCTACAACACAGCCAAACTTCACGTAAAGATTTCAAAGGATAACCGCTCAAACATTTGCATAGAAGTTTGTTTTGAGATTTACGAGGTACTACAAATATTTACATGACATTTGACAAAATCTTTTTGACTCTATTTGTGGGGTCAAATTCCACCACAAACACTTCGACTGTCGTTGGACCTGGAGGAAGCGAATAACATGACTTCCTGCTCAATATTTCAAGACGAAGCATGGAAGTTAAAAATTTTAATCTAACCATGCGAGATGCTAATAGTCCCAGCAGGTACCGGTTTGATATGTAAATTTTGCCTGACTAAAGAAAATTATGCTTCAATTACTTTTTCGGCAAATTTATATCTAAACAAAGATCGTTGTTCAAATAAAAATAATTGTTGTGAATGTTTAGCCTTCGTCATGATTTCCTAGGCTACGAGACGCAGGCGATGATTTTCTTAACGGCGACAGTACTGATAATAGCCGAATTCATATTAGAGACGGAAAACTCGTCTTTGGGCAAGCCGAACGTGGGATTTCGTCATCGAAGACGGGAAACACGTGTGAATTGAATCCGGTCACAGATAGTTTCTCGTCCGAATTGTCCCGTCTAACTTTCCCGTCTAAACAGACGGATAAGTTGGAGTGTTGGACGGGAATCTCGTCTGCACGAGAAACTCGTCTTAAATTCGTATTTAGACGGATAAATCAGACGAGTTTCACTTAAGGGATATCAACACGGTCAAGAGCCGTCTCTTAATTAATTTTGAATAAACAAAATGATTATCGTAATGATTACGATATCTTTTTTAACATTACCCGAGCCCTACATTAGTTATACGACCCCATACGAACCCTATTCATATTAAGACCAGTTTTTACTACCAACTTCCCGTCACCAAAATATGAATTCGGCTAATGGCTATAAATAATATTAGATCAGTGGCCGATATTGGTCTCGTCTCGCGATCTTACGCGAGACTAAAGGCTAATTTCCACTCCGGAAAACGAGCAGCGGATCGGATCGGATTTTTTTCCGAGCTGGTCCGATCCATGAAGTGATTTCGGATCGGATAAAAAAAAGTTAAACTATTTGAACTTTTTTTTATCCGGTCTCGGACGCTTTCGGATCAATATAAGCTAAAAATTTCAACAGACGGCGCACGCGCGGATTATCTTTCGTTCCGATCCGATCCGCTGCTCGTTTTCCGGAGTGGAAATTAGCCTTAACGCGGTACTTCTCCTCGAGTCCGTCGACCTGGGAACCGGTGATTCATAAAAGCAAGCATTTATTTTGTTTTTCGCTTTGTGCAATACTTTATCAAGCCCATTAATGGTTTAAAATTGCCGCCATTTTGATTGATTTCTCCAAGAAAACGCAGGAGAAATCAACTCAGTTTGCAAAGAAGCATGGTATGAAGTTGCTCGGTTCACTGGCCTTAATTTTAATGACATTCCCATGAGTCATTGCACGAACAAGCCAAGCTGGAAATAGCAAGAAGGGCAACTTCTGATACACGAAAATATATATTTTGCTGCATATGCTCTCGCATAAACAGCTCAAATCCAATTATAGTACAACACCCCCCCCCCCCCAAACTATAGTAAGCGTATAATTCTTAGTTTTTAATACGTTGGTCCATCAGCAGTTACACCACTGGCTCAGTGTCCACTCATCACGTCATTTTCACGTTACTACCTTGCAACCTTCTGCCCAGTCACGTGAAACTCAGGCTGCAATACAGTGTATGATACAAGCCGGTCACGTTTTAACAGGGTTTTCCAAACTTCGATGTTCGTTATATTCCACTCTGAAAAATACAATATAACATGTAAATCCGGGACATTGTACACATCCATTATGAGTGCGCCTCAAATTATATTGCAGTTAACACCCCTCCTCCCTCCTTCCTGTTCTGAGGAAACAACCCAATGATTCATTGCGGTTCTCGACTACACCCAATACCCTGCACGATTCGAAGATTGATCAAGTTTGCCCTTCCAAAACACTTTAACCTTACACTCTGAGCTTGCACAAAGATAGTTGGTAATACCCATCCAGTAAACGTAGAGTTTTGCTTCGTTACAATACCTAAGACATGTCCTAAAGTTTTAAAGGCAATTGGTCAATAGACGGTAACCCATCATCCTCTGCGTGCTAAGGGTTCAAGATTTTTAAAGTACATTGAATTTGCTGTAAACAGAAGTCTGAGATTTCGAAGTTTTCTAATCCTTTTACCTCGCTTTCCAATGATTGGGACCTCATTCATAACGAAGTATCGTCGGAAACCTCTTCTTCTTTGTCGCACTTATTCTTATAATATTCCAGCTGCTTTTCCAGGTCAGCTACAACTTTCTTTAAATGATGCACCTTCTCGTCCATTTCAATTTTCACGGACAAAGCAACTCCTGAAAGCGAAGAGATTCTTGATGATCCGTCAAAAAGTGCAAAATTTTGTTAACTGAATTTTGAGACATACCGTTCACAATTCTTACAATTCGCCACAGTCGAAGGAGAACTAAAAGTCCAACGGCATCCCAGGCGTCCACATTGCCACTGAGGATAAAAGTATATTTAATGTTTTAGGAATTGAGAGATCGAACATTAAAGCCTGTGACCCTACGAGTATTATAAACATGCACCAGTAAGTTACGACGTGCACTTCACGTGCAATACTATCCATTCGTCTTAGGTTTACGGCTATATCGGTACCTGTAAGCAACATCCAGTGCAAAAGACACGGCCACGACAACTGCATCGAAAAGCTGGAGAAGAAAAGCATGAAAATTGAAAATTACGAGAAATACAAAGATTCGTACCAAACTATTTTCAATATTAGTACTAAGGGAATAATTTAGAAACAGTGGCTGAATCCGACATAGAACCTCTCTAATAATTGTTTTTTTTGGATGCAAGTTCGATCCAAAGAAATAAGTATTGGACGCTGAGCACATCAACAGCTGAACGGTAATAAATACAGAATATTGGGAATTAACCGGTGCTTTCTGACCAATCAGGAACGACAGTACACAAGAAGTGTATGATAATCATTATTAGAATCTTCATGACAATCTTTATCTTCCACAGCGGAAGCCGGAATGATTTTTTGTGCTGTACGAGACAAATTTAAATACTGACCTCTAACTTGTGACGAAAAAAATCCATTCCAAAAGCATACACTTTTATCACAACCTAGAAAAGGATAATCAATGCCTTTTTCATTCTGCAGACATTTTATAACACCGTACAACGCGGTACATCAAAATGGTTGAATACGACTACTACGACTACTACGACTTGCAATAAATAAACTGCTATAAACATCACTGTTACTAAATCATTTTCGCGTGATGGAGAAGAGTTTAATATACAATAGAGGACCTTCATTTAATAGTGGGAATTAGTAGTAACGAACATATAGAGATTTGGGCTGCAAGTCATGACAACCTCAAATAACCATCAGTGAATTTGATGTAACTGTATTGCTGAGATACGCTTCCTAGATCCTTTGCAATACACAAGATGAATTAGTAGGTGTATAAAAGTTAGGTCTTCTTGTAAATCTGTCACTGCCAGTATTAGCTAACTCACCTCAATCAAAAACAGGCCCAAAATACCGATACTTGTGTAATGCAGTATCTCAATCGCATGATGATCGTGATGCACTAAAATTCATAAACGATATTCCCATAAAAATCTTAGAATTGGTGATAACCGCTATTATCGGTGGGGGTTTGGGGGGGAGGTAGCTGAACTTTGACAGGGAAGTACTTTACAGGGTGTATCAAAAAAAAGGTAATCCAACTTTGGCGTGCTATTGTACGTGAACCACTTATTCTATTAACTATCGAATGACATGTTTTTAATACCAAATGGTAAAAAAATGAGCATATAGGAGGCTGATAAAAAGTTTTAGTAAAAATCGCATATTTTCACCTCTGAAAGTTGGGACTAAAACCATTGAAAAGTAACTCCCTTTGGGACTTAATTGAAGAATTTTGCTTCTGAACAAACTACCCGCATGTGAGTATTAAGTAGGAATAAATCACATCAGGAGAACATTCCCGAAACAATGCGGCGGCGATGTCAACTTTGTATCGATAGGGATGGTGGTCAAGTTGAAGGCATCGGCGCATAATCTCTTTTTAAAAAGTGTAAATGTAAATAATTGCAATAAATATGTTGCAAAACCGGTGCAAGCTGTGACATGTTCGTGATTAATTTTTTTTTCTTTTGTTATGCACTGCTTTAATTAGGCTCAAAGGTGAAAATATCCGATTGTTGCTAACATTTTTTATCAGCCTCGAATGTGCTCATTTTTTCACCATTTGGTACTAAAAACATGTCATCCGATAGTTAAAAGTCTGATCTTTCCGAATGTGAAAAAATTTGTTCATAGACTGCGTAGTTCACATACAATAGCGTGTTGAAGTTGGATTACCTTTTTTTTTATACACCCTGCATTTACAATTCGTTGCTCACCAAGATATGACAGATTTGGGAGAAATTCTATGAGTTTCAGAACTTTTTACCTCCTCTGATAACTTGTATATCCAGCAACAGCTGGACCAACACGATGAGAAAATCAAGCGCAACAAAACCGATGATGACCATCTGAAATCTGTGACCATGCAATTGTCGCTGCAATTCTTTGCGAGTTTTCGGCAGCCCGCATCTATATTTAGGCAAAAATATTTGTGATAGCTCATAAATGGGGTGTTCTCTGGTGTGTTTTAGTTTAGAAAACTAAACTATATCCGATAACAGCTCAGGTAAGTTGGGCTGTATTCAAATGTATCAAATGTTAAGAATACGTAGTTCCAATGATAGAATCGTGTGGGCCATGGCTGAATGATTGTGATTGTCAATATGAGTATAAAATTGTTCTCCAGTTTCAAAAATAGCTATTTTTCTGATCATCGGGCAACCAAACGAATATAATGTTAGAAGGATATACTTATAAGATTCTTGATATTACATCCAGGTTACATATAACCGTTACAAGACCGCTTTCCCGCACTCAAAAACCGAGTGGCAATATCTATAAATTGCTTAACAGATCTTTGTTACATAACTCTTTCGTGAGAGCCTTTTGTATTCAACTTATACAACCAATTATTAGAGCATAAAAATATTGCAACTAAAACCTTACAAGTTTGTCAATAAATCCTATATCGTTTGCGCCGTGAAAATACCGATAAGGCGATTTAAAATTTAAAACGCAGCAAATGAAATATACATATAAGTTGGATTTTATGGACGTGACTTACGTTTTTCAATCAAATCGCAGTGTCAGTGAAAATTTTGCGTCTATTGAAGGCCGTGGACGCTACTGGGCATGTTCATATCGTTAAAATCTTACTACACACGAATAAAACTTGAAAGATTACCTTCCATAATCTTCAGACACTGGCACGTCTTCCTGAAATTCGACGTCAATATTTATTGATTCTTCCTTGTTCGTTTCATCTTCTGTCGTATTTACACCGTCGTTTCTTTCCTGGTCACTTTCGGTATCGAAATTATGCGATTTGGTAAAGCCGTTGTTTTCCATATCCGAACTGTGCGATTATCGCTTCGTATCTCCGTGTTTACAGCTATTCCAAACGCGGTTATATAATTTACTTCAAGAACGTATTAATAATTCATACATTAATACAATAGCAATACGTAAATTCGCGCAAAAAAAATTAAAAGATAAGGGTGTAGCAAAAACGGAGACTGTTTGAAAGATACCATAATATTGGTATTCTTATGACTATTGTTTTGAATACCTAAACAATGCCTGAACGTCTAGTGTGTATATATATAGTGTCAGGGACAGGGGGTATATATACACATGCATTGAATTCTTAATGACTATAAGTCTGCTCGAAGTGGATATATGATGACAAATGAATTTTGTTCTAAGCGGTCGATTGCAAAATACGTGACGCTTTTCAGCTATCTTTGACACGGGGGTACATACTTCTCTGTGCATGATGTTGAAACGTTAGCGCTGAACGTTATCAAAATTACGTGACTCAGAACATACATACATACGTACATACAGCCCTGCAATATTATAGACAATACATACCACATTTTCAGTCTGGTATGAAATGGTCTTACTTTCATTTTCACCAGGGGAATTTCTTTGCGCGAAGTGAAAAACGAGTTGTGGTGATCAGCATTGAAAATGTCATCTTTCACTCGAGAAAATTCACTTGGTAAAGTAGGAGTTTCAGTCACAGTGTTTTGCAAGGGTTTTTTCCACATGCATAGAGATTGAAAATCAAATTTATATTCAATAACATCAGTCACGTAGCATTAAACGTCTATCACGTGAGACTACCGGTGACACCCTTTCACCCCCTGTATCAGGATGCGACACTGTTTAAAAGAACCCCTACTCCTTAGACACGTCACACAGTTTGCTTACACCCTCTACAATTTGTTTACGTCATAAGCACTTTGTATAAGAGATATCAGACGAATGTCGGAACCGGTTTAATCTTGCGTGCCCACGCATATCGTCTCGAAGCCATTTCCCACGCTACGCTTGCGTGGGCGAAGCAGCCTTGGATAAACTGTGCATGAAAGCCTTAAAAAGCAAGGCGAGCTTTGCCCGCATGACGGAGCGAACGGGATGTAAAATTGTCTTTACGTATCCTTGTTCGCCATTATCTGACCGACTAGTCAATGGCATGACTTTCATGGTTTCTAGGGCCGGTTGTATAAAACGCTTTAACTACATTTTGCATAGTTAAATCCTATATAGAGTTAACTCAGAAATACACAACTCTGATTGGCCAATTCTGTCTTTAACTATTAACTAGTCTTTTATACTACCGGCCCCTGGCCATCAGGACGCCGAACTGACTTGTCCGCCATTATTCTGGGGCCGGTTGTATCAAGCCCGTTTAGCCTAAACGGTGGATAAGTTCAAAATAGAAAGCAAGTCTGCCGTTTTATTCAACAAGCGAACTAAATGTTTTTTACCTTAATACAAAGATACTGTTTACAACCACATATTCAGTGAATAATATTCAAGTTGACTCATTCAAGAGAGTTGTAAGAGTGTTATTTAATTTTGACTTATCCACCGTTTAAGCTAAACGGGCTTGATACAACCGGCCCCTGGCCATGTATTCAATGGCATAATGAGCCTTTCACTGAATGTTCTCTTTTATACTGCATCCACAACGACATTGAAAAGGAATGGGTTGTGATACTCCGATATCGTTGAAAAATTATCGGCAGACTATCACTAAAGTTAGTTTTAATATATTAAATACCTATAAAACCCTTATTGAATTAATTATGTCCTACGATAAGTATTTATCACGAAAAGTTTGAACATCAAATCATTACTATTCCGCCCAATCATTTGTTATGTTATTCTGAATGAAATGTATAAATCAAGTGCAAATGTGATTTATGATTTGGAGTGCATGTATATAATTTAGGTTGGATCTATGATTTATGATTAGTGACTTGGAAGAAAAATGCATGCCAATTTAATTGACTAGAATACTTAAAAAACATTCATGTACTTTGATACGTAACTAACGTAAGCCCCAGAGAAAACAGTATGTTCAAGTCTTCAGAATTCCTTGAGATGTGTGTCTTGCTGGAAGATTTTATTTGGACGATAGAAACTATTGTGCCACTTTATTTAATTTGTATGCCGTACATAAACATCACGTTTCATGAAGTTTGCCCTGGAGTTCTGCAATTTGACCCTGAAAAAACCCCAGAAATTGTTTTACATAGAACACACTGGATATATAGCAATCATGAATTGATGAACCTTCAGAGACCCAAATGAACAATTGATGCATCATACGAACTTCAGGAAGAGTCTCTATAGTTGTGTTTTAAGGATTAGAGCTTTAGTTTGCATTAGGTCTCGAATCAATCTTTAAATCGTGCATTGAAAACGGCGCCTGTAAGGTAGCGTGATGGTGCACTGCCTTTACACACAGTTTACCTGTGTTTTTTGACAAGACTTCAAAGATATTTCGGGTATGATTCCTTGATATTGTTATTAATTGGCAAATTACAGTATATAGCTTATAACTCGGTGTAGTTTTACAACGAGGTTTTGAATAAGCTTCAACATATTTCGCTTAAGGTTTTTTGCATTGCTGAACAGCTGTTCGTTTAACTGCAGCAGTAGTAAAAACAGAAGTAATGAAGTAATGATATCTAGATTTTCATTACCTCAGGATTTGTGTACAACCGGCTTTTAAAGACTGACTCACGCGAGTTTCTGACAGTTTTGTAATATACATTACTTTTGCAATATACATTACAACGAAATATTGTCCTAATTGGATAGCAGCGAAAATTATTTTTAGCTTTACAAGTCGTGTTATTCTGCACGACTTTACCATAACTTTTACTGAACCGATCCGACAATCAAACGATCCGACAAAACAAAAATCCATTCTTATCCCTTGCTGTACCCCTATGCACCAATCATTAGTCACGTTACCTCTTGTTCTTTACATCTGTTCTTGTAATGTTCCAGTTCCGTTTCAATTTCACTCATTTCTTCCTTTAGGCGATGTATTTTCTCGTCCATTTCAATTTTCACGGACAAAACGATTCCTAGAAATGCAGGAATTGTTACTACATCACAACTACAGTGAAACAAGTAGGGTTTGGTTGACAGGCGTACAGGATGAGACAAACTTGCAGGAGAAAATTAATCACCTTATAGAATGTGGGATTTCAACAAAGTTTTAACCCGTTGTTTTACAGTTGTCATTTCATAAAACAATGATTCTCTGTACTTGGGTTGTTGCTTGAATTTCGAAAAGCGAGAAAATACACAAGCGACGTTTCGTGTATTCTCCTGTTTTTTGAAATCCTCGCAATATTCCGCCTGCATGGATCACACGAACTCAGGGACGTAGTCAGGGGGGAGGAATCTTGGGAGCCGCGGCTCCCCTCCTTTGAAAAATTTATTGCTAATATATACCTAGTTTGAAATGAATGAATTTAATTAAGAAGAATCTACTCAGTTTTTCAAGTATATGTTTTATTTAGTTTTATTCCGTCCGGGCTGAAACTCAGTGTTTACTGTTGTTGTCATGTAAGACAAGTTGAAACTCTAGCCTCACGCCTCCCCCCTGTTTAAGGTCAGGCTACGTCGCTGCACGAACCTTCACGAGAAACAATTTGGATTTCATTAAGAATTTCCCAAAAATTCGCAGAGATCGAGTTACATTTCAAGACATACCGTTGACAATTCGCACAACTCGCCAGAGTCGAAGCAGAACCAGAAGTCCGACGGCGTCCCATGCATCCATATTGCCACTAAATACGAAATACAAGCGTTTTATGAATTGATATACTCCTGTATCACTCGCTTGCAACACGTTGATTGGTTCACGCATGAGCTCACTGCAGAATTTAACGCTATCTTACGGCAAACGTTTTCACTCGTCAGCGGCAAATACAGGAGGCCTTCAAACTCTCAGGATATTAAAAATAAAACAAAACGGAGCGCTAGTGGCTCTGGTTGATAGAGGAAACTGCGGCCTATGCAATATGTTTTATTGTCAAAGCTGTTTGGCAGTGCTCTAAATTAACTTGAGCATTAAGGGCCCACACAGACGATAAATTTTTCCTTGACAAGTTTTCTTGCCAAGATACACGTAAACCTTCCTACTCTGTCGTACACAGGAAACCTTTTTTCGGGTTTAAGGCTTGCATGACTAAACAGTGCCTAGCTCCAGTTACTCGATTTCAGTTGTTTTTTGCATATATACGTATACGATTCACGCTCATTTTGGCATTCCACCTCGTTTAATGCAAGACACGCACATATATGACGTATAATGCGATTGCAAATCTATGCAGCCGACAGTATTTACTTTGTCTAAAGCCAGATGATCTTACAAAGTTCAGTCAAACCATGACGTTTCGTACCTGTACGCTATGTCCAAGGAGAAAGACACGATCACGACAATAGCATCAAAAACCTGAAACACAAGCAATAGAATTGCACAATTAGAATAATTTATGTGGTGCTACCCGGTATACGTTACACACAATATATTGACATGGCACAGCTAAAATTTGCACCTAATTTTATCCGCGCTCGGCCTTTGTATATTGGTAGCCTTGACACCAATAAAATTGATCAGGGCACGAATCTTACATTGAGTGTATTGTTATATGTTCAGTGAATGATCACGCTAGTCTGGTCAAACAAACAATACTCAACTAACCTCCAACTTGTGATGGAAAAAATCCAAACCAAAAGCGTACAATTTCACAACAATCTTAAAGAAAAAAATGAAACCTGGAAGTTTAGTTTAACTGACGAAAATCGAATAAACATTCTTATTGTGGAGGACAACAAACTTAGGGAGAACAGCTGCTTTGGCAGTGAAAATATCGAACTCAAAAAGCTCGCCAGCAAACAACATTAATGATTTGGCGCGGAAATAACTCGGGTGATAATGCAATCTTGTCTGTGTAGGCAGAGCAAAATGTTTTGAGCTGTTGCGCCATGCGCTGTATGAGCTTAGAAGTATGCTGAACATGCTTGCCGGTAACTGGGAGGATCTTTTAACGATCGAGATGTACATCTGCATAAGCTTTTTCCTCTGTGTTGGCAAAGCGAGTATAAAACTTTCCCCTTTTGGGGGAGAATAGGAAGTTGAGATAGGGAACATTCAATGTGCTACCTGGTTACTCTGTTTGAATTTTGTTTGATCCAGGCTGCACTGTATACCCACCTCAATCAAAAACAGTCCCAAAATGACAATACTTGTGTAATGAAGTATTTCAATAGCAAGATGATCATGATGCACTAAAATAAACAATTATGATATTAACATCGAATAGAGAAACGAACCAGAAAAGACACACCTTTGATGTTATCTGTCACACCGGCGATTGCCTCATACGGACTTACTACTTACTGTCCGCCATGTTTTGGCATTGGCGTCAATCAAACGTTAATTGAGGAGGACTATATTTATATATTCTGCTATGCCTGGGATAGAAAACAATTTCACTTTCAAAAGAAGCCAGTCGTAACAGAACATATGAATATGGTCCCCCTCAATTAACGTTCGATTGACGAACATGTCAGCTTTGGGACGTAGAATCAAAGAATTTTACTATTAAACCCGACTGTAATAAATAAAACTGTTTCTTTTGGGATGTAACAGGAATATTTTCGTCGGTTTATAAATATATTTCGAAAGGGAAAATAAGCAACTTCCTTTGACAAGTCTCACGTGAATACCCCATATGAGGATGTGCCACGCCAATTATTATGCTATTTATTCGCCATTTTCACGTCTTTCACATTCATCTTTGACGTTTCCGTCCTGAAGCTAAGCCCGTCTACTCCTTTTGTTTCGAAATCTTAGCTGACTTTCAGAGAGGGATTAAATTTCAAAGATTACGCGCATCAAAAATAAAAAAATTCTCACGTTATTATATTACGTATCCTCGGAGAAACAGGCCGCTGACGGTTTTTGAAAGTCGGCTCAATATTTTCGCGCCTTAAAATTTGTCCATTTCTCCTTTCCTTGCAGTTATGAGGAAGAAAGCGAAGAAAATATCGTAAAATCTTGCTAAAACTGTGTTAAATAATCCTTTTTTTGTTTCTAAACATTAGTGAAAGTATTTTTTACATCTGTGGCTGTGAAAAGAGAATTTTTACACACCGTTTTAACAACCAAACTTCGAACAGATTTGTGAAAGGACAAACTTCGAATATTTACAGCTGTGTGGACGCCGGATATAATTTCTACTTTGAAAAAGGTAACAAAATGCATACAAATTCTTGAGTCGTGTTTTTTTTCTTTATTTAGAATTTATTTTTCTTTATTTCTGATCACCCAACCGCCTAAAAACTCCGTGAAAGGTATGTTGTTATCTTAAGTTTTGTTGAACATTTTACACATAGGACAGAATACATAGCTGATAGCTTTGATTATGTATAAGACATCTAGCTTTGATCATATATCTATATATTAAATATTGTGGGGCATTTTCTTTCTACACGAAAACGTAAAACACGATAGGAAATGCAAACTTAGGAGAATTGAAAGCAATTGTGTGAATCGAAAAAAACTGAGATTTAGTAAAGCATATGAATCTCATAGAATTTTAAATCCCACTTGGAAGTAAGATAATAAATAAAAGTAAATAATATGCACAAAAAAATTAATATGAATTTGAAGTATTAATATCTACCTCCCCTGATGACTTCAATGTCCATTAATAACTGGACCAACACTATGAGAAAATCCAGTGCAACCAGACCAATGATTACCATTTGAAATCTGTGACTATGTAGTTTCTTTCGCAATGCATTGCGGTCCTTTAGTAGCCTGCATCTGTTTGTATATATAAAATTATAATGGTATAATTTAGGAAAGGAAGCTGGCCAGGCTAGGTTATTTAACTGCTGGCATTTAAACATATATTTTTAATTCCTATTGTATGTGATGGAACATTGGCATAATAAATTAAATATGTATTCTGAACAGCCTCACAACCCAGACTTACTATACTGACTATATATAGGGATAGTAGGATTAGCAGGAATAAGGTAAGTGATATTTTCTACTTGAGTATTCAAATAACATTCACATAGATAATCACAAAATGAAATTGAATGCACAGTGTGTGCACATTTTCTTCTATAAGTAAAAGAATCAGAATCTTTGTGTAGACACATATCATATCCAATTAACCTGTTTGAACATATGAAATGGATCTGATTCCATATCATATCTGATTACCCGATTTGAAGATATAAAATTGGATAATCTGATTCCTTATAATGTCTGATTAACCAATTTGAAGAGATGAAATTGGATAATCGGATTCCATATCATATCTGATGAACCGATTTGAAGATATGAAATTAGATAATCTGATTCAATATCATATCTGATTAACCTATTTGAAGATATGAAATGGATATTCTGACTCCAAAACTTTATGATATTGAATGTTTTTATGTAATCACAACGACTATTTCCAAATGAGAATAAACATCCAGAATTTTTGTAGAGAATTCTGGTATCTTGGGTCGCAAAAAGCATCAAATTGCACTGTAAGGTCTACTGGGATAAACAACCTTTTATTGAAATGAAACTGACACAGGAAGTTAGGTTTTAAAATATCAAAAGATATCCTGAAGCTTGTAGGCTCATTATATTATTGCTTTATCAACTTTATTAGACTTATTACTAATGGTACAGATAATATGATGAAGGTTATACCCATTGGGTTTGTTAATTGAATTTACTCTTTAGGGTTTTCAAAATAGTGCAAATGCATCAATTTGTAAGCAAGAGGGAGTGAAAATATATAGATTAGAGGGAAAAAATTATTTGGTAATGGCAGGCAATGGCAGGCTCGTTTTGTCAAGAGGAGACAGGGGGTAGCTGTATATAAACACTTGTTGAACTTGATCGTTAAACTTGCGCAGCTTCGTCTGTCCTTGTACAGTATACAAGATCATGGGCTGTGATTTTAAAACAGCACTTTTTACCGTGATCTTTAAAATATATACAGTACTCCTTAGGAATTATCACGAACTATCGGAAATGAACGTTTTTGCAATTAATTCGGCCATTGCACTGAGCATATAAAAGCGATTAAAGTCTAAATATACCGTAAAGCTTTAAATGCCCGGAAATACGAAATGCCATATTCAAAACTTGTTTGTTCGAAACCCCTTATTACAGGATAAAACGCTTTACCTTGTGTAATCAATTAGAACGACTCACTTAAAACGTAGCTACTAAAACGACATATACAGGCCTATACGGGTCATTGTACTACAATACAATAATAATACTCAAAGTATAAAATTACTAAACTCTTACTTTACGTCAGGTCCATCCTCATCGTCCGTCAAGACCATTTCGTCCGCTTTCATTTTGATCTGTACTTGCTTTTTTTCGTCTTTAGCCACCGCGTTTACAATGCCATCCTCCGTTCGATCAATTTCTTTATTACCAATGTAATTAGTGGTGTCGCTATTTTCCATTATTTCATCTGCGATCGATCTCTGGTTAATATTACGTTTATCTGTCAATACTGTCAATGACTGTTGAGATTCCTTAACACGTATGGAAAATATCCTTAAAATTCCTCTAAATTGGTTCATGAAATTTTTTTGTCATTTTCTGCCCAATAACATCGTCTGTTAGTCGGCGGGCAAAAGGCCTTGGCTTAAAACGGCAAGGAATTTGTAACTTCGTAAGGCATTTTATCTATCCACGCCGCATAATTTTTGAGATGAAACCTTTGTCAACCTTTCATCATAAAAATGTTAAGTCGAATTGCGGATCATTACAGTCTAGAGGGATATAAACATAAAACAAGGTTGAAAAACATGAAAGAAAGTTAAGAAACCCATGTACTTTTAGATTCTTCACTTTTTCAACCTAGCAAATAAAAAATCACAGGTTCATAGGACATACAGTCAAAATCAAAGATGAAAGAACAGTGAAACCAAAAATGCGTACAAGACTTCTTGCCCCTTGGAACACCTCTGTTATTAGACTGAATATCCTAAAATACAAAATACAAAATGTCAACTTGGATTACCAGCTGCAACAATGTAACTATTCAAGTGTGAAACATATCTTTCTTGCCACATGCCGACTTATAATCTTGACCATTTCGCCACCTGCTTTCACACTTTTCGGTCACTTTTTCGATCATATTTTTGAGCAAATGACCAGCCTTTGTTAAAATCTGAAAACCACACTTTTTGAGGCATTGAATTGTATAATTGTCTTCGAAAATAGGTACATATGATACTGAATGCAATTTTAATTTGCCTTTTACAATTACTATACTAAAGGCGGTGTTACACTATGCAACTTCTTTGGAAACTTCTAAAATTATAATTCTAAAATTATAATTGCATCGCAAGTTGCAAGGAAGTTGCAGGGTCAGGTGGTGGTGCATAGCCGTTCTTAGTTGGTGGAATTATTTGTCTGGTTGACTCCGTTCACCAACGAGAAGAACATGTGATTCAAACAGTTACCATGAATCATGCATTGGATTTTAATCTAATAATTGCAATCTAATAATTACAATAAACATCTTCATCCCAAGTTTCCTAGGTTTAAATGATTGGTTTCAAACTTACCTATATAACACTTCCTATTACCTATAATCTAAAAAAATCGTTTAAATCTTTGCATACATTCTTAGTTCTTGAAGAAAGTTCTTAAATTCATGCATGAATCAGTACCATTTACTAGCTGTAATCATCCATGCACCATGTCCATGTGACTTGTGGACACGGATGTTTCAGTTCAATGCACTTCGCGCAAAGTTCTTCGAGGTGTTCTGGAGTTGGCTTTCGGTTTATGGAGGCTGTTTTGTGATGGTAAAATTGATGTTTCCTCCAAGAACGCTGCTTGAGTGGGTAACATTTAATAACCAATCCGCTTTCCTCGTAGCAGTCGTAACAGCCTTGCCACTTTCCGATCCAACTTCGACCATTTCGCCACCGATTGTCACATTTGGTGCAATAATATTCCCCATAACATGGCTGTCTACCAGCATACGGCTCAAATGTAACCACCAAAGCTCCTTTGTTAACTGGTTTAAAATTGGCGTACTTCCCCTCACGATTTTTTAAAAATTCTTCAACCTTGGGTCGAATACGTTGGCGCTCTTTTACTTTAGAGTGGTGTCCAGAACCGACGATGATTTCAAGCCACGGTTCTCCATCTTCTTTGGCCTTCTTCATGTCATACTTATGTATTCTTTCGCTCAATTTTCTATGGCAATAGTAAAAGAGGTATGGGTTTTCAAGAAAACAACACACAAAACGGTTCAGAATTTCTGAAATCGAGTCAAATGATCAATGAAAGGAATGTGTGAGTTCCTCAACCTATGTACAGTATATTAGGTCCAGACGAACAGATGTGCACTCGAATCTTGGGATGTTGATAAATAGACCTTATACGTAATGACGTATCAAGCCGTGACGCCTGCAGGGAATTCAGGTTTTAGTAGTCACGACAAAAATCAAACTCAGAAATTTCCCGCGGTGACTACTGAGACCAGAATTCCCTGCAGGTGTCACGGCTTGTACGTCATTACGCATAAGGTCTATTGAGATGTTGATAAATGGAATATTGACTGAACCAAATAACTCCTTCTATTCAGTCAATCAAATATTCAATAATAATAGCAATACTTATTTATATATATTCCACTTATTCAAATAAGAAACCATCCTATACTCGCTAGTATATATTTGAGTATTGTACAAATAATAATAAATGTACTGTACCTTATAGCCTCGTTTCCATGATCCCGTTCTTCATTAATTTTCCTTCCTATCTCAATCAAGCTCATGCGACCTCTGAAACAAAGCTGCCGTTCATATTCCCGGAGTTTCTTCTCATCAACAACCAACAATCCATGAAGATCAATCTCACTCTGACCACGTTCAGCATTAAAGAATTGAAAAAACTCTTCACATGCTTCATTGTGATATTTTCTCATAAGTTTAGCGTAGTTTTCTTTGATTTGGCTGCAAAAACGAGGGCGATTTTTGTCGATACATTCCCCATCTTCGATTCTTTTATAATTCCTCTTTGCCCTTTCTTTCCAATCTTCTCGATACGTGTCCAAATCAAAGGCTTCGTTACGATACCGGATAGCTCTGAGCAGATGCAGCAATATATCTCGAAATTTCTGTACCACGTTTTTAATCTGATCGAGTGAAGCGATGTTTACAAAGTTATTATTCTCTACTTCGTGTAGGATTTCGTCTATCGGGAGTTCAATAACTGTACAACGTTCAACATCACAATCCTCATCATTACTATAATCATCACCATTACCATAATCATCACCATCATAATCATCCAAATTTTCAGCACCATTGGTGTCATTATCGTAATAGTCGTCATCACAGCTATCATCATAATCATCATCACAAATATCATTGTTTTCTTGTTTGGATTCCTTTGTACCATCACCATAAACATCAATCTCATCATCAATATTTTCCTCAACTTCGGGATCTTCATACATGTCGCAAACTCTCTTGATATTGTTTAGATGACAATAATCTTCCCCAATAATATCTTTCCTCGTAACCCCGTAGCAAAAAATCGTTAAAAACTCTGTCACGCAGTTATTATCATCATCGTACTTCTCAAAAACCTCAAATGTAGGCAGATCTAAAGGCTTTTCAATTTTAACGCCATTCACGAAACACCAAAATTCAGGGTTTAGATCATCTTTTGCAAGATTCTTCAATGGAACAACAATTTCGTAAGTCCCACTTTTATATGCAGAAGAGGAAACCTTTACGTTCTTTACCTCAGTGTTATGATATTTCACTTTGATACAATCGTGTTGTATCTTTGTATCGTAATCACAATCAGCAGCGTCCTTCAGCCTCAAACGACATCGGAAGGATTTGTCTTCGGGAAACACAGGTTGATCGTCCATATCTTCATATTCAGGTATCCAATTGACCGAAGAACGTCTGCCATCTAAAGGAGCATCTTGAACAGTGATCGAGAACGAAGTACCCGGGAGAATTTCACCATCTTCATCAGATAAACAAAGCTCATACTTTCCTGTTTTGTTTAAGGAGAAATGAATAGTTGATTTGTCGCATTCCATTGATTTTCGTGCAATCTGCAGTGCATCAGGGCCATTTTGCCTCACAAGTTCTGGAACGTTTGATGAATCAGATAAGCTCGATACGTCATTACCAAAACGATCAAACAAGCCTATTGTTGAAATCAATCTTTCTCTTCTAAAGGCAGTCTTCTTCACAGCAATGAGCTCCCAATGGACATCGTTCAGATCAGGATTAACTAACATGCTTAACTTCTTTGAACTGCCGTCCTCGTCGTAGATTACCAGTTCTCTTCTACCAGCTTTTGTTAATGACAGAAAAATGTAAAACACAACATTCGATTTGTGTCGGACTAATTCGAAGTTCATGGCCTCGTTGTCTTCATCCAGATCTGAAATTTCACACTTGAGATTGCAATCATGAACTGAGTCAGCAGTTAAAGGGCATCCAAATACGTCAAGCAGAGTCATTTGTAGCGTAATTTGTTCGCCAACCACGCAAGGCTTTAGAACAGGGAATTCCGATCCAGCAAAGTACAAAGGTGCATCGCCGACTTTGACTTGAATTTCTTCCAAATGAACAACCTCACGTGGATTACTTCTGTTTTTGAGAGTTATCGACAAATTACATTCCCCTGCCTCGTCAATCTTTACTTGTACTTGAAAATTTTCATTTTTAATTTTCGCGTCTTTGTATTCTATTGCTACCTCCTCTGCGCCATCGTTAGTCAACTCTAAACCAATTTTGTAACGGTTACTTTGTTCTCGTGCAGGATTGTCGTAGGAATCAACCAGTGTTGCTTCAATGGTCGACCACTGATTTCTGTACATCACTTTCGAATCCGCACAAAAATTCTCATCAACAGCTCCATTTGTTGTGTATTTCACGTGTTTTAGATAACGCGGAGTCGAAGGAAAAACTTCGACATCAACGTCTTTACATCTGGACAGCTGGACAGAACCAGGATTCAGGATCAATTTGACTTCTCTACGACCAGCTTTCTTAAAACAAACTGTGACATCAAATCTTATACACTCAGGAATATCGATCTTTTTTACGTTTACTGGCTCTTGATGTCGTTCCAACACTGTTTTGAGCGGCGATATTTGTGCAGTTATGTCGCATGTATCTTTGGAGTCTGGATGAACTGGTTTGCCAAACACGTCGTATAACTTTACCTGGAATACACAACTTTCGCCAGCCGTGCATTGAACAGGGATATCAGTGAGGTTCTCGAGGGTTAAGAAGGGTGAACAAAGTGGACAAAGGACATCGACGAGCATTTGGTACGTGCAACTGGATTCTTCCTTTCCAGCTAATCTCGTATCGACCATTCGGATAATCATTTGGTTTTCCCCGATTTGCTCTGGAGAAAAGTTTGCAAAAATTTTGCCACCTCTCATTTCCCATTCTAACCGGTGAACAACATCATTTCCACAGTACTCTATCGTAACATCATAATTCTTCTCATCCTTGATTTCCTCAATGAGATTTCCATACCCGTCAACAACTTCAAATTTTAGCAACGACTCGACGCGATAATACAACGTGCCTGTTTCCTTTAGTCTTTGTCTCCTGTCCACGGGTTCCTGGGAACGGCTAACTTCCACATTTGTAATCCGTTTTGGCGAAGAGGGAGCTACGCCGACGTATATTTCTTTATCTAAGAAAAGATGGTTATGCATTAGCACTTGCTGACTTGGTTTTTGTTGTTTTTTTAAGAGGCAAGCGGTTTCCAAATAACTAGAAATTGGAATTTCTTAAAGTTGTTGAACAAACTTAAAGTTGCAATCTTGCATTCGATATACACTAACAGAGAGGTTTTTTAAGACCAAACAAGAAATTAAAATGTGAAATGTTCAGACACTGTTAAGAGCATCGTAAAGGTGTGAAAGTTAAATCAAACAACAAGTTGCTTAGCATCGCATTGCTAGGCTTGGAACCCAATGAACGGATGGCTTCACATAAAAAAGTCATAAACAGGTTCTGCTTACATTGTGAGTGAGTGCGCCGTTCCATTGATTCTCCTCCATTCCTGTCAGTCATAACCAATCTTCTTCTACCAGATTTTGTCAGAAGGACAGAAAAGCGAATTACCATGCCCGATTTCTTTTTTATTACTTCGAAATCGATGGCTTCATTAGCTTCTTCATTTCCACTCAGCTTTACAGGAGAGTCTGTGGGACTGCAACAGCTTGTCGAGTTTGCAGGCAAGGGACAACCGAACACATCAAACGGGTGAATTTGTAGTTGAATCCGTGTACCAGCGACGCAAAATTTCGGGTAATGGATTTTTGATCCGGCGAGGTAAAGTGGTGCGTCGTTGACTTTTATCACAACATCTTCCAAACGAACGACTTCAAGTGGATCACTCTTTTTTGCCAGAGTTATTGAAAGATTGTGTTTTCCTGCCTGATTAATCTTCACCAGCACTCGGAGTTTTTCATTTTGGATTTTCGCATCCTTGTACTCAGCTTTCATCTCCTCTTCAGTATCGCTGGTCAACACAAAACTAATATCGTAGTCGATGCTCTGTTCCCCAACAACATTGTCGAACGAATCAACTAGGGTAGCTTCCAAGATTGACCATTGATTCCTGTACATCACTGTAAGATCTGCAGAAAAACTCTCGTCAACTGCACCATTTGTTGTAAAACTTACATGGTTTAAACGATATGGAAAGGAAGGAAAAACTTTGACATCAATGTCTCTATAACTGGTCTTCGATCTGCATGTCGCCCTTAATCTTACTTTTCTAAGACCAGTTTTTTTGAAACCAACTGCAACGTCAAATCTACATTCTGGTACTTCGATCTTTCTTGTTTTGACTTGCTCTTGACGTTGTCCTCTCGACTCTGTTTCAGAACAAATTATTTGCGCATTTATATCACAAATATCTTCTGAATCTGGATGCACAGGTCTCCCAAAAACGTCGTATATCGTTACCTCGAAGGTGCATTCTTCGCCAGCAATGCATTGTTTACGAACGCCATCCACGTACCTTAAGGTTCGAGAGCGCGAACAGGCTGGATAATGGATGTCGACGGGAATTTCAAAGACATAACTCGATCCGTTCTTTGAATTTAATCCCTTACCAACAATTCTGACAATCATCTGGTTTTCCCCAATTTGCTTTGGTAGGAAGAAAGAAGTCACTATACCATTCTTCATTTCCCATTCCAACGGATCCGAGCGGATGTTGTCACAGTGCCTCACCGTCATCTCATATTGCATAAGTTGTTGGATTATGTTTCCAAACCTATCAACAACTTCAAATCCCAGGCATGATTTAATTCCATAGAAAGCACTATGTGACGTGTGCCTTAATTTTGGTCTATCTTCCTCGTCCTTGAACTTCTCACAGTGGACGACTTGAACATCGCGCAAACCTTCTGGAGACGAGGGTAGTATGTCGATGCATATATTCTGATCTAATGAAGAAGAAGAAATCATTTCTAAAATTAGTATTTTTATGCATTACTAATGCAATCTCGATTGTGATTGGCTAAAAACCTACAGATAATTCTCAATGCCTTGCCACCTACACGACATTGAAAATTATCCGTAGGTGACGTAATTTTTTGCCGCTAGTTTGTTGTCAATAATGGCGCAGGCTTCCTCTCTAAAAAGGAAATACATAATAAAACAATTATTGAATTCGGTTTTCGCATGATATCGAGAATTATCAAGCCTCAGTTTGCGTTATCCGCCTCAGCTTCGCTTCGGCGAATAATGCAAACTTCGGCTTGATAATTCTCGATATCACACTCAACCTCATCCAATAATTGTTAATTATTGACTCAGATTATTACAATGAATTCTTCTAAACCCTAAATTTAATCAATCTTCAAAATATCCGGAAAACCGGACAAACCTTTGGCGTACTTTGAAAAATCCATGATACTTTTTAAGCAAGACTGAAATTTCCCAGTTTTCACAGGAACATGCGAAATATGAGCAATTTCAAATCAAGTAGCCTACCCATTGTTATGATCTAAGAGCAGAACCGATTTGAGAAGCCATTACTGCATACCTTTAAGGCTTTATAATTGTCTCGGATTTGAACAAAACGAATATTAAAATGGTGTTTAGCCTTATGCAAGGTCGTGATCCTTCTGCGATTCTGACAAGGCATGAGACGTATATTACTCAATAATCTTGCAATAACAACCCAATCTTAACCATCATCCATACAAGCCGACAGGCGTATAAAGGGTAATCAGATTGCAGGGACAATGAGAATACCCTTGAGGCCTTTTAAATAGATAAAGTGCTATATAACATATAAACACTACGGACCACTATCAATCTTCTCTAACCTCGTTTGGAATCAGCTCTAGAGACACGATTAGCAATCGCAAGACACCAATTTGTGTAAAGATCGCAGCTGTGTTTATACAGCAGCTGCAGAGAACTATTTAGAATTGTTCAATTCAGACTGCAGTGATGCTCGCTGGACTTTCTCTATCGCGCTAGGAGAGGTTGCAGAAATGTATTTACCTTCAATAATGTACCATTTTCCAAGGTCTAGCTTCACAATGGCTTTCCCAGCACGACGACAAACGCAGTAAACCTTTAGTTGTCGGAAACTCGCTTCTTCGATCTGAAATGTACAGTCTCGACCTGCTACTTCCGTGTTGTTACGACGGTACGAAATAGCAATTTTATTCTCGTGGTAGTTAGTAAACTTCGAAGTAGAATTAGTCAACTGGATACTACAGAGTAGTAAACGTTCGCCACACGTCACTGTTCGTGTTTGTTGCCAAACCCGAGCTTTGTCTGCGGCGAAGCTACAAACCCATGTTAACGCAGCTTCCATTTTGCCGTAGACAAAGACAAAACAATATTCGAAGATGAATAATATATTTGCCCGCAAGGCGAAACCCATGACAGGTAACCCGAAACTGCATGGGGTAAAAGGGTTAAAAAATGATATCACTTGACTGTAAATGTTCCAGGAGGAATAATAACTCACGATGAACTTTTCTCAAAATTTACAGATGAATTCTAGGAATGATTTCCCATTTTAACAGCATGCTAATTGCAGATAGTTTCAAGCAAAAGCATTTTTGATCTGCAATTGCATAAAAAGTTACGCGATCATCGGGCGTGCTTGAGATCGTTTAATAAAGAAAATTAAGAATTTATTGATTAAAATTCCACCCATATATTTATTTACAAAATAAATTGTTTCTGGCACAAAAGTATGCAGCAAATTTTATGTAAGTTTATAAAGATTATATAAAAAAGCCAGTGATAATGTATAATTAATTTTATTTGTTTTCTGATTCGAATAACATTTTCCAGCAAGAAATGTGATGCATTGTGTTCAACAAGAATACTCGGAAACTGAAACTTTCAAAACAATGTAGATCAAAAAGTTGTAATTTGATTCTTACAAGACAAAATAAGCTGCAGAAAACTTTTTTTACAAAACATTGTGAAAACAAAGCCATGTAAAAACTCATCACAAAAAATCTTCATATTTATCAGGTAGGTACTCGAGGCCCTGTTACACTGTGCAATTTTTCTTGAAACTTGCAATGAAATTCTACTTTAAAGCGATGTAAATTAGCGAAGAGTCTTCAAAATATAAGTGTAAAAAACGTCAATGGAGTGCAATAAACAGAAATGTTCAGTGAATTGTAATAAAACCTGGAGCGTTAACTTGACCGCAATCTCTGAAGCCAAATTTGAAGGTAGTTTTTCTGTTTGAGACAGATGCAGAGAGTAATCTAGGAATGTCTAGAACTATGTAAAATGCAATCATCTGCTAATTTCATTTTTTATCTTCAACCAAGTATTACGCTGAATTATAGTTCGCGTTCCATGTTTTATTACAGTTTCCTGCAAAAGTTCGGTAGTTGCCAAATTTACATCTCTCAAAACAAGAATTGCATTGCCCGTGTTGTGTAACGGGGCCTTTACTGTCACAAGCGGCTTTTTAGTTTGGTTTTATACCACAATGCATCGTGATTGTTTGAAAACGTTATCGCCATACAACTAATGACAGGATTAATAATGCAAGATAAAAGCTACAAATAGCAGATGAAAAGTCTAATTTTAAGTCCAGTTCAAAAATTGTTATACCTTCACTGGCACACCTCTGTTGATTGGCCTATCACGTATGTCAGGGACAGAGGCGCCGAAATAACGGTGGCAGCGGAGCAATACCATACACTTACTTTTCCTACCGGCATATTATTTCTATGATGCATAATCGTCTTTGCATTGAAACTATCCTATCGAAAACGCATTAAACTGTGTATTTAAACGTCTGTGTGCATTCATATCTTAAGGCATCCCAAAATAAAAGTGCTGTTTTGTTAAATCCTGCACCCATAGCCCTAAATTTCTCGCCTCTGGTCGGGCCAGACGTACGTTTGAGGCATTCAGCTTACTAAGCATACAATCAAGGAGGTTCTCTAACAATATTTCTAATCTAACCAAAGGCTAAAAGTATAGTTATAATTCCTCGCTAACAATTTAGCCAATAAAAGTTATTGATAAAGTCATTTAAAGAGATACGAAAGCAGTCAAACTGCTAATTTTATGCATTTTAAGTGTTTAAGTACTGCATGGAGTTGCATGCAACGGTTTTGATTTCTGAATTGCCTGGTTTATATTGATACACAAATGATTGCATTGAGAATTGTTAATGCATTATGTATTATGTAGGGTAGCAAAATTTTAAAAATTCTGAAAGCTTTCGACAAATTAACAGGATATAGTGTTAATTTATTATTGAAGTAACGAAAAGTATTCAATAATTGAAAAGTAAACAAACTTGGAATTTAAATACGCTGCATTTAGAAAGTGCAGGTCTTCGAACGTTAAAGCTTGCTCAAGAAATACAATACAGAAATACTGTTCAACATTAAGTTGACAATTTTCTTATGTCCTGCGAGGAGAACTTATTTTGCTTAATCGGGTTTTATCACTACTGGCTTTTTATCACAAATGTTGGCTATTATCAAATTCCATGTACTTTCAATCCTGGAATAAGGAATGCTGCTGTTTTAAGTTCATTTAAGTATGTTTCATTTTCGTCATTTCTTATCTCAGGCAAGCCGATGATCTTCAAGTTGCGCAGTTTCGGTAATACGACGGTCAATGCTGCTGCAGCTGCTTGGTTAATTTTAGAGAGGTTAAGAAATAGTTTCCTTAAAAAAATCAATTTTCCTAACTCAGTAAACAGATGCTTTTCATCACATCCGTTGTCGAAGAAAGTGTATAGGAAGTTTAGACTTTCCAACAGCTGTAGCGATTGGAACGCGTTAGCCAAAGCTTTTGCGGCAGATTGAGTGATATCAACAAATGATAAAAAAAGTTTCTTTAAACTTGTCAACTGTCCTACTGTAGAAAATAGTTGTTCTTCACATCCATCGTCATATTTAACGAACGCCAATTTTAGAGTCTTCAGTAAATGCAATAACGGTAACGCTTTAGCTGCAGCTTTAGTACCAGCTTGGGTGAATTTTACTCTACAGAGATGAAGAGTATTCAAGTATTTCAATGACCCGAGTGTACTAAACAATTCTTGTACCTCACTTCGGTTATCAAATTTAATCCCTCCCAGCGCTAGTTTTGTCAACAACTGCTGTGATCCTAACGCGTGTTCCAACGCTTCAATGACATCAGGTTGGTCGATTTCAGTGCAGTAAAGATCAAGTCTTTTTAAAAATTGAAATGTGTTTCCTATAGCATAAAAGAAAAATTTAGCAGAACCATCATCAAATCCCTCAACTTGAAACACTAATTCTTCCAAACGCTTCATTGATCGGAATGAAATGTCTACTGCATCCTCCATTTGAATATGAATATTTCTGAACTCAAGTTTCTTTAAACATGTCAATGTTGCTAATGCAGAAAATAGTTCCTTATCTCTGTCAAATAAGGTGACATATATAATTTTTCCAAAAACTGCAGCGATTTTAACGTATTAGGTAAAATTTCTGCTTCAGCTCGTGTAATTTTCTTTGTCCATAAAACAAGTTCTTTTAAACATTTTAATTCCCCTATTGCAGCGAAAAGCTGTTTGTTTCTTCTGGCATCATAATTGGTATAGACATATAATATCAGCTTTTCCAATAAATGTAGTGATGCTAACGCTTGGGGAGAGATTTTCATGTCAACTCCGGTGATCAAATTCAGCTCCTTTAAATGTTTCAATTTTTTTAGAGCAGCAAAAAAATGTTTGGGATTTTTTAATGTCATTTGGGCTATCGTTATCCTTTGCAATAACTGCGTTGATTGTAGTACATCACTCGAAACCTCTTTATTCCCAGAATAACCCTTGATATCCTTTAAACTAAGTGTATTTAGGTATTTCAACTTCCCTATTGCTTCAAACAATTGGTCTTGATTCAGTTCAAGATGTATGTGAGACAACTTTATATTCTCTAACAATTGTAATGATGGCAGAACCTCAATGAAAGCTTTTGCACCAAGTGTGCCAATTTTGAACCTCTTTAAAGTAAGTTCCCTTAAATATTTCAATGTTCCAACTGCAGTGAAAAATTTTTCTTGATTTTCGAAGTCAACGCCGTCAAAGTTTATCTTCTCCAACAATTGTAGTGATGGTAACACTTCAGCTAAAGATTTTGCACCAAATGTACCAACCTTGAGCTTCTTTAAAGTAAGTTCTCTTAAATACTTTAATTTGCCTACTGCAGCGAAGAATTGTTTTTGATTTTTAAAAACAATGCCATCCAACGTTACCTTCTCTAACAGCTGTAGGGAAGGTAGCACCTTAGCTAAAGCGTTTTCACCATTTGGACTAACCCAAATCGTCTTTAAACTGAATTCCTTTAAATGTTTCAGCTCTCTGATTTCGCGTATATTTAAATCTTCATTCACAAGAACTTGAGAAAACTCTAATTCTTCCAACAGGGAAAAACTCGGTGTGTCGAAAAGAGTATTGAAATCGAGAGCATTTGTGGACATTCCACGGAGATGAAGCTTCCTCAAGTACCTCAACTTATTTATCGCCTTGAATATCTTTTCATAATTCCCATCCCTAACATGCATGTTAATGAAAACCAGGTGTTCCAAGAACAAAAGCGACGACAGCATTTCAGATATTTCATTTCCATTTGGTACATTTACACCTTCAAGATGAAGCATTTTGATATTCGTTAACGATTTTATCGCACTAAGTATTTTCCCCCAATCTGCGACAGAAACAACGACATCAGCTAAAACCAATTCTTTCAAAAACCCGAAATATCGCCGCAAAGCAGCAGCAAACGCCTCAACATCACAAGACATAAATGTCGTATTGCTAAGATGTAGTTTTCTCAAATTTTGTAAGGAATTTAAATTGACAAAGAATTTTTCACCATGAATAACATCACTTAAAATCAACTCCTCTAACGTGTTGGGCAGAGACGGGGTGTCATTCATGACAATTCTATTACCCGACAAATCCAGATATTTCATTTTCTGCAAATGAACTAAACTATTTAACAAGGTACTTATATCATCTTCCATGATACACGTTTTGCTCATGTCCAGCCTTTCTAATAACGGGCACTCTCTCAGAATGTTTGCTAGCGCATTCACCCCATCTGAACCAAGAGCATTCATGCTCAGGTCCAGATATATCAGACCTTTCAAGGAAGCAAGCGATTCACAAATTTTGCTTACACCACAACCATTCAAATGAACGTTACTCAGCTTTAATTCTTCCAAAGATTTAAAAGATGGCAAGAATTTTAGGCAAAACAACTGAAATCCCTTCAGGATTGTTGTTTAAATTCAAGCGTTTCATCTGAATTAACTTTGATAATGGCAATTGGAAATTTTGAAAATCCTCCAAAGTAAGATTATTAGAAGCTAGGTTCAATTCTTCAAGTTCCGTTGCTAAGGAGAGTAGAGATGCTAAACCCTGGACAGCGGGACCGTGAATATCAGCATTTTCTAAAGTTAATACTTTTAATTGCTTGATTCTCAAAGAGCAAAAAGACCAAATGGAACATCCAACATGATTAAAATCTAAGTTAAGCTTAAATAGATCAGATTGGATCAGATTGATAAAAGGACCTATATCTTCAGGTGTCAGGCGATTAGAACATAATGAAATGGCCTTCGTGTTAATTGGGGAAACGTTACGCCCCTCCTCTAACTCAGTTAATGGAAAAAATCTAACATGGTTATAAGCGAGATTAATTTCTTCTAAGGATTGCAGTTGGCAAAGACCTTTGATAATTTCACTTCCCTGTAATGCATTTTGTGATAAATCTAACGAAAGAGCGCTTTTACTTTCTCTATGTTTCTGCAGTATGCGATTTGCTTGTGTTTCCGTGAGGTTACTTTTAGATAAATTTATATTTACAAGATCATTAATCGATTCGAGTGTTGGAATAAGGTAGTCGTTAATTTCTTCTTCAGTTAGGTCATTATCAGTCAAACACAATTTTCTTAAATTTCTACAACTGCTTACTACAACTAAAAAACTACCGACGTAGTCTTTTATGCATTTTGTGCCAGATAAATCTAATTCATTTAAGCCGTTCATGCTACCAAGAAATCTATTTAAAGCAACAATATCCTCGTAGTTCAAGTTATTGTTGTTAATTTGTAGAACTTTTAAACAGGATGGAATAGAATAAAGACTGAGAACTTTGTGTACCTCGCATGATGATTGAATTTCCAGCGTATGAATATTGATTGTAGATGCATTCAGCTCCTTCAAGAGATCATCATTATGAAGGAGACTCAGTGATAGCTCTAGTCTTCCCGTTGATTTGACAGTTTCAAGAAAAATCTCAATAAGAACTATAGGAAAGAAAAATTATAGTAAATGGATGCCTAAACATCCGCACAACGCGAAGGTTGACGCACAGTATGTTTTTATAACGTTGTTCTTATTTTATTGCATGAATTTTAGCAAAACATTAAACAAACTAGTTCTTCAAGACGGGGTGCCAAATATTTTCCACGCCAGGAAACATAATTCGGGCTTGCATTTTCAGGTACAGGTAGTATAAGTTATGACACTTACATTTAGGGTTCATTATGTCCAGGTTTTCCTGAAAAATAAATATTTTAAACGGATTATAAGAATACATACAAATAGACACAACCAGGTCACAATAGTCACGAAAAGGACCGTTTCAACTTTTCATGCCGTCTGAGCATGCCGGGATTTACGCACCGAGGGAAGCTGGAAGTTTCCCGAAAAATTGCCAATGTTTTTACTGATTTTGCCGAACAATTTTCGGCGGCCATCTTGAAAATCACAAACCGGAAGTTGCGTTCGAGGTGAAAGCGGGTGAGTTCGGAAACCGCAGGTGAGCTGGAAAAAAGCTTACCTTCTCGGAATCAATCAGAATGCCGCTTTTAAACAATGCATGAGATAAGCATTCGATCCGGCATATGAACCGTTGGACGTCTGAAACTGGTCTAAATTGTTCATACCTGCACAATTGGTGGGTTCTCATTTCCTGAAATAGCCATCAGGTCATCGCCCAGTGGTCCACGTTCCACTGTAGCGTCTGCCAAAGTTTGCAATCCAAAAGATTGCGGACGTTCTTCATTAGAAAGCAAAGCAGAAAAACCTGACGGCAAAGACTGGCTTTGATATTCCCCAGCAGGATTTTCTAAATATGAATCAGAAAATGAAGTATAAGAAATGGGGTAAATGTTTTAGATATCCTATATTTTTTACACTCCTTTTACAGCAAACTAAATAAAATTATACTTGCCTAATGCATTGCTTGTGATAGCAACTGAATTGGATACAATACTTTGACCTTGCATCCTAAAAGGTAGATTCATCGACAATCTCTGCAAAATGCCCCCAAGTGCAACACTTCTGCCAGTGGATGCTTCACCATCAAGATTTGCTTGAAGCAAATCGACATTAGGTTGTACTGACGGCTGAACATGTGGGGTTGAACCAGGATAAATAATGGAACGGGGAATCATAACAGCTGAACCTAATGTCGAGGAAGGCATTAATGTAGAAACAGACATTGTTGAACCCGGTGCTGACGTGGCAGTTGGCGTTCTAGTTCCTGTTGGAACTGTCCAAGGCGAATTGAGTGTTGCAGTGATATCTGTATTTAAAACTGTTGCCCCTGATGCTGAGAATGGAACAATTTGCATTGACACCTGACCTCGTGTACCTAGGTTACCAGAGCTTTCTGGTGTTGGTGCAATCCTGGCAGGGGAAGATGCGGATATTGGTGACTGACCTTGCATTGTGCTAGCAAATATTTGAGCAGTCGCAGGAGGAACTACGCCAGTTTGTTGTAGTGGTACCTGATTTGAGGTTACCATATTAACTGAATTGTTAACTGGTTGTGTAAAAAAAGTGGTTGCTGACATGTTCACAGGACTCTGAAGTGACAGTGTTGGTACCATACTGGAAATGATAGTCTCTGATGATGATGGTAACTGATTTTGAACAACAATATTTCCAATAGTGTTGACTGTCTGGGAAATACTATTTGACGTCGTTGGTGGTTGACTTTCCGAAACACTGTTGATAGAATCCTGAACCGCTGGGAGTGATGCAATGGTAGAAACATTAGTTACGAGCCCAGTTTGACCTTGCGTTAAATTTGTATTACCATAACTTTGAACCGATGGTGCTGATGACTGATCCGGTGCAGATATTGTGGTAGGTAACAGCAGCACTACCGACTGGGTACCTGACACAGGTAACTGAACAAATGTTGGCATAGCAACAGGTGTAGCTGCGTTTTTATTCAAATCAGTCCCAACTGTTGTGACCGTGGAGCCTGATGATGGTTTTGGTTGAATTGGTAAAAACCGTGGGCCATTAGGAACAGCACACAATCTTTTAAAAAGAGATTCCCCATGGCTGCACTGAGAGATCTAAATGAAGATTTGTTCAGACATTATAACACCAATTTTTCACCACAAAAAATTACAATCCACATGGATCAGATTTGTCAACGTTACCTCGTTCTCAGTGATCTTTCGTATGTAGAGCCGGCCTTGTCCTCTTTCACTGTGGTAAACATTATTTGGAGTGTAGCATCTGAAGCAGCATATTCCTGGATTTAACTCCTCCAACATGTTGTCCTTTCCAGCTTTCATGAACACAAAGCAAGCGCTTTCCAATGTAGGATAAATTTCGACCAATTTTCTTGTGAACTCTTCATTTGTTAGTTCGAGGGGAAACTCCACTTTTCCATCAATGTTTCCATTTTTACAATGCTCTGTCAAACACAAACGTAAAGAGTTGAACTGGATGGATATTACATGCCCATAGATCAAGATAGCATGTAACAATAAAAAGTAATCAAGAATTTTTATTCACTACTCTACTTGGTTAAATACCTGATCGAGGTGGCCCATATCCTTTCTGCATTAACAACTTGATGGCCACTTTTGAACATGTTTCTTTTGTGATCTTCGTAATCGTCGTCTCTGGATTAAGAAGAAACAACGTAACAGAAAGATTGTTCGGTTTTCGACCTCGCTTTTTAGTATTTGGTGGACGGTAATTAGCCATTTCTTTGAAGCAAGTCACATATTTGAAAAGAGTATTCCTTTCGTTCAATCCATACAGCCTGAAAAACAAACAAAACATGGTTAACAATAGCTACATTTTTGTAAACAACTATTTTCGTGGATTTATAACACTAAATAGAACGGTGATTTCGGTGAAAAATGAAATAATCTACTTGCATACAATGTTATTTGATGGGAGCAATGCCCACAGCAAGGTGGTCTGGAGTTATTAGGTGTGATACGCTTTATAAACAAAATACATCATTCAAAATATATCAAGTAGATCATTCTCCATTACGGATGCTAGAATGTCTAGCGTGTACTTATTTTAAGCGAAAGGGGGCTTCACTATTACGCTGAATATAGGAGTTCGCGTACCAGTTGATATTACAGTTCACTGCCCCATACTGGCTTCGCAAAATTTATGCGCATATTTTTTACTCGCAGTTAATTAATTTCGGGAAAACCCCTTACCATTGGCATTGTTAAAAAAAATCTGCGACAAAATTTTGACTATCATTTTGTGAACTCAACTTCTTTAGTGGCAAAAATGCCCCCAAATTGCCGATGTAAAGATATGTTGTTCACAATTACTAGAGTTTTCGCCAGATTTCGAGTGTAAATAGCGAATTTTGGTAGATCTGACGATCGCCATTTTGCTGTATCAAATATCATTAACGTGTATATGTATTAGGTTGTACAAACGATGTGAGCGTAAAACAAATTTCACTCTTTAGTCCACACACAAGCCCTCAATAACTTCTACCAACATTCTCTACACGTCTAAGAATAAATTTGGGACAGTCATTCATTTTCGGGGACAGGAAGTTATTTGTACGGGATTAAAATCAATAGCAATGTTCGCTTTTTAAGTTATTAGTATTACGGTATAGCGGATTTCAAACATGTGACGAATGGAACAAATGTACGTGCGTTCAAACTGAGATTTGGTATGAAAGAAAGAGGTATGTCGAGGTATGATAGACATGCTGTGTCAAAGTTTAACTTGCGCTGCAATGCACTTGCATTGCCATTGCAAATATCGCATTTTTTTCGAGCTTTGTCGTTGATTTTCGAGCAGTGAATCCTACTGTAATAAAAATCGATTTTTAATAAACATAGTTTAAGTAGAACTTACCGCGCAAGGTGTAAGAGTCAATTGAAATCGCCTCCAGCTAAGTAGCTACCAACCGCTACAAAATATCTAATCAATATGAAGGATTGTGCAAATCGCTTGCGTATATATGTACACGAATCTTCACGAAACGGTAACCAATCACATTCCAAGAAATTCACTGCATGTAATTTAGGGTCATCACTGGTTTCCATCAACCAAAATGACATTGCGGGTATTAAATACGTCCATGAATTATAACACGATTTTTCAACTTGCAGAGAAATTATTCGTTAGCGAAATATTTGGATATTGTCTTTTGAATTGAGAACAATCAACTTGAACTATGCTGCAGAAATTCAAAAGAAAATTTACAAACTTTTCGCAAGCGAACTATTTCTCATGGAGTTGAAAATTAATCCAACCTTAGAGCAAAGATCATACATGAAATCTCTTTTTTTTTATCTACAGGGTGTCCCAAAAAAAACGAAAACTATTGAAATCACCCATAACAATGCAATTGTTAGAGTTTGAATGCCTAAGCACTCTGTTGGGACACAGGTGTGTAAATGTTTACCATACTCATGCATGCATATGATGCAGTAAAATTTTCTTGTTCGCAAAAATGATATTTACTAACAATATTTAGAATTTACAAATATGGATAACAATATTTAAATGTGCATCTCAAGGACCACGACCTTCGACATGTCCCCTTTCTCTAGCAACACAAAGCATTTAGCATTTTATAAGTTGCATTAAATCCCCACGGGCCGAAATTCGTGAACACGGCATTCAAATTTTAACAATGAGTGATTTCAATAGTTTTCGTTTTTTTTTGGGACACCCTGTATATGGATAATATGTTCCCACAACATTGTTGAACGATTATTCCTACTGTGCGATCACAGAGAATCCGACTGAATTAAGCAGTCTTTCGGACGTTTATACTTTTGCAAAGAGGATTCATCAATAACTTCCCGAATTGAAAAATCAACAACTCGTTCCACGAAGAGGAATCCAATATGGCGTCGGATGCAGAATAAAGTATTATTGGTCAAAAAATGTATTGCTGACCTGCATGGTAGGGTAGAACGCAAATGTTTAGAGAACAGTGTAAAATTATACGGCTTCGAAAATCGTTTTCTTTAAAATAACATTCTATAGTTATATTGCACTTATCAGAGTTAAATTCAACCTGGCCTTTCCCTAACTTCCAACCAACTAGACACGACCAATTTCACCTAAAAGACTAGAGCAATCCTGTACGTTTGCTTTCATTCTAAATTACCCAACATTCGGCTACTACCATTCAGCTTCCCCGTTTGCTTTAGTAAATACGTAATCATTCGAGTTCAGGTTCATAATACCATCTTTGAGATGAAACTTCCACTTGTTTTTACTCCTTGTTATCTGTTGTTTGAGAAAAAAAACACTCAGATGTTTTGTATACTGGGAATAACCTTTCGCAACGATGCTTGCTTTTGCTTTTGAAATGTAGGTGATCTCCGAAAATATATCGCTCCGTGGAAATGAAATGAGAATCAATGTGCTTCATGTTTTTGACACTAGGGAAACATATGTTTAGAATTTGAAAGTGTAAAAGTAACTGTATAAATGCCCAGTTAATCGAGACCAACTGGTCTGAACACATGAATTTGACCATTTACAGTTATCTTCAAAAAATTCAAAATAGGACCGGTGTCAGGCCATTTTATCTGCTTGAATAAAAGTACACTTATTTAAATCTTTCTCGTGATGGTCTTGTTTTGTTGTTGAGCTCTATAATCTATGTGATCCCCTATCATACTCGTGAAGCATTACTTGGTTGAGAAGCACAGTATATCTAACTCTATAGCGAGTCTTGGGATGAATATAGAGACAAACCTACCCGGTCGAATTGACAAACAACAACATTTTCTGTTTCAAAGAGTTCCGAGCTGTCGTCGTCAGAAACGTCATCATCAGAATTCAGAGGTTCTGAATCTTCCTAAAGAAACACGTGAAAGAATCATTAGGAAATTTATACAAAGCATCTCGAAATGAACCATGTTTCCATGGAAAATCAGCGTCGTTTTCGAGAGTTTTCAAAATCGTTTTTGTCTATTTTATTGTTTTGACGCCATGTCAACACGATCCAAGGAAAAATATGTTTAATATGTTGCATTACCGTCAACGTCTATTGTAAATTCACGGTGTTTGAAACTGTTTTGGCATGAAAACCAATGTGAAAATGCTTGAAAATGTTACCGTGTGCACATAGCCCGAGTCAGTTACCTGTGGTTTATCTTCACCATCTTCGTCATGACTGAGATCATTATCATCATCGTCGTCGTCCTCATCATCATCACTATCGCTATCGTTGGGTCCATCAACTTGTATGATCACTGAAGGTCTCTGCATTCAGTCAAACAGAATCATGTAAATGTTAGATTGATATCATTGGTCAAAATACGATCAACCATCAAGTTTTTAAAATTTTCAACTGCACCAGATTTTTGTTCAATCATGAGATATGCTATCAATTTAAAAATAGCTAAAAGCGGATGTTCGTAATATTTTTATTCTAAGGATAGAAATCTCTTGATAATAAATTTTCTAAGGACACGCCAATTCATCTAAACTGGGGCAATTATTTTCAGCCCCATATAAATTGGGTCCTACCTACAATGCTCCTATACGGGTACAATCGCTCACAGTTTAATACAAATGATTGAAACAAACCGATGCTTGTTGTGGAACTGCCACACGTTGCTGCTGCGTTGTCACGTGTTGCTGTTGCGTTGTCACGTGCTGTGGCTGCGCTGTCACGTGTTGCTGCTGCTGCGTTGTCACGTGCTGTTGCTGCACTGTCACATGTTGCTGCTGTGTCGTCACAAGTTGCGGAGTTGTCACGATGTGTTGACCTTGAACATTATGCTGGATTGTCTGACGGGTCGGCTGGATAGCTGATACAGTAAGACCATGGTATGCTAAATGTAAGAAAGACAATATCTCAGAGTCGAATTGGTTAACATGTTTTACAAACCAAATCTGTTGTGCTTGTTGTTAATGGTTTACTGCCTCAGTTATACTCTCTACTAAGGACTTACCTTGACGTAATGGCTGTTGATTTGCTTGTGATGTCTCTGGTATCTAAAACGTTTTTAAAAAACCTCGTTGGAAAAACAAAGGAGGGACAACAGTGTGGAGGAAAGACTAACACTGGCTCTACAAACAGTTCATGTTATTACAAGTTGTTTTTATGAATACGTAATTTGTAAATAGCAACAAGGTGAGATTCTATAGAAAATCCTTTGAATCCTAATGACAATACAGTTTTTATAATGCTATTTTTAGAAGGTCTAATACAGTGCAATGAAGATTATGATAGGTATTTGTAATTGCTTTTAAGTAGTCAAGGAATGGGACCATTCAATGGCTACAATTGGCTTAGCTAGATCTAGCATTCTCGTATGAAACAAAAAAGTCTAATGTTACATGAAAGCCTATAACCTAAGCAACTTAGCATCAAATGTGGTATGACAAATGCCAGAATAGACAAAAACACTTCTCGACGTTTCGACCTGAGGGCCTTCGTCAGGAGAGTTAGTACGAAAGTTTCATACTAACTCTCCTGACGAAGGCCCTCAGGTTGAAACGTCGAGAGGTGTTTTGTCTACTTTGGCAGTTGTTATACCACATTTGATGCTAAGATGTTTGAAGAAGCTGCCACTCTGCTCCCTGGTTATATTATAACTTAAGCATATAAGTGTTTGGCTGGTTAGTGTTGCAGAGCCATTCAAACTCTCTGAGATTTGCATGCTACAATTAATAGAAGATGGATGATTTATTCCAGCAGTATATAAACCAGTACAAGTAATTAACTGGAATGATGATACTAACAGTAGAATTTTCTTTGAAAAGGTATTATTAAATAATGGAACAACATAAATCATAACTCACCTGTTGTTGCTGTTGAATGCTGGTTAGAGTGGCTGCAGGAAGCATAACTTGAGTATATTGAGCATGTGGCTGCTGTATATTTGCAATGTATGGGCGAGCTGCTGATATAAAATGCTGATTTTGTTGATTTCCTGAAAATTGAAATGAACACAAGTTTCCAGATTTAAAAATTAACCAAACTCCAAATGTACCCCAACACTGGACAATTCCTAGGCCCAAATTCATTATTTTACCATTAGATTACCTGTGATGGGTGGTGTGCTTGCAATGGCTGGCTGAGCAGCTATTGGTGTATTTTTACGAACAACATTGAGTTGGTGCTGCTGGTTGTTGCCCACCATAGGAGGAGTCTGGGACAAAAGAACCTGTGGATCTTTCGTGATCTGCCTTTGCAGGCTTTGCTTTGGTTCTGGTACTGCAACTGCACCTGACTGAGTCACTTTGCTTTCCCAAATCTAGAATTTAAATACAAATTGGAATGTTGTATATATACATGGAAAACCCTACAATTCTATCATAATCTTCTAGTTTATTCTACATCAGGAGTCTATGCCTTCAGGATCAGGGGCAAGTTGTATAACTTTAAACTACATTTTAGGTAAATTGTAGAGGTTTAAGGGGTTTTAACTTTGAGTGAAATTATACACACTTCAAATTCAAGTCAGGAACAGTTGATGGAAAAGTGAGTCAATTATCAGTCCTTTGGTAGGAATCGAACCTCCATTTTAGGTAGTTAAATAATTTGTTTTTTATTCCAAAATACACTTTGGTCACTTTTCTCAAATCATGAAACATAATTGGAGAATAAAGTTGCAGTTACAGTATGCAATTGTCCTTTAAACTTGCAATGAAATTATAGTTTTGAAGGATGTTAATTTTTAAAGAGTGTTCAAAACGTTGGCAGATCCCAAGAAATCTTCGTATTTATCAACTTTACATACTTCAGGAGTAGAATTGCATTATTGCATTGCGTGTTTTGCATCGTGTAATTAACTCTACTCAGGGAAAACCCCAACTTTTATTCCCTACCCAAAATCCAACGCGCGGTAGATCACGTGTCTTAAGAATGGAACCACATATAAATATGTCGGACAGCTTGGCTCACGCAATCAAATTCATGATGGCCGAAGATAACATCAGATACAAGCACTTCAAACGGCTTTATTTTAGTGAAAACTTAATGCCATCGCGTGAATTATAAAGAAATGGACGCAGCTTTCACTCAGGAATCATTCTGGAGGAATATTTAAAGGAAAAAGCGCTCAAAAGGATCATCTTGAAACGACTTTAATGCTAGTATTTGACCTTCGCTTGTCGAAATCAATTGAGCAATGATCGATGCTTTTATGCGATTTTATAGCAGTAAATTAATACATTCAGCGCGATTTAGCATCGAATTATTCACCTTTATGCCAAATTAGTTAAATGGTGCAGGCTTTAGATGCAGCTGTCTTTACTGACTAAATATTGTACGTTTTCGCATCAAAGGTTTCAGCTGTGAATAGAAAATTTCCTACTTTGCTGAAATACTTTCTTTGGAAACAGTCAGATCTGTACGATTTTCATATCTGTTTTACCTGTTTTAATTCCTGTAAGACCTGTTCGTCGACTCCATCGTTGAGAAAAGCTTCGCGAACATTTTTAATCACTTCTTCGATAACATTCTTGTAGACTTTCGACTGCAAATATGCCACTAGAGTTAGCGCAATTTCCTCATGTTTAAGAACTAGATCGCAAAAAACGACGATCGAAAAACAAATACTGTACGTTAAGCGAGACCTACCACGTTATTTTGACTCTGTGCCATTTTGCGAGGGCATTTAAAACATAGCAATAGACTAACCCCTACTTTGGGCTTCTTCGGAGCCGACCTGTTCGCTCGAAGGCTTCTTTATATACCCTGCCTTCGTTTCACTTATAGGGGGGTCCAAACGCCCCTGCAACGAACACACCATATATGGAAAACGAAAACTTCCTGTAAGAATTTTTAATTAGGTTGCCCGATGATCTCTTTGTGCAAATGAGGTACTGGAGGAATACCGTTTTTGAGACCCGGCCAGGAAGACAAGACATATCTGTATCGCCGAGATTTCTCAGACGGATTTCAGACGCACGTTTAAGAAAATTCCTTTCCAAAGGCTACGGCCATATACGCAGGCTAATGGTCAGTTCACACTTGCCATTTTTGCTATGATTTAACTTTTTTGATAGATATGAACGAGTGAAATAGTTACAGATAGTCAAATAAGACACCCGTGAATTAGAGCGTTCATAGCTCTTTGCTCGTTTTCTTTCAAAATATCAAAAAGTCGCGGCAAAAATTGCAGGTGTAAACATAGTTGTGTACAGATTTAAAATTGCATTACTGGGCCCCAGTGATGTCCCCAGGGGCCAGTTACATAAAACTTTTTAACTACGCTGCAGTTCCCAATCAAACTTCCCACTTCCACGATCAAACATGCGCACTTTTGCAGTTTACTTTTCATGCAAATTGCAAAACTCGCAACTCAAAGAACTCATAGTCTCATACCCAGATCGCGCATAAATTTCCTGGAAATGAAGCTGTGAAATGTGAGTCATGGAAGCACCAGTTTCCAAGATGGCCGCCAAAGTTGCACGAAATTTTGTTGCAAAGAGCGTTTCTCAATTTGAAATGCCACAAACAGGAATTCCTATAATCATACGGCCATTCGTCGTAAAGAAAGCTTATGTAGTCCATCCGAAAGTGACCAGTTTTCAAGCGGATTTGAAAGCGCAGTGGCTCACAAAGACTTGTCTAAGAAAGGGATTACCTGCGTCTATTGATAGCGACGTTGATTTCGTGTCAAACGAACAGTTAAAATTCATCAAAGAAAGGATGGAAAAATCTATTTTGCATACGATAGTTTCCCAAAAAATAGGAATGAAATGGAAAATGCAGTATGAAGACGATTTATTGGAGGGTTTACTGCCTAGTTTTCTTCTACAAATTTGGCATTTAGCAGATAACTCCTCCTCACAAGATAGCTTTCTCGACTTTCGACCTTGTATAAAAACGCACTGGTGCCGGAATTTTAGGTTTTACCAAACGACCTTTAGTCCGGGATTTGTCCTACGGAGCAAAACGCCATTACCATTGTTTGAACAAGGTATATAAATGTTTATTTCAACACTGCTCTCTGAAATCCTTTTATATTTGATAGCCATTCTAATTCTCTGGGAATCACCCAGGGTATTGCTGGCCAATCTGATTAAAAAACTCAGTGTGCATTGCATGTTGGTTTAAATCCCAGAAATTGAACATCTCTGAAATAGAGTTTGCATAAAAAAACAAGATATTTCCCATGGGCCATTGCCAGCACAATTTCATGGCTACAAAATTATCCTACCAGTTTGTCTGGTTCCCAGCATCATTAGCTGGTGGTTATTTTAAGAAGGCAGTGTCCTAAGTATCGTAAAAAGTGTAGTTGTTGTAGTTAGGTTGATCCACAGTTAAGTTGATCAGACCTTTTCATTGTATATTTTTTATCTGCTCTTGTCAGATGTTAACAGCACAGTAGCTACAGATCTGCCTGGACCATATTTCCCTGTGGATCTGGGTGTATTCCGCCACCCAACAATTCACCTGCCAAACTCACCAGGTTACAACTCCAACCTCGAGACACCTTACCCAGCCACCATGCTTCTTCCTGACTTCATGAGTCGGAACCAAGAGCAAATGGTTCACCATGGGATACATGCTATGTTTAGCCAACTGGTCGCCATGGCAATGAAACAAGGTTATTACCCTGGCCAGCATCTTGATGAACCGCTGGCAACAAAATGCATTATCACCAATGGTCGTATCTTCATGTTTATGGCATACCAACTGAACACACTGTCGTTACAAGAGGACTTTGGTATCAAGAATATTGCTTGGTTTGAGGACTTTAAAACTCTGTACAATATAGACTCTGATCCATTTAGAAAAGGTCGCAAGACATTTTATGAAGTTTTACCAACAGAAACTAAGTCACTTGAATTGGATGAAGCATGTATCAAAACACTTGTAGCATTTATAACACAGAGAACAATATAAATCAAAATTATGGATGTTAATGGATGTTATCTTTTGCTGAAAGATGTTTAAAATTTTAAATATATCACCAGGCACCACTTGAAATTTGTTTTTGTGGAATGATTTCTAAATTGAAGTGGAAACATATTGCATACATACACGTGGACAATGCGTGTTTGTGCCCTGAGCTATTACCTTTGTTAGCTTAATTTCAATGGTTACACATATGCACTAAGTATAGTGCGTGTAGTTATACAAATACAAAGCTATTACTATTCACCACAATTAAAACGGAACAAATTTTCTCTGTTCTATTTTCAAGTCACACGAGCAACAGGTGGTCTGGAGGTTGTCTCTTCGGGTAGTACACATCAGACTTCAGTTGTATATAATTATAAAGACTGCTGTTATAAATATTGCAATTATTGCTCATGGCCAACACGAGCGAAGTAAGAACAACAAAAAGTAATACACTGCCTGGAAGTGCTTCAAGTATAGTTCCTGCGCCCTCATCCAACTTAAATCTTATGGAACCCTCTCAACTGCTCCCACCGGATGAGGTCGATTTGTTAAAAATGGCGACTCACGATCACAGCTCATCAAAACTGCAAGGAAAAGTTGCCCTTATTACTGGTATTTCATTCAATTTTTTTTCGCAATCATTTGTACATTGAAACAGGCCATTCTGATTTGGTTGTTAAGTTGCTAAAAGGCTTTCAATCCTTATCTCTCGCTAGTGGATACACCACAGTAAACAATGCCAATATTTTCATAAAAGGGTATCCCTCTAAGGTGCCCTGCCCCTCTCCAAAAAAATTCAGGGAATGTAAAACATGTTTCCAAGAATACATGTTACTTTTCTTTGGGGGTGTTTATGAGGTACAAGTTCTGACATTGTTTTTGTAACCAACTGCAATTAAATAATTTAGGTGGTAGCTCAGGTATTGGAGCAGTCACCGCAATTCACTTCTCATCTCTGGGCTGTAAAATTGCAATAACCGCAAGGTCATTAAGAGGACTTGAGAAGACTGCGCAAGAATGTAATGATGTAGGTACAACTTGAATCCAAGAGAAGGTTGGCATTCATTACTTGTCATATTTCAGTGATGTGTTGGTCCATATTGGTTACACAGTTTGGACGTGTTTTACAAGCCTTTTATAGGTGGTTGGTTATTCAATCTGGCTAGTCTTGATGGCTGTTCTTTAATGGGGGATGAATCAGTCTATCTTTGGTCAAGCTAGTTAGGTAGTAACTTGAATGGCCAAACAGCTTAAATTAAAGGTTGTCATTTAAATCACTTGGTGAACAATCAATCTTTTAGATGGTTGATCAATCAATCTGACTAGTCAGTTGGTGGTCAGTTAACTGATGGGTCTGATTCATGGAGTCATATACAATTGATAGTTGGTCTTTATTAGGTGATCAATAGGTCTTTATAAATGGTCTATCCATTCCGGTGGGTCACTGAGTGGCCAAACAGCTTAAATGGTTGTCATTCAGTCTGGCCAGTCAGACCTGGTCATTTTGGTCACCTGAGTTGCCGATCAGTGAATAACTGGGTGATTGCAGCAACTAAATTAGCTTCTTGAGCTATTAGCTTGATAGTGAGTTTGTTGACTTGCACCATTTTTATGATTGGTTGGACAATTTGTTTGTAGATCAGTCTTGCATTGTGTTGGTGGGATAGCTTTGTTCAAGCAGTCAGATTCCTGGCCAGTCAGTCCAATTTAAATCAAATATCAACAACTACCTGATAATTTGTCAAAACAGCTTCTGCACAAGTTACAACTTATACCATTGATATTTTAAACCAGGTTTTGACCATTGAAGCAGATGTTAATAATGATGCAGATGTGAAGCGCATGGTTGATTCAACCATTCAACACTTTGGACGTCTGGACATTTTGGTATGTAAGCCTTTGTGTCAGACCTTGTGGTGCCTTGATCATTAACATAATCAAACATTGATGACAAATGATGTCTAGCAAAATATGCTGGACTACATATATATTTTTGCTTATGAGTAAAGACTCAAGGAGCAGATTAAATAGGTTGATAAGTGACCCTGAAACACTTAAGAGTAAATTCAAAAGGTCTACATTTTTTATCAGCAGAAAGGCAAAGACATTTCTGGTTCAGCTGTCCCATTTTAGTATTTTTGCAATCTGAACTCCGGCAATTTGTATTTTTGCTTTGCAATTTAGATCAACAGTGCTGGGATTCTCAGCAGGGGTACGATTGAAACGACAAGCTTGGAAGATTACGACAAAGTCATGAATACAAATATGAGGTAGACGTACGACAAAGTAAACCCATTTAATAGCGATTACCTTGACTTGTAAAAAGTGTCGAAAACGTCTGTTTACATTTCTTAGATCCGTATTTCAGCTAACACAACTCTGCATTCCCCATTTGGTTAAAACTAAAGGTAGAAATATAAAGTTAATGTATTACCACGCAGGTTTCTAAACTGAAATACTTTTTACGTTTCTAAACTGAAATACGTTTCCGCATATGGCATCTTTCGAAAGAACTGACAACAATGTCAATAACAATGAAATTTGTTTTGTAATTTCAAGAATATTGTCTTTAGGTTGCATTGTAAACGTTTCCAGTGTGACAGGAATGAGATCGGTAAGTTAATACACCTAAAAATTCAAAGAAATTTAGCCAAACAAGTGATTTTCTTTACGCTCGCCCAAACCACAGGCACAGACCCAAACAGAAGCGATCCAACATTTTTCGCTGACCAATCACGTTGCCGGATTTCAGGCGTGTGGCGGGAAACAGGCTTACTGGAAGAATATTCAACGAATCCCGTAACCCCTTGAGTATTTTGATAAATAACTAATTCATTTAAAAGTTAAAACATTTTTTTAGTTTGCAGGAGTGTTACCTTATTGCATATCAAAAGCTGCAATGGATCAATTCACGCGGTGTATTGCACTAGGTATGCAAACCATTTTCTCTCCTCGATTTTGAGAGAGAGGTTTAAAAGTGAGGGTTCTAGGACCTGTTTTTTATCTCTGCTTAGTGCTTCTTACCCTTTCTGATCTGTATGTTCGTTTCTTGACATACGTTTTCTAGAACTAGCAGAAAAACAAGTTAGAGTAAACAGCGTCAAGTAAGTTTCTATAATAGAAAATTTTGATGATAAAACGCAGACGTTAGTATAATTTTCAATTTGTAGTCCAGGAGTGATTAACACTGGTATGCATACGCGAGGGATTGAGCCTTTGGACCAAAGTACATTTGAAAAGGTAAAGGTATCTTATCTATCGTATGGCAATCGTAAACAATTCAAATTCAAGGTTTTTTGTGCACTTATTTATTTGTATTTATGAAACATAATGGAGCAATTGAATTTCGTAGAAAGCATGGTGAAAATGAAGTAGTGCTCATATAGTGGTACTTGCCTTACAGAGTGCCTGTGGTACTGGCACCATTTTGCACCCCGTGCACGGTCCGGTGATCAAATTACACCATGTTTTTCTTCACCCGCATATTTTTGTGAATTTATAGTTTTGCATTCTCAAATGAGTTCGATTTCTATGTTTAGTTCTTGGAACGCAGTAAAACCACGCACGCGTTGGGTAGAGTTGGCGAACCCGAGGAAGTAGCGAAGACCATTGCATTCTTGGCCTCGAGCGATGCGAGTTATATCACTGGCGCGACCATTCCAGTTGATGGCGGCCGCCATGCAATGTGTGCACGTTGATCAGAAATTGTTTTGATCATTGATATAAATAAACCTTGATTGCTCATCCAATAAAAACACAACTTAAGGGACCAAGATAGCAGCCATGTTCTATTTAATGTATCTCTATATAGATCAGTGACACATCTAGCCAATCAGAAAACAGTCAAGATAGAGGCGAAAGCCTTCAAAATTGTACATCTAAACAGCAGCAATCCGGGTTTATTCATATTGATGGTAAATACACACATATATTAATCAGCAACCGGTTGTTCAAAAGTTGATTAGCCAATCTCGGGATTAGTAACGCAAATAGACAAATCAAATTTAAATTTTTTTCAAAAAAATTTCCAAGTGTCTTAGGAGTTTAATTTACAAAAGTTTCTGCCAATTAGAAAAACAAGGACAAAATAAATTGGCCATGATTGTGGTTAGCACCGACCGGTCTTTCAAACGATTCATTGCAGGCATAACGTAAATTCCATTCGCGCACAACAATACTTGTATTTGTGTCTGAGAATAGAATTTGAAATAAATGTGTTCTTGACTTAACTCAGAGAGAATCATTTCGTTTTTGCATCCGCATGTTTGAAAATAAACTCGTCTCTCTTTAATTGCTGTCAATCACAAATAACTTCCATTTCTTAGAAAGGAAAACTTGTTATTTGTTGACAGCTAACAATGTCATGTTTAGTGTCGATTTAACTACTCCACTTTTTGTTAATATCAAGCGAGGTCATTCCGAGGTCATCAAAATCTTTTTACCAAAATGTTTTGAAATATCGTCAAGACTTTGCGACTTTTAATTTTGTGACTATAATTGTCCCACAAATCTTCTGATTCGGTTCCCCTCTGTTGATACTATGCAACAAGAGTTACATTGTTCATCAGTGCGAGCAATAGTCTTTCTCTTTTTTTCATGCTTCAAGGTGTGTGACACTACAAAATGCTTCTACTCCATTTCCTCGACACTTTTTCCTACCTTCGGGTCATCTTCATCAACCACCATCTCTTTGCTTTTAGTATTTTTTCTCTTACCTCGTTTCTTGCCACTCTTATCCACGTCCATTTCATCGCCCTTCGTTCCTTTCTCTCGAAATTTTTCATTTTCTTTGATCAACGTTAGTTTGTGAACTTTAGGGACGTTTTGAAGGTATTTTCCCGGAACTTCCATTCCTAAAATTTCCGGAATCATGTAGACCTTGAGCCAGCCGACCAATGGCGTGTTTCCAGGGTGATAATGCGCTTGCTTGTGATAGAAAAGAATGCCGTCAATCTGAAATAGAACGCCATGTTAATCTCTGATGTACATTGAGACTGGATAACTAAAATCTGCTAGGAAAAAATGAAGCTAATGGCGGCCATGTTGAATGATCACAGAATAAAATCGTGTCTGCTATTGGGAGGATATCAAAAGTGCTTCTGCATGTTTCTAGCCGCTGGTGAAAAAGGAGAAACATTCCTAGATAACAGTTTACAAACCATCAATAGCCTCAGTTATTCTTTCTGTTTGAGGACTAATTTCGATCATATCAAAATTGACGCCAGTGCCAGTTTCTTTTTATTGTCTTTGCCCAGGACACTGGTGTCTTAAAAGGACTGGCACTGGTGCCTAAATCGGCTTCAATTGGCTTAAAAGATGCAAACCGAGTTCACTGGTTTGATATTCATAATCATCTGTATTCTACTACCAACCTGGTAATGTCGCTCGGAGGCAAGTGCGTCGAAAATCGATTGTCGATCACACGAACACGTCTCTGCTGCCACGAATTTATACTGTTGGAATGAAAGAGAACGTTTGTTCAGAGACTGGTAAAACAAGTATAGCTATTCCAAGAATTGAGATTCATATGGTGACGTCATCAGCGGGCAGTGGGGGACAGATTAAAACCATTGGGGCCCACCAAATAGGACGAAAAGTTCTCCACCAGATCCAGTCTTAAAGTTGTGCGTAAAAGGGAGAGGAGGAGGAGGGGAGGTGAATGGGGGTGGCAGGGAAGGGGGGGAAAAAGGGGAGGGGATGGGAGGGGGAATGAATAAATGAACGTTTTTTGTGCAGCAATTTCACATCGCATAATCGCATTTGACCATATTGATTGACAGCCAACAATAGGATCGTGCGTGAAAGGTAAAATTCCGAGATATATACCATAACGGAGACGCTTAGAATTTATTGAGCAAAATATTTTAATTTTATTTATATACAAGAAATTACTCGCTATTAGCTACGAATGCTCAAATCCATGTGCAAAACGGACTTGACCTCCACTTTAGCACAATCGTTTCACAATTCATTGAAGGTAAAGTACTAATTGAGGAGAAACTATGGCAGTGGGTCCTTTACAATGTGAGGTCAGATATACTTCCTCGTCTTCACCAAACAGCGACAATCTGATTTTGCGACGACGTTGGCCCGTCTCAGCTTTATATGTTGACAGAAAGTAACATCCTGCAACCAGCGTGAGGAAAATCACTTCTCCTGTGAGATGATTGAAGGCAACGCTGACACACGACTCATTATTTCCACCATACAACTCAAATTCTCGTATCAACTGCCCGTCTTTCTCGTAAACTAATACACGATGACCAGATTTCTTTACTGCGACGACTTGGTACTTACTGGTGACTGTTATCAGTGTAAAATTCCACAGTTGGGTTTGAAAACTCGACGTCTTCTTGATCCTTCCTTCGTCGTTCTCGAATAATGTAACCTCGTGAACGGATGAATCCTCACGTCGAATAGCCACAGCAAAACCACAAGGAGTCGAGTTCATTGAGTTGAAGCTGAACATTCCGACACACTCACCAAATTCATACGAGTCTTTTGATAATCCATTGGAATCCAGGGCAATCAATTCGCACGAAGGAGCACTTAGAAATGTTGGACTATCAGTATAAAAATCTCCGAAAGTGGACAAATAATACACATTATCGTCATTGTCAATCGCTAGCGGAATCTGTCCATGCAAAAAGGACATTTGGGAAAAACTCTTAACCTCTGACTCGCTCGTTATAATTTTCAACAAAAAAGGCGGTTCAACTTCACAGTGATTACTGGGATCTTTCAGAATGAGATGACCAACGCTGTTCACGCAAAAAGACCGAACGTCTAGAGTGCTAGCGTCAAATCGCTTTCCCAGGTCAAAAAAAGCTAAATTTGGAAACAGGAAGCCACAAATGCTTTGCATTTCCGCGAAAATGGTCTTGTCTGGAATCACAGGATTGTACATCCAGCTGTCAACTTGCAAACTTGGCCAGTCGAACAAAATTATAGGATCTTTAGAAAAACTCTTCAAAAAGTTTAGCACAACGAAATTGATTGTGGTTACAGAGAGAACAAGTTTGTGCCTTTTTTTCTTGTTGGGTTTTGACATTATCCCCCCTTTCAAATAATTGCGAAACGTTTCAACAAGGGACGATAAACCGTGAAGTTCTTCCAAGTACAATCTACAAGGCTGCTCTGCGAGGCTGGAATTTCTAAGGCTGAGGAGAATTCTGCTTTGGATGCGAAGTTTCGTAGCGAGAACTCGATCCTCAACGCTCAGAGCTTCGTTGTGGAATGCTTTGGTTGCTTCCGTGTTGGCATTCTTGAACGACTCCATGGCGGATAGGAAATGGTCGCTCGAATTGACCTTCATCTTATCGATAGCTTCTGTAAGTCCAGAAACTGCATCCACGTCAAGGTGTGAATCTTTTCTACTGGAAGAGGCTTGATCAAGCTTGCTTGTTTTGTCGTCTTGTTGAAGCGGAAGTGTTGGGGTGTTTGGTTCGTCTGGCACCAAAGCATATAATAATCGCAATCCTTCCTGAAGATTACTCGCACTGGTAAGAAGACTACTACGAGCCAGGCCAGCGAGTTTCGTTTTAATATCTTGAAGATTGCTCATAATTAAGCCACGAAGCTCCTGAGCATTTAAACCACCGTCTCTAATCTTCTCGCACAACAAACCTCGAGCTTTTTTCACAAACAAACCCAAGGTCATTTTTAATACAACATCTACCATCTTGTTAATTGTTTGGCTGTTCTCTGACCGTCGTATGAATATCGAATAAACGCGTTTCTATACTATAATATTATGAATTATTAACGTTTTATGAAATAACTGCTTCGTCAGCAGCTTCGAACACAAATAAAATGCCTTCATTCGCATGTGATCGATCATGTTACATGTGTCTACAATATCAAATGTATGTAAACAAATGAGTTCTTTTAAAAATTTACCAATGCGATTGCGATTTTCAGCTGTAGTAATTTATTCTGACTACCCCAAGATCCGCCACTGTTAGAACCAAACTTGATAACAGGGTGCCCTCTTCCCAACCCTCTCTCTCACCGCCAAGAGCATCTTGACCCGTCTTATATCATTGAGAAAACCGAGAAGAAATTTCATTGAATAAAACAAATAGTACAAAGTAGACCAAAACCGCGGGGTGTCTTAGCCATAACCTCTTTATTATCACATATATGTTTCACTTGTCATTTCACACAAAACTAAACAAGAACTAAACACGTAGCAAGAGGGAATCAAAATAAGACAAATTTCGGCAAAAGATGATTCAAAACAAAACGCTGGAGTGCTGAAGTGGCGGACGAGTTTTACATATTTTATATACAATGACTAGTTGCAGGAAAATAATCAAAATATTAACATTAAAAAGGGTTTAGGTGTACGTTCAATCTATGTTGGAGAACATATAGTTCACGTATTTTTTCAACTGTTTCTGGTCTGAATTGATTTGCTAAGATTTCCACTCGGGTTTAAGATATTTTAACCAGTTTCGAAATTACCTCACATCAAGGGAAGTGGCACATGTAAGGATTCAATCTCATCTATCCACAGGTATTGCCATATTAAATACACATTTACCACACTCGCTCTTGTAAACTACCTCCGAACCCTAGCAATCAAAGCATCTCACAGGCATCGGAAAGTCATAGATTTGATTCCTAATGCAAATAGACAAATCAAATTTAAATTTTTTTCAAAAAAATTTCCAAGTGTCTTAGAAGTTTAATTTACAAAAAATTTTGCCAAGTAGAAATAAACGGACAAAATGGGTTGGCCCTAATTGTGGTTAGCACCGACCGGTCTCTAAAACTATGCATTGCATAACGTAAATTCCATTCGCGTACAACAATACTTGTATTTGTGTCTGAGAATAGAATTTGAAATAAATGTGTTCTTGACTCAACTCAAAGAGAATCAAGTTGTTTTTGCTTCTGCATGTTTGAAAATAAACTCGTCTCTCTTTAGTTGCTGTCAATCACAAATAACTTCCATTTCTTAGAAAGGAAAACTTGTTGGTTGTTGACAGCTAACAATGTCATGTCTAGTGTCGATTTAACAACTTCACTTTTTTGTCAATATCAAGGGGTTGTCACTCCCAGGTCATCAAAATCTTTTAACCAAAATGTTTTGAAATATCGTCAAGACTTTGTGACTTGATTTTGTGACTATAATTGTTCCACAAATCGATTCGGTTCCCCTCTGTTAATGCCATCCAACAAGAGCTACATTGTTTATCAACGCAAGCAATAGTCTTTCTCTTGTCGTCATGCTTCAAGGTGGCTAACCCGACCAAGCGATTTATCCCTTACATTAATCCCTACGGCACACCACAAAATGCTTCTATTCCATTTCCTCGACACTTTTTCCTACCTTCGGGTCATCTTCATCAACGACCATCTCTTTGCTTTTGGTATTTTTTCTCTTACCTCGTTTCTTGCCACTCCTATCCACGTCCATTTCATCGCCCTTCGTTCCTTTCTCTCGAAATTTTTCATTTTCTTTTATCAACGTTAGTTTGTGAACTTTTGGGACGTTTTGAAGGTATTTTCCCGGAACTTCCATTCCTAATATTTCCGGAATCATGTAGACCTTCAGCCAGCCGACCAATGGCGTGTTTCCTGGGTGATAATGCGCTTGCTTGTGATAGAAAAGAATGCCGTCAATCTGAAATAGAACACCATGTTAATCTCTGATGTACATTGAGACTGAATAACTAAAATCTGCTAGGAAAATTGAAGCTAATGGCGACCATGTTGAATGATCACAGTAAAATCGTGTCTGCTATTGGGAAGATATCAAAAGTGCTTCTGCACTTTTGGGAGGAAAAACGTCCCTAGATGACAGTTTAAAATCATCAATAGCCTCTTATTCTTTTTGTTTGAGGATAATGACTAATTTCGATGATTTAAAATTGACACCAGTGCCAGTCTCTTTCTATTGCCTTTGCCGGTGTAATCATCGACCGTGAAGACAAAAAATAGAAAGGGACTGGCACTGGTGCCTAAATCGGCTTCAAATTGACTAAAAGTTTGATATTCATAATAATCTGTATTCTACTACCAACCTGGTAATGTCGCTCTGAGGCAAGTGCGTCGAAAATCGATTGTCGATCACACGAACACGTCTCTGCTGCCATGAATTTATACTGTTGGAATAAAGGAGAACGTTTGTTGAGAGACTGGTAAAACAAGTATAGTTGTTCCTAGAATTGAGATTCGTATGGTGACGTCATCAGCGGGCAGTGGGGGACAGATTAAAACCATTGGGTCCCACCAAATAGGACGAAAAGTTCTCCACCAGATCCAGTCTTAAAGTTGTGCGTAAAAGGGAGAGGAGGAGGAGGGGAGGTGAATGGGGTGGCAGGGAAGGGGGGAAGGAGGGGGAGGGGATGGGAGGGGGAATTAAAGCACGGAAGTGTAAGAATAAATGAACGTTTTTTGTGCAGCAATTTCACATCGCATAATCGCATTTGACCATATTGATTGAGAGCCAACAATATGATCGTGCCTGAAAGGTAAAATTCCGAGATACACACCATAACGGAGACGCTTAGAATTTATTGAACAAAATATTTTAATTTTATTTATATACAAGAAATTACTTGCTATTAGCTACGAATGCTCAAATCCATGTGCAAAACGGACTTGACTTCCACTTTAGCACAATCATTTCAAAATTCATTGAAGGTAAAGTACTAATTGAGGAGAAACAATGGCAATGGGTCCTTTACAATGGGAGGTCAGATGTACTTCCTCGTCTTCACCAAACAGCGACAATCTGACTTTGCGACGACGTTCGCTCGTCTCAGCTATATAATATGTTGACAGAAAGTAGCATTTTCTAACCAGCGTGATGAAAATCACATCTCCTGTGAGATGATTGAAGGCAACGCTGACACACGACTCATTTTTTCCACCATACAACTCAAACTCTGGTATCAGCTGCTGCCCGTCTTCCTCGAAAACTCGCACACGATGACCAGATTTCTCTACTGCGACGACTTGGCTTTTTCTGGTGACTGTTATCAGTGTAGAAGCCCACAGTTCGGCTTGAAAACTGGACGTTTTCTTGATCCTTCCTTTGTCGTTTCTGAATAATGTAACCTCGTGATTGGGTGAATCCCTACGTCGAATAGCCACAGCAAAACCAAGAGGAGTTGAGTTCATCGCAGGGCAACTGTCCTTGTCGTAAACTGACTTACAAAGTTGATACGAGTCTATTGGACATCTAGTTGAGTCCACAGCAATCAATTCGCACGAAAGAGCACTTTCAGTTTCATAATGATTATCTTTGTAAACGGACAAATAATACACATTATCATCAATGTCAATCGCTAGCGCAAACCTTTCATGCTTACAGTATGTTTGGGAAAAATGGTCAACCTTTGTCTTTGACTCGCTCGTTACACTTTTCACCAAAACAGGGGGTTCAAATTCAGCATTGTTCCTCGCTTTTTTCGCTGTTCACGCAAAAAGACCGAAAGTCTAGAGTGCTAGCGTCAAATGGATTTTCCAGGTCAAAAAAAGCTAAATTTGGAAACAGGAAACCACCAATGCTTTGCATTTCCGCGAAAATGGTCTTGTCTGAAATCACAGGATTGTACATCCAGCTGTCAACTTGCAAACTTGGCCAGTGGAACAAAATCATAGGATCTTTCGAAAATCTCTTCAAAAAGTTTAACACAACGAAATTGATTGTGGTTACAGAGAGAACAAGTTTGCGTCTCTTTTTCTTGTTTGGTATTGACATTATCCCCCCTTCCAAATAATTGCGAAACATTTCAACAAGAGACGATAAACCGTGAAGTTCTTCCAAGTACAATCTACAAGGCTGCTCTGCGAGGCTGGGATTTTCAAGGCTGAGGAGAATTCTGCTTTGGACGCGAAGTTTCGTAGCGAGAACTCGATCTTCAACGCTCAGAGCTTCGTTGTGGAAAGCTCTTGTTGCTTCCGTGTTGGCATTCTCAAACAACTTCATGGCGGATACGAAATGGTCGCTCGAATTGATCTTTATCTTATCGATCGCTTTTTTAAGTTCGAGTGCTGCATTTACGTTTAGGAGCGAATCTTCGCTGGACGAGACTCGCTCAAGTTTTCTGGCTCCATCAGGATTATCTTCGACTATGTTGTCGTCGTCTGGACGCGAAATGGTTGGGGTGTTTGGTTCGTCTAGCTCCAAAGCATCTAACAATCGCAATCCTTCCTGAAGATTACTCGCACTGGTAAGAAGACTACCACGAGCCAGACCAGCGAGTTTCGTTTGGATATCTTGAAGATTGCTCATAATTAAGCGACGAAGCTGCAGAGCATTTATACCACCCTCCTTAAGCTTCTCGCACAACAAACTTCGAGCTTTTTTCACAAACAAACCCAAGGTTATTTTCAACACAGCATCTACCATCTTGTTAATTGTTTGGCTGTTCCCTGACCGTCGTATGAATATCACAAGTACCGAGTGATAGAAGTAATAAACGCGATTCTATCAAGCTTATAAAGATTATATATATATATACAGGACTTTTCATGAACTGACATGCATATAATGTATCTATATAGCTAGCTATATCAAAGCTTCGACCGCGAATAAAGGCCTTTTCCAAACCATTCATGTAATACGCGATCAATATAGTTGTCTACAGCATAAAACAACGGAATATAAATTAAATAAATTACACTGGATACAAAAAGTCAATGTTAAAATTCAAAGGTTAGAACTGTCACAGCTATTGTGCATTACTGAATTTGCTTGCTCTCGTACTAGGTACGTATTTAACGTTTTCGTCGGTAAATCTTTTTTAAAAATGGAGAAAAGGCCAGCCATCTCCGACCCTTATTCGTCAAAAAATTGGAGGACGTATAGTTGACGAATGTTTCTCAACTGTTGCTGGCTTTCATGTATTTGTGTATAACTTGTATAATAGTACATATATGTGAAGAAATTTCGTTGAATACAACTAATAGTACAAAGTAGTCAGAAACCGCGGGGTTTCTTATTGTTCTGCTATATAGCTAACTTTATATCATTTAAATTATTACCATGCTAATCACTAATCAGTAATTTCCATACATTAAACTTATATCAACTAGTTAAAATCATTAATTCATTGTAAATAATTCATCTACTAATGTTTTTACTGCGATTAAATAAAAATTCATGCAAACTATATTTCTCTGAAATGAGGAATCCAGCCTAATGCCTTAGAACCAAACTTGATAACAGGGTTCCCTCTTCCCAACCCTCTCTCTCTCTCACCGCCACGAGCATCTTAACCTCTCTTATCATTGAATGTAAAGTACATACAGCGTCAATCTTGTGCTTTGGCGACGTTCGCCTGACTCAATCACGTAAGTGGACAAAAAGTACCAACTTCCAACACGCGTGACGAAAACTACTTCCTCCGTGAGATAATTAAAAGCGACACAAGACTCATCCTTTCCTCCATACAATTCAAACTTTCGCGCTATTTGACCATCTTTCTCATAGACACGAACGTGAAAACCACCCTCCTCTACCACGACTACTTGGTACTTATTGGTTACTGTGTAGAGTAAAGGCTCCCACGATATCTTGATTGCAAAGCTTGATGTGCGTTGGATTTTTCCTCCGTTATTCCGATAGAATGCCACTTCTCTAGCGGATGTGTTCCGATCGTCACTCACCAAAACAAATCCATCTCGGGTTGGAACAAGTGCTTCGTTAGACGGACATTCAGCAACATAAATACGGTTTGTTTCGACTTTTTTCGTATCAAAAGCAAACAGCGTGCAAGGTCCCCGGATTATCGATTCAGATCCTCGAGGAGGGCAATCGTTATCTGTTAACACATAGATATTATCGTAACTGTCAATTGCAATGAAAAACTGGTGTTGTGACCGGAATGGGTCGATAGTTTTCACATCATTCACTGCCATTTTCAAAAAAGAAACCTGCTCAGTTTCAAAATCTTTGGCACCCAAAAACAACTGTCCATCACTGTTCACGGCACCCGAGTTAATAAGACGCTTGCCAATCTTTCTATCGACGTTTTCAACCACGAATAGACCAGGTATTTCAATCCCGGCATTTTGTAGTTCCACACAAATATTTTTGTCTGGAATCAAAGGATTGTACACGCCTTTATTCAGATTCGGCCAGTCATATAAAGATATTGGAGCTTTGGTAAATTTTTTCAAAAAGTTGAACACAACCACGTTTATCGCAGACACAGAAAGGACAAGTTCGTGTTCTTTTCCCTGGTCCCATGACGGCAGCTTTCTACCTTTCAATTCATTGTAAAATATTTCCTCAATCGAAGATAAACCGTGTAGTTCCTCCAAGTACAATCTACAAGGCTGCTCTGCGAGGCTGGGATTTTCAAGGCTGAGGAGAATTCTGCTTTGGACGCGAAGTTTCGTAGCGAGAACTCGATCTTCAACGCTCAGAGCTTCGTTGTGGAATGCTTTGGTTGCTTCCGTGTTGGCATTCTCAAACAACTTCATGGCGGATACGAAATGATCGCTGAAATTGACCTTCATCTTATTGATAGCTTCTGTAAGTTCGCGAGCTGCATCTACGTCAAGCTGTGAATCTTTTCTGCTGGAAGAGGCCTGCCGAACATATCTGGCTGCCCTCGCGATTTTCCAATTTTTTGGAAGCAGACGTGTTAGGATATTTGGTTCGTCCAGCGCCAAAACATCTAATAATCGCAATCCTTCCTGAAGATTACTCGCACTGGTAAGAAGACTATTACGGGCCAGGCCAGCGAGTTTCGTTTTAATATCTTGAAGATCGCTCATAATTAAGCGACGAAGCTCCTGAGAGTTTAAACCACCGTCCTTAAGCTTCTCGCACAACAAACTTCGCGCTTCTTTCACAAACAAACCCAAGGTAATTTTTAATACAACATCTACCATCTTGTTAATTGTTTGGCTGTTCCCTGACCGTCGTATGAATATCACAAGTACCAAGTGATAAAAGTAGTAAACGCGATTCTATCAAGCTTATAAAGATTATATATATACAAGGCTTTTCATGAACTGACATGCATATAATGTATATAGCTAGCTATCAAATCTTCGATCGCGAATAAAGGCCTTTTTCAAACCATTCATGTATAATACGCGATCAATATACAGTTGTTGTCTACAGCATAAAACAACGGAATATATGTCCTTAAATAAATTACACTGGATACAAAGGATATAGAACTGTCGCAGCTATTGTGCATTACTGAATTTGCTTGCTGTCGTATACTAGTTGAGCATCTAACGTTTTCGTTAGCAAATCTTTTTTAAAAATGTAAATATGACCGCCAGACATTTCATTGGAAAAAGAAGTGAAACCGGAACCAGGGTATCTCAACTTCTCATTATTTTGTCATTAGTGGAGTTTGAGAATTGAGGTGGCGCTATGAAAATATAGTCAGACTTCTGCAGGTCATTTCACAGACGAAACTATAAGCCAAAACTAAACACACACCATGCATGCGAGTGTGTCAAAGTGCAAAGCAAATTCAGGATAAACAAGACACTCGGGAAGGCAATATATGATTCAAAACAAGACGCTAGAGTGCTGAAGACGAGAATAAGCTTTCAAAACAAACTGGCCAGTGAGAAGGTGTAGCCTCGTTCAATTCCTGCCAGATAACATTTTGTTCACGTATTTTATCAACTGTTCCTATAGTTGAATTCATTTGTTTATGATTTCCAGTCGTATGTAAGACTTTCTCATCCTCTCGAGATTATCTCAAATCGAGGAAAATGGCACAAGAACTCAAATGATTTACTTTATTTACTCACACGCACTACCACATAATTATAGATACGCATTTACCCCGCTCGACCTTGTCAGCTACCTCCGAACCTTATTCGTCAAAACATTGGAGGACGTATAGTTGACGAATGTTTCTCAACTGTTGCTGGCTTTCATATATTTGTGTATGACTTGTATAATAATAGTACATATATGTGAAGACATTTCGTTGAATACAACTAATAGTACAAAGTAGTCAAGAACCGCGGGGTTTCTTATTGTTTTGCTATATAGCTAGCTTTATATCATTTAAATTATTACTATACCAATCAATGCTAATCACCAATGAGTAATTTCCACACATTAAACTTATATAAACTAGTTAAATTCATTAATTCATTGTCAATAATTCATCTGTTAATGTTTTTACTGCGATTAAATAAAAATTCATGCAAACTATATTTCTCTGAAATGAGAAATCCAGCCTAATGCCTTAGAACCAAACTTGATAACATGCAGGGTTCCCTCTTCCCAACCCTCTCTCTCACCGCCACGAGCATCTTGACCTCTCTTATCATTGAATGTAAAGTACGTATTCATTAGAAACTAAGGCCATGGGTCCCTTATAGTGCGATGTTAGATGAGGTGATTTGAGCTTCCAATAGTATCTAATATCTTCGGAACTAATTTTACCAAACAGCGTCAATCTTGTGCTTAGGCGACGTTCGCCTGACTCAATCACGTAAGTGGACAAAAAGTACCAACTTCCAACACGCGTGACGAAAACTACTTCCTCCGTGAGATAATTAAAAGCGATGCTGACACAAGACTCATCCTTTCCTCCATACAATTCAAATTCTCGCGTTACCTGACCATCTTTCTCATAGACATGAACATGAAAACCACCCTCCTCTACCACGACTACTTGGTACTTATTGGTTACTGTGCAGAGTAAACGCTCCCACGATATCTTGATTGGAAAGCTTGATGTGCGTTGGGCTTTTCCTCCGTTGTTCCGATAGAATGCCACCTCTGCGGATGTTGCCTCATTGTAATTCACCAAAACAAACCCATCTGGGGTTGGAACAAGTGCCGATTTGTCACACGACCCACAGTTACCAACTTCAAAACGGTTAGTTTCGATCTCTTTCGAATCAAAAGCAAACAGCGTGCAAGGTATGGGTACTAACGAATCAGATCCTTCAGGAGGGCAATCGTTATCTGTTAACACATAGATATTATCGTAACTGTCAATCGCTACGAAAAACTGGTGTTGTGACTGGAATGGGTGGATTTTCACATCATTCACTGCTATTTTCAAAAAAGTAACCTGCCCAGTTCTAAAATCTTTGGTTCCCAAAAACAACTGTCCATCACTGTTCACGGTAACCGAATTAATATGCTGCTTGCTAATATTTCTATCGACGTTTTCAACCACGAATAGACCAGGTATTTTAATTTCGGAATTTTGTAATTCCACACAAATATTTTTGTCTGGAATCAAAGGATTGTATGCGCTTTTATTCAGATTCGGCCAGTCATATAAAGATATTGGAGCTTCGGTAAATTTTTTCAAAAAATTGAACACAACCACGTTAATCGCAGACACAGAAAGGACAAGTTCGTGTCGTTTTTCTTTGTTCAATAACGCCAGCATCCCACCTTCAAACTCGTTGTGAAATATTTCCACAATCGAAGATAAGCCATGTAGTTCCTCCAAGTACAATCTACAAGGCTCCTTTGCGAGGCTGGCATTTTCAAGGCTGAGGAGAATTCTGCTTTGGACGCGAAGTTTCGTAGCGAGAACTCGATCTTCAACGCTCAGAGCTTCGTTGTGGAATGCTTTGGTTGCTTCCGTGTTGGCATTCTTGAACGACTCCATGGCGGATAAGAAATGGTCGCTGGAATTTACCTTCATCTTATCGATAGCTTCTGTAAGTCCAGAGACTGCATCCACGTCAAGGTGTGAATCTTTTCTACAGGAAGAGCCTTGATCAAGCTTGCTTGTTTTGTCGTCTTGTTGAAGCGGAAGTGTTAGGGTGTTTGGTTCGTCTGGCACCGAAGCATCTAATAATCGCAATCCTTCCTGAAGATTACTCGCACTGGTAAGAAGATTACCACGAGCCAGGCCAGTGAGTTGCGTTTGGATATCTTGAAGATTGCTCATAATTAAGCGACGAAGCTCCTGAGAGTTTAAACCACCGTCTTTAAGCTTCTCGCACAACAAACTTCGAGCTTTTTTTACAAACAAACCCAAGGTAATTCTTAATACAACATCTACCATTTTGTTAATTGTTTGGCTGTTCCCTGACCGTCGTATGAATATCAAATAAACGCGTTTCTATTCTATATTGTGAATGTTAACTTAACTTATCTAGACGTTTTATGAAACAACTGCTTTGTCAGCAGCTTCGAACACAAATAAAATGCCTTCATTCGCATGTGATCGATCATGTTACATGTGTCTACAATATCAAACAATGTATGTAAACAAATATCTTAGCCATAACCTCTTTATTATCATATATATGTTATGAAGATTCTAATTTTCACTCGTCATTTCAAGAACTAAACACGTACCAAGAGGGAATCAAAATAAAACAAACTTCGGCAATGGATGATTCAAAACAAAACGCTGGAGTGCTGAAGTGGCGGACGAGACATATTTTATATACAACAAGACGCCTACTAGGCGTTATATGATCGCATCGTTCACAGCGGCGTAGCCAGCCCAGCTATGCAAATTTTGTGTCGTAAATGTTCTTAATAATAAAAATGAACAATATACCGAACTATAGTCGCATGTTGAAAGCAGGAGAAACACACAACAGCCCATTTCGAAACTGCTTGAAATCCTTTAGTGCAGGCTTACTCTGCTCGGCGTGTGCATTTACTTGTATGTGTAATGAGTGCAAAGATAAAGATAGCACTTGCTAGCATTTTGATCGCTTTATTGATTCTACTTTACTGCTTCGAAGTTCGAAGGTGAAACGAAATATGCCCAAAGTGAGCAACTTACCTGTGCGCAGGTTCCCGATTAGGGTGATATGGCCTGCAGCTAGCGACACTGGGGGTCGACCCGAGAGGAAAAAAATAATAAAAAAAAACCAAGCCGAAACTATAGATCGCTGTCGCTACGCGACGCGATCAACAAGACGCCTGTTCTGGCGTTTATAAAAACTCCGGCGCACGTGCCAATCTTCAATATAGAGCTTCTGAACATAAACAATACAGTTCATATTCGCATTTAGACGCCTTACGAACCTAAATGTTCGATCGCGAAATTCAGAAGCACATCGTACTTTAAAAAGTATAGAAGTTCAATTGTTCAAAAATGTAAATAAACCGCATGATACATTCACTTTGTCTTACACTTTGCCTTTGGAATTCGTGCTTATATAGTTATATACAAATTTTCAATCCTGTGCAAACTGCCACGTGTCAAGTGTCAACGCACCCATACACGGCCACATCTTGTTAAACGGCGAAATAGCAGCGATATTATTAAAATAGGACAAGAATCAACATGTATTAAATATATTCTTATCCCAATTCAATCTAAACTTAATCGAACAGCATGAAAAGAACGGTTTATTTGTTCCTCTTGGAGGAATTGCCGTATCATGCGAGCGAAATCGAATCGCGCATTGGAAAATTAGCCAAAGCTGTGCACCACAACTCTTGGGAGACAAGACTGGGACGTAGATAAATACGGTCACATACGCATTTAAAATTGCTAGTATATTTCGCGCCATTACAGACTTGCGACGACGAAAAATAATAATAAAACAAAAAAAAAACAAAAACAAAACAAAACCGAGGCGAATTTTCAACTCCGTCGCTGACGCCGGAGTAATGATTAGTTGCAGGAAAATAATCAAAATATTAACATTAAAAAGGGTTTAGGTGTACGTTCAATCCATGCCGGAGAACATATATAGTTAACGTATTTTTTTCAACTGTTCCTGGTTTGAATTGATTTGTTTACGATTCCCACTCGGATTTAAGACATTTTAACCAGTTTCGAAATTACCTCACATCGATCGAAATGCCACATGTAAGGATTCTAAAGCGCAAGTCGTCCATTGATTTATACCCTTATCTATCCACAGGTATTGCCATATTAAATACACATTTACCACACTCGGTCTTGTCAACCTTAGTACAATTAATGCATTTCACCGGCATCGGAAAGGCGTAGGTTTAATCCCTGTCAAAGGAGCTATATAATTCACTAATTCTTCGATTTGTAAATAAATCAATTCCTATTTTGAAATTAGAATAGTTATTTTAAATGAAACAGATTTGTTATTGAGGGAAAACTTTATATGGGATTGCTTCCCTGAAAGCGTTTGAAAGATTCATTCATTACTATTATTTTTAAAAAACCTTCAAATTATTCAGTATACAAATGAGTAAATTTAACACAGCAGAATTGTATCAACTAGCTAAAATCATTCATTCCTTGTCAATAATTCATCTGCTAAAGCTTTTACTGCTACTAAATGTGAAATCATTGTGTTGTTTGTATTCAATGCCTAATCAAGGTACTCCATGGGATAGACCACGTTCTACCGAGGTAAAACTGTTAAAAATGAGAGGTGAACAGGGGAAAGTGGGGATGAGAATGCAGCTGCGTTTTGTGACAGATCTAAAGCCTGAAAATACTTCTGCCTGAAAATACGACAAGATCTCATTATTTCTGACTTAGGCTATCACAAAACGGTGAAAACGCCGCATCAAACAGAGAAAAAGTGGTTTTTCACATGCAAAATATGAGATCAGTAACGGTAAGTTGAACTAATTTATCAGGGTTGCCAATTTCAAAAGAACCTAACATCCCCCCCCAACATCACTCCCTCACCACCCCCCCCCACCACTTTCCCCACCTCCACACGCATCTCAACCTTTTCATCATTGAATATAAAGTACGTATTCAGAAGAAACTATGGCCATGGGCCCCTCGCAATGCGATGTGAGACGAGGCGTTTTGTCCACGCAAATGGTAGGGTCTTCTGGTAGGAGGGAGGGTAAGGACATTCTTATCTTCTTGCCTTCGTTCTTGCGGCCAAACACTGTCAATCTCGTGCAATGGCGACGTTCGCCAGTCTCGGGGACATATGTTGACAGGTAGAAACCGGCTCCAACAGCCGTGACGAAAACCACTTCGCCCGTGAGGTGGTTAGATGCCATGGATACACAGCACTCGTTCTTTCCTCCATACAACTGAAATTCTCGTACCAACTGCCCGTCTTTCTCGTAAACACGAACGCTACAACCGCCCTCTTCAACTGCGATGACTTGCTCCTTATTGGTGAATGCAATCAGTAAATTCTCCCATAATTTGACTTGGAAAGTAGACGTGCGTTCGACTTTTCCCCCGCGATTTTCATAGAATTCCACATCACAGATGGACTTCATGTTGTAACGCACCATGACAAATCCATGTGGAGTTGGAGCGATTGCTTTGTTAGATTGACAGCAACCAACCTCACAACGGTAGATTTCATTGACTTCCGAGTCGAAAGCGAATAGCTCGCAGCAACGGGGTGCCACAGAAACAGCGCCAGAATGCGTACAATCTCTGTCCGTTAACAAATACATATTATCACCGCTGTCGATAGCCAGGAAAAGCAGGTGTTGTGTAGTAATCGTGACAGAAGTACTGTCGGTTTTAATAATATCCACCGTCTCGTTTGTTTGCGTTGTAATTTTTCCAACATCGACATTGCCTTGAGGATCCACGGTTCCCAAAATAAGATCTCCATCACTCTTTACGGCAAACCTTTTAACAGACTTGGCCAAATGCATTCCACCACAGAGGTCTTCAAAAACAACTAAGTGAGGCAATTCGATTCCAGCCCTTTGTAGTTCCACATGAATACTTCTGGCTGGAATAAGTGGATTGTATGTCCACTCACCACTACCCACCAGATTCGGCCAGTCGTACACAGTTATTGCACCGCTGGTAAATTTCTTCAAAAATTTGAACACGATAAAATTGATCAAAGACACAGAAAAGACGAGTTCCTGTCGTTTTTCATGGGTAAACAATGACAGCACCTTATCGTACCAGACTCCTCCTTCCAAGTGACTGCGAAACGTTGCAACAACGGACGATAAACGATGCAGTTCATCCAAGTACAATCTACACGACTCCCTTGCAAGGCTGGGGTTTTCCATACTGAGAAGAAATCTACTTTGGACACGAAGCTTTGTTGCCCAAACCTGATCTTCTAAGGTCAAGGCTTTGTTGTGAAATGCTTCAGTTGCCTTCGTGTTGGCTTTCTCAAACAAATTCATAGCGGCTTTGAAGTGGTCGTTTGAATTCATCTTTTTAATCTCCTCCGTAAGTTCGAGTGCTGAATCTACGTCGATGAGCGAATCTCTGCCGCTGTACGAAGCTTGTGGAAGATTACTGGATGCGTTCGAATGTTTCATCGCTTTGTTGTCTTCTCGAGACGGAGGAAGTGTCGAAGTGTCTTGCTGCTGGTCGAGCAAAGCATTTAAATATCCCAATCCTTCCTGAAGATTACTCGCACTGGTCAGCAGATCTTTACGAGCGAAGTCGTCAAATTTCTTTTTCAAATCTTCAAGTCTGTTGATTAACGAACTACGAAGCTTCTGTGCGCTTAAACTGCCGTCCTCCAAGGACTTACAGAAAGCGCTTCGGGATTTTTTTACAAACAAACCCCACGTCAGTTTCAATACAAGGTCGACAGACATCTCGCCTTGCCGACTCAGTTAACACTTGGTTATAGGCGATTCGTCGTTAACACTTTATTAGGCAATCATTATTATTATATTTACCCGACAATAACGATTGTAAATGTCGTATAATACAACTACATGATATAAACTCACGAGAGTGAGTCGCAATTGTTGACCTCGTATCAATACGTCAAAGATTTCGCCAGCATAAATTCTTTGTAATGCTTGACATCACTGTCGAATTAATATTGTAATTCTATGTAAAAAACCCAATCCACACGATACATCCGGTGTCGAAAATATATGCTAGGACCTTATAAAATCCTAGTTCAATTCACAACCGCAATATTAAAAATATACTGCATGTAATGTTTCCAAGAATGATGAAAACTTCGCCTAGAAAAGCATCCTTTTACCTCATCCGAAGCGGCCAAACTAGTGGTTTCATTCAGTGGCCGGAGATCTTATTCAGAATACGAAGTGTTCCTGCGAGTGTGTTTACTGTTTACACATCGAATTGCGAATAAGCTGCAGTCGACACTAAATGCTTCAGAATGCTTACCGCTACGATTCCCACACATCGACTGTGCTTCTTAGCCTGTTCTTAGTAAATAAGAATATACTAAACTCGTTTCTTCGGTTACACAATATATTTTTAATTCAAAGCCAGCGATTTGGGAACATTTTCTCATGAACATAACAATGCAAAGGGCCATGCAACATATCACGTTACACATAGAAATAAATTACGAAGAAATGAAAGCAATTCATTGAACATATGATATATTGGGCTACAATTACTCGTGCGGGTGATTATGGGATTATGACAGGAATAGATATTAAGCATAATGACGTATCAAGCCGTGATTCAAAATTCAAACCTCAAAATTTCCCGCCGTGACTATTAAGACCAGAATTCCCTGCAGGTGTCACGGCTTGTTACGTCATTATGCATAGGGGATATTGTTAAAATTACACGGAATTGGTCGCAAACTCTCGTATAAACAACTCAAATTCACAGCTGTCGCAAGTCCCTACCGCCGAGACAGTTTTTGCATTGCAAATCAAATGGAGAACGCCAATGTTTATTAACTGTGTATGATTTGGTCGCGTTTATACGACGACAAACGTATTAAGTATAACCAGGATTATATTGTGAACGTCCTAGTATTTATTGAACAATCATTAAATTTCTAAATCCTTAAATTGTTTCATTTGTTTGCATAAGGTAATAATTAAGATTCATTGAAGGCAACTTTGCCCTCGAGGCACTCTGTCTTTAGCCACTGATATCTAAATACTAACTGAATGCAACCTATATGCTATTGAATGTAAAGTACGTATTCAGAAGAAACTAAGGCCATCGATCCCTTACAGTGCGATGTAAGACGGGGGGGCGTTTTCCCATCATCGCTTTTGCCAAAGACTGTCAATCTTGTGCAGTGATGACGTTTGCCAGTCTCGGGGGCATATGTTGACAAGTGGTAGTACCCACTCCGAGGACACGTGACGAAAACCACCTCCTTCGTGAGATGATTGAATGCTATGGAAACACATGGGTCATTCTTTCCTCCAGCTAATTCAAATTCTCGTACCAACTTCCCGTCTTTCTCGTAAACACGAACGGTACAACCGCCCTCCTCAACCGCGATGACTTGATACTTGTTGGTGACTGCAACCAGTAAACTCTCCCATAATTTGGCTTGAAATGTAGACGTGCGTTCGACTTTTCCCTCGCGATTTTCATAGAATTCCACTTCACAATTGGAATGGTCCATATCGTAAAGAACCACAACAAATCCATCTGGAGTTGAGGCGATTGCTTTGTTATCCCGACAGGAACCAACCTCACAACAGTTGGTTTCATCCCCATTTGAATCGAAAGCGAATAGCTCGCAGTAACGGGGTGCTACAGAAACAGCTCCAGAATGCGTACAATCTCTGTCCGTTAACAAATACATATTATCACCGCTGTCGATAGCCAGAAGAAGAAGGTGTTGTGATGTAATGTTGGCAGAGGCATCATCAGTTTCGATGACATTCATTGTATTATCTGTCTGCATTGTAACTTTCTTCAGAACGACATGACAATCAGCATCCACGGTTCCTAAAACAAGATCTCCATCGCTCTTTACGGCAAACCTTTTAACAGACTTGGCTAAATGCATTCCCCCACAGAGGTCTTCTAAAACAACTAAGTGAGGCAATTCGATTCCAGCGCTTTTCAGTTCAACGTTAACACTTCTGGCTGGAATAAGTGGATTGTATGTCCAACCACCATTACCCACCAGATTCGGCCAGTCGTACACAGTTATTGGACCGCTGGTGAATCTCTTCAAAAACTTGAACACGGTAATATTAATCAAAGACACAGAAAAGACGAGTTCCTGTGGTTTTTCATGGGTAAAAAATGACAGCACCTTATCATAGACTCTTCCTTCCAAGTGACTGCGAAACGTTGCAACAACGGACGGTAAACGATGTAGTTGTTCCAAGTACACTCTACACGACTCACTTGCGAGGCTGGGATCTTCAAGACTGAGCAGTAATCGGCTCTGGACACGAAGCTTTGTAGCGAGAACCCGATCTTCTAAGCTCAGACCTTCGTTGTTGAATGCATCGGTTGCCTTCGTGTTGGCATTCTTGAACAACTCCATGGCAGAAATGAAACGTACGCCCGATCTCCTCTTCATTTCATTTACCTCTTCCAAGAGTTTTTCGCGAGATTCTGCATTATTACAAAACAGCGAATCGTTGCCAATACGTAAATTATATAGGATGCCAAATCCTTCCTCAATATTGCTTGCACTAGCGAGGAGATTGCCACGAGCAAGAGATTTAATATACTGAAGATCGCTCATAATTAGCTCACGAAATTGCTGAGCATTTAAACCACCGTCCTTTAACATCTCGCTCAACAAACTTCGAGCTTTTTTCACAAACCAACCGAAGGTAATTTTTAATACAACATCTAGCATAGCAGACATTTTTACTTTTCACGCTTCGTTGAAGTCAACAATCGTCTGAATAGATACGATACGAGAAGCGTATTTACTTCAATATGCCCTCGACTAACGGTCATATATCTTTCTGTCTCAGCCGATGTAATATTAGATGTAATATCTGCGTATCGAACTTCGCTAAGATGCGAATATGACGGTAGAAACGTTTTGCAAATGTTACAGTATAAATAATACAAAGTGTTCCACTTCCGCTTCTGCATGCAATGTTTGTCCATTTCCTGTAATAATTAACCGGCAACTACGGGAGCGATCATAGAAGCTAAGCTATGCTTTAGCTCGAGTCGTCAAAATTGTTTCCATTATTCCCGTTTTTAAAGTGACACGTAATAAAACAGCACAAAATTAACAATAATCATAATGGGTAATATGTTAAATACAGCTGAAACCAACACGCGCTTTTGTGACTACGATGAGCAACACAACCGGAAGTTAACTAGCTTGCATGAACAATTAGCATTTTTGAACAAACAGCACTCCACTCAATGTATCAAGATTTCCATCCAAAGCCTCGTTTACACTACACTTGATTTATTGGCACGACACGGCTGAAATGGGTACCCGACTGTAGTGTAAAGGGTTTAAGGGTCTTCATCACTTCGAGAGGAAAACATACACGTCCCAAACTCAAGCCAGGAAAAGTTGGGAAAATGTATCAACCTTGACTCAATTTTAATTTCGACCCACTTTATCATTAGCTAGGTTAGGATTTGACTATTAAGAGAAGATATTTTTATATGTCGCGCAACATATGCACAAAACCTCTGTTATTTTCATGCAACACTACTAAAATTTACTACCAACATTAAAAGTGTTTTGAAAACCTGAAAAGCATCTACAAAGTATATTTACTGTATAATCTCAAAATATTGTGAAAATGAAAAGATTTCTCAGGATACGCCGAGAAGAAAATGACAGTTGAACCGAAGCTGCTTTTGTATTCATCTCAGTGATAATGGCGTTGACGTTTTTATCTTTATAACATTGTTGATAGCCGCATTATATTTTGAAAAGTGGTGTGTGCGTTATGTACATTATTAGTGGATTTCATTGGGCATTTTGATCAGCTATAAAAGTGGTGGTCAACCTGGTGGAGATGTTTTCCGATCATAATGAAAGAAGTGATCTATTGATACGAAATTGCACATATCTTCAACCAAGCACAAAGCCAACAGATACAGTGAAGAACTGACTGTGACTACGACGTCACATTTAAATAAAGGTATTCATAAACAAAGTATATTTATAAAGACATTTATACACAAACTATTTACTCGTTTGTATCCATCAAAAGAGAAAAATTGCAGTGAAAATCGCAGTGAAAAAATTGCAAGCATGGAGCAATCATAACAGACGATATGAAATCATAGATCAGCACTCACCGGATTCTGTTTGCTTTCCTTGGCCAGTTCTGGCTGTTCACCAAGCTTTGTATTCGACCAATAAAATCTGAATTCTGTCTAAAAAGCAATTTATATAAATTAAAATAAGAGAGATGACCAATTTTCATTTGTAGAAAATGTATTTCCCTAGCCTTAAAGATCGTTTACACTTGCAATTTTTGCTGCGATTTACTACTGCGATTTTTCTTCTTTTGATAAATGTGAACGAGTGAATTAGTTACTGATGTTCAAATAAGAGCTCGCATGCATTAGAGCATTCGTAACTAATTACTCGTTCACATCTATCAAAAGAAGAAAATACTAAGAACTTTCAGTAGCATTTTAGCAGCTCCCTCGATCTACCCCTATGAGAGTTAGACATACTGACCTCGCTATCGTAAACTGGATGACCACGCCAACACATCACATCGAGGATAAAGAATGTTCGATGTAGTTCGCTGTATACACAATCCAGGAGCGTGTAGTCTAAAAATTCCAGGTTGAAATTAAAAACGCGAAATTCATGCAGTGAGGGGCAAGATGACAGTATGGCCAGGGTTGTTACGTCATATAATGCCCGTGGGGGGGGGAAGGGTCGGGCGAGTAGCTAACCTAGTCACCCAGATGATATGAAAACGCGGAAGAAATTGGGACAAGTTGCCAAATAAAAATGTTAGGTTATCTTACGTTTAAACAACATAATATTTCTTGAAATACACTTTATCTTGGTTATAAATTTGAATGTCAGAGCTACTCAATATTGTCATAAACATATGATAACAAAAAAATCACAGAAGAATAACGGAAGATATAATAGATGAAACAAATCCTGCAGAATTGACCCCTATTTCGACAACTCTTCTGACAGCTGACTGGCTAAAATACGTGCGTGAAATCACCTAGGTGTTTTATTAAGAATGTAATTTCTTCCCGGCTAAGGGGAAATATTGCTATCATTACCTGAAGGTTTACCAGAGTCTCGACAACCACCAGGAAGCAGAGATTGAAATCTGTTTAAGCTGTACCCACTCTTAGTGTAACACGTTGTTCTACCCTGAAAATAAACAAAAAGATCATGACTCTTGTTTTCTGTATCGTTTCATGCAGTATGGAAAACTTTTGCTCTCTTTCTGAACACAGTTCTCAGGACATGTCGCAGCTCTCGGTAGCTTTCGTCCTATTGGATAATGCCTTTCTATGCTTTCTAAAGAACGAAGCTATGCTATTGGTTGAAACAGAAATGTATTGTAAAGTTCAGCCAATGAGAATCATTCTTGCGAGGAGCTGCGACACTACCCACACTTCTGAAGGTCTTTGTACTCACCCTGGAAGCTACAATTAGGCATCTTTTTCCGATAGGCGATATAACCATAGTCCATTCATTGTCGAAGTTCTCGGGAAGGTCCACGAGCCATTCTGACATCATCAACTGGTTCTTGAAGGGATTCTTCGCTCTTTTTAAATTTGTGGATTTCTTCTGAAAACATAAGAATGGACGATGCATGATGATGCCAGCTATAAATTTTAATTTACATGAAACGAACACAAGAATATACTAAGGCAATAGTCACAGCTTCAAAGGACATAAAAAACTAGCAAGTTCGGTTGGGAAATGCTGTAAAATGAGGAATGAAAATAGAGCATGGACTTGTATCAAGCAAGGGGGGAACACTTTGAACTCAAAATAGTTACTTACTAAATGCGATCTGCGCAAAATTATACTTTGCTCATTTTACTGAAAACATTGCATTGATATTGGAAAATATTTTCGCGCTACTGACCTTCGTTTGGGCGTCTTCCACCTCCATGTCATCTTCTTCTTCGACCAATCTTCGAGCGTAGTTGACACGGTCACTTCGACGGCTAAAATGCATGGAAATCATTTGAGAAACAATCAACTATGTTTAGTAGCTGTCTCAATAAAATGTAAATACTACAGCAGGTAATATACCAGGGCCTTTTACCAGCAGGGGCAAGGGGGAAAAGATGGCTTTCAATCTAAAGTATCGCATTGTAATAAATTTGTTATATAAATCTGCAATATTGTGATGTTGCTACTCTGAGTCAACAACCGGGTAAGCAACATCACAATATTCATTCAGATATACACCTGATTCTTTGCACTATTACTAAATCTGCAATGTTTAAAACCAACTGCAGCGAAGCTTCAAGAAAAACGCAATTGTTCGTTGAAACCTTAAGACACTTAAATTATCTCACACACGAAACCCAACACTATGGCTGGAAAACGCATCTAAGAATAAATAAATCTGCAATATTTGGTCTCAAAAAATATCACATGTGAAAATGTGGACTGATATAGTCCGACATGGTGCAGTTATTTCTACTGCGCGCGGAATACAAAGTCTAGTGAACATTATTTACGGCGCTGCTTTCCTCGTTTTTTTTTAATATTTCGCAACCAAACTTTGTGATTTCACTCGTTTTAAGAAACTCTTTCCAGCACATGTGTTTCACTTTTTATGGCAAAAATCCGAACATTTTGTTCAAAGCTCTAATTCTATCAACCGGCCTGCTGGAATCGCTATTATATAAGAAATAATATAAAGTAAACTATTATTAACGCCCGCTGCAATGCTGCAGACTCGCATTTAATAAATTTGGCGGGATTTCGTTGAAAACTGTTGTCGAAAAAGGCCGATGAACAACAAACGGAGAAAAAAATGTCAAAAATATCATGAAAAAGGTACTTTACTCATGCAAAGCGTTATGGCTGTGTGGAGGTAGAACTTGTTTATGGAAATAGCGTGGATTATCTTGTTCCATTGCGCCTCGAACAAATTTTCAATATCAAATTTTCCGACAGGCGAGAGTCGAATACAATTCCATTTTATTCGTCGAAGAAAAAACCCCCACAAAGGTTTAAAGCAATCTCTCAAAGGTCGATGAAGATTGAGATTTACGCGTAAGTGTTTAAGCGAATTGTAAACTATATTAATGATTTCCCATTGCATATTCATTAAACAACAATCTGTTTTGTATATTATTGTATAATGAGGCTAAAATTGATACCATTTTCTAAATTAACAGTATCAATTTGGCTGTGTAATGTGCCACATTATACAAAATTGGAAACATCACAGGGTTATATTTCTCTTTGTTATTTTATAACTTTTTCCAACAAAACTATGAAATTTGAAATATTTTCTGATGTTTTTACAACTAAAATTAGGTAAATTATTGTTTTCATTGATTTCCCCAGATCAAAATGTCATTTGATATGCAATGGGTCTATTAACTTCAGTCTCTTTTGTAGATAGAATTATTGTAGATAGTCCTGGCTATAATATAATACAAATTTTATACTATTTGCTCTTATCATATACAGCTGATAACCAACTCGGCTTGGCCCCATTGGCCATCAGCTTATTATAGGTCCCGTCTTGGCATAAGTGTTAAACATATACCTCCAATTTTCATTTCACTGACCTTTTTTGTTCCTCAAGTATTCGCCTTCTCCTTGTCTCCTGGTCGGGGACATTGCTTGGTTTTATTTTGTACTCTGACAATCTAAAATGTAGTTACTGAAATGTTAAAACATCTGCAGATGCTTTTGACATGTCACTGTCACTCCACAGTAAAGTTATCAAGGGTAACATGTCACATTTGCATATTCTAAAATATATAGTTCGACAAAGTTAAGCATAAACAAAGGCACTGAATATGGCTATATAATATCTAGAAAGTTTAGAACTTTCAAATAACTTTTGGCTATTCTTTATAACCTTGGATGAGGACTTGATGTATCATTGGGATTGTTGGAAATCTGAAATGAGGCTGCCAATGATTCACTTAATTCTTCCATAATTTAGCACTAAAAATAAGATGAAGATGTTAGCTGGAAATGCATTTCTCAAACACATAAACTCTCTTACTCAAATGCCAGGCAATTTCTACTAGCTGGCACATGCACAGTGCCAGCATGGTCAGTGACGCTGGCCAACAGAATACTATACATTCTACCAACATAGACAAATAACAAATGCATATTTAATTTTGCATTATCTTCCAAATTGAAATCCGAATTAAAATCAGGCCGTATGACTGCTTGAATTATTAGGTAAGTAAAAATTGGAAACTTAAAGCTATAAATGCTGTCACTAAGTTTTTACAGTACTCTTTATACTTCGTACGTTGTTAGTATGATCTTTAAAAGTATAAACATGGATTCGGTCCCTAGCACAGATTAGACAGTGAAAGAGTTTTCTAGAGCCTGTTGTGACGAAGTACTGGTGTACTAAAAAATTGTACAATTCAGTACAATGACAATATTGAATATTCTAGACTCTAGCCTAGTATTTCAAATGTAGAATAGCGTATAGCTAAAGACAACAAGCAAAATACTTATTATACCAGGTAAGTGATAGATGTTTCAACATCAGAATCAGGCATTGCTCTCTGGCATAAACAACTCGATTCAAGCCGGCGTTCTTAAAAAATTGTATTTTCGCGCCGCCATGTTGAAAATTAAGCTGGGGTCCAGGCCATCGGCGCGATCGATCGTAGAACCAGTCATCTCCTGGAAGGAAAAATTACTCAGAGATAAAAATTCGGCATTTTCGTATTCCAGATTCAGCGTTCTGATTGGTAAGATGTGCCACTGATCTCTACGTATGTATACAAAGAGGCATCTCAATCGATTAACTATTGTTTTATGCGTTTTGCGCATGTGAAGCACGACTATTGAAACAAACAAACTTTTGTTGTCTCAGGGCAATATGTTTCGCATATTTCTATGTCCGTTGAATAATAAGATCTGTAAGAAAATTCAACGGTATATTTATGGCAGGTCCGACAAACGATGTTTTTAAATTCGCCCCCCCCCAAAAAAAAATGCTCAACGTCCCTGCCACTGGTACCGTCATGCAATGCACGAAAGGCATTTTTACTTGCACGGTTGCACCTCCAATTGTAATTTAGGATCTGCTGCCTTGCTCGCTCACTGCGGCAGCAATAAATACTGAACTCTGTAATATTGAGGCAGTACTAATAATTGAAAATATTAAATCTCAAGATTTTAATTGAAAGTAAAACGTCTAGCCTGTGCGAAATTACATCTGCTTTATACCTCTGAATATGAGACTCTTGTAGCATTCAACACAAGATTGTAAATATATTTCCGAGTCCAAGGATACATCACGTAGCTATATTGTTGCAAAGTGGGCTTCAGTCCGGTAACTTGGTACTGGTAACGTTAAATTGAAGATTCCCTAACTTAGCAACAGCGTGGACATGAGGTAGCCTATCCTCGAAAAAACATTTCTATTAATTTATATACTTGCAGGCCAGCGTCAAAAAAATAAATTTTTTCACGGTACTTAAAAGCGTGGCTAAAACGACGGGGCTAAAACGAGGTGCAGAGCTCAAAAAACATAAAACAGTCTCCGAAAAATTCCCAGAGTCTTTCAAAATTCGTTGAAAAATTCACAGAAAACACGACGAGAAAGTAACCCCTAAAAATGCTCGAGTCTCTTCCAAAGTCAGGTTGAAATTCACCCCAATTTCATGGAACTTAAACCGCACCAAAGCATCCCCAAACTCAGGATTAATAGTGGATACATCGCGTCTCTCTCCGGAATTCCACGAAATACCAAAATATGGCTCGTACGGTTTTTCTCATAAAGACATCATCATTGCAAGCAGTGCTGCTGATTTGAACATAAATGTTGTCCTGCACTTGGCATACAAACATATATGTCGGTTGGAAGATGATCATTTCTATTCGTCCTTGACAGCACTCGCTCTTCTTCCAGCTCTGACGGTCATATCTTGCACAAGCATGACACCGTACATTCCTGCTTTAAGCTTCCTTCTCGCGTTAAACTCTTTAAGTTTTTCCTGTGTTCTCTTCATGTGGTCCAACTTCGCCCCTTTACCCTATCACGGGCATTAAAGTTAAGCTCAAAAGCAATGTCATGTTGCAGTAAGCAATTTCTGCCATGATGCAAGGCAGCAAGAGCAATTAAGATGTATTTAATAAGCTTGTAGGTTGTATATAGGGACGAGTGACGGTTGTCAATAGTTGTGGATTTGCTTTGAAGTGTGAAAAAATACTTACTTGAACCCAAGGATGGTGTAATGTTTGCTTTGCTGTCAGCCGTTTGGCTGGATCTAGAACAATAAGTTTCTTCACCAAGTCCTGTAAAAATAAACACAACAAACTTAAAATAATAAAAATGTTAAAGATGGGTACAGTACGTTATTGAAACAAACGTTTTTTTTACATTGTGAGTCGCTATATCATGGACTGTCGAAACATTTCATACTATTTTGATTCGCTATATACTTCTTAATGAATTTGAGTTTTTTTGAAATTTGGGCAATTCTTGAGTCAAGCAACCTTCTATACAGTTATGACCAGAACTGATCCACAAAAGCGGCTGTAAACCACTTTGATTTGTAACTGGAGAGATTCACTAAGATACAATGTAATGGTAGAATGAAATCTATGATAGTTACCTTAGCACTTAGCGAAATATCGTCCCACCAAGGTTCCACGAATTCAAAATCGCACTTCAAAATTCTCTGAAACATTGCTTGGTCACCTCGTTCGTCGTAGAAAGGCTCGAAGCCACAAAGCCTGAAGAATAGTTGGTCGTATTTACTTCTCTTGTAATTAAGCCATCTTAGAAGTATCGCAAAATAATTAATATCCATGCAATACTTACAAAATGTATGCAATGACTCCGACAGCCCACATGTCAACCTCGCGTCCGTATTGTTTTCCTAAAAGGACTTCAGGAGCTGAAAAATATTTACAAAGCAAAAGGAATGGTATCAGAGAAGACTTTTATCATTTCTTCGAAATCAGATGATTCAGGACTGATCTTGAACCGGTCAATGCATGAGACAACGATTTGATGTGTTAGCTAAACGAAGCCTAAAGTCAACCATCACAAAGCAACAAAAATTGGGAACACGGAATTCTAAATTTCCAGCGAGTTTTTCAATGAAGCTCATCTCAATCTTCACTCCTGTCTGGAATCCGTGTCATTAGTAAAGTTATCTTAATAGTTTCTGTACTGTTGTTAGATCAAAAAGTCTGACAGACTGATCAGAAGAGATATCATATTTGGACAATATACAAATCAATTCCGTGTTTATATTTTTTTCCGTGTAACTCTCAAGCACTTTTCAAGCACTGAGTTTGGATTCTCAAGTACTTTTGATTTTCAAGGATTTTTCAAGTGCACTTAAAATTAATTTTTTATATCAGCACCTTTCAAGGGTCTCAAGCACCTGTACGAGTATGAAGTGGCTTTTAAACGAAAGAACGATATCTTGTGGAAAGTTAATTTATTTAGTAGAATTTTATTTATAAGGCACCGCTCGGATACTGTCACCCGCTTCAAAAGTCGGTGGGCGGCCCTGTGGTTGTATTGGGGCGAGGGACAGTCTTTGCAGTTAGATCACATGGTTACTTTCTGCCCCAGAATACAAAAGCTTATCTATGCAGTTCACATCATAGTTAGTGACCGAAGCACTTATGGTGCACCTAGACGTACCACAGTATCCCGGAGTACCACACACGGTCTGCATAAGTACATCAGTTGTCAACATCTTCGACAGCCCAAAGTCGGCCAACTTTAGACCAGAATCGTCCGAATCGCTGGCGTAGAGAAGATTTTCTGGCTAAAAAGTAACATTTTTTCCAGTGATTACAAATAATCTATCTTCTTTAATATAATATGTCGGCCATTAGCTGGTACGTTGAAGTTCAATCATTTTTGTTTTCGGACTTTAATACACCTTGGATGATGTCAGCAAGACGAAATTTTCATCTAGATGTGAACAAAATCCAACACTACGGCCAGAATAAATTGAACCCAACGTTTTGCAAAACGAAACTCAGTTTTAAGAGCACTTTTGGGTGGATAGTGTCAGTTAAAAGTTAATGGAAGTTTTGCAGGAATCTGGGTTAGATTTTAAACTGGTTTCGGAGTTCAAACTCTATAGCTCTTTGGAAGCAAAACTCACAGTCTTTTGTCAACTGGATTTGCACTTATCGTTAGTAAGATTACCTTTAAATCACGATGTACAACGTCGTTTTCGTGAAGGTACTGTTAAAAAGTTATTATAAAGAAGTTATAAATAGTATAACTAGACGTAAAGGTAGGGACATAGACATAGTATTTATCATAAGCCACGAACAATGGAAACAGATCAAAATTTACATAACGGCCATACCACAGATTTGTGATAACGCAATGGGGTTAAATAAATCACATTTTTGAAATTTGTCTTTAGCGAAAAAGAAGACAGGTGGCATCAGGGCTTGTTTTCATACATCAGAATGACAGTGACATAGGACTATAGTCTATACTATGCAATATTTAATACATAATCAACTTACTGAAACTGCTTCACACAACTCCCTCACTGCAGTTGCTGCATCTCTTTCAGTATAACAGCCTCTTTCCACCACCCTTGAAACAAAAGTCAGAATGAGGATAAGTCAAACAACTTGAATGTCAAAAAATCTCTGGTGCAAAATAACACAGCACATACACTGTGTAGGCTAAAGGTGGGTCACAAGGTAGGCCATGGGAGTGTAGAGTGGTTAGGAATATAAATGTGGTAGGTGGGGGCATGAAGTAGAATGATTATTAGGGAGTTTGGAGAATCATTCCATGTGAGTGATAATATAATTGTTAAAAAGGGATAGAGGAGTATTATAATATTCCATGGAGAAGGAATTCAGGTGCAACTAAAAATCAGAGGGTATTCAGGATAATCATTAGGGAGTTTGGAGCATCACATGGGTGATAATGTTATTGTTAGAAAGGGATGGGGGAGTACTATAATATTTCATCACAGAGAGGGAATTCAGGTGCATTAACCAAAAATCAGAGCGAATTCAAGTGCAACTAGATTAGTTAGAAAACAAGTTAAAGGTCTACCTTTCGAACAGCTCTCCTCCTTTTACAAGTTCCAGGATAATATAAAGTTGACTCTCTGTTTCAAATAAATCTTTTAGCTGGATCTAAATCATATAGTCCAATCAATTTTTTTGCTAGCTTTAGGTGTTTCGAGAAAATAAGTGAATGATCTGCCATTTTTGCGGCAAATTAACTGTGTTAATAAACCACATACATTAGGTTATTTAAAGAACATTGGTATTGTCTTAACAGGTTACAGCTAAACCTTAAAAGTGCATTGACACTTACTATGTTTGGATGTTTTAGCCTCAACAATATTCCTATTTCTGTTTGAACTATCTTTGTTTCAACCTGGGAAAATTACAAAAAATGTACATGCAATCTTTCCCTTGATGCCAAATAATGCTATTACTATATATTTAAATTGGCCAATATAAGTTGTACAGCCATCAGCCAAGCATATGTAATTCAATATAATTTGCTGATCACAATAAATCATTATTATTATACATAATTATATGGTAGCCATTTCAACATGACCCTACCAGGGCTGTAACTAGAACGATAATTGGGGGGTGTTTGTTCATATATTCAGTTCTGCCCAATGGGTTTTTTTTCTAAGTGCAATATTAGCTTACAATAGAAATCCATCGGAATTCGGACAGAACTGAATATATGAATAAACACCCCCCCAATTATCGTTCTAGTTACAGCCGGCCTGGACCCTACATAATATAATGTATTATAATTTGTTTGATTTCCCAACAATCCTTGTTTCCTAAAAGCAATTTTTCATCACATGCTTAATGCTTTGCCCTAACACAAAAGATGTGCCCTCCTAAACTTTTCCTTGTCTTCCGTCATACTAACTACCCTTTATGGTAATGCATTTTAGTCACCCTATTTTAGCTAGAAATGTGCTAGAAATCTTCACTATTTTATTGCTTATTGTCCCTATTATGTAAATGTAAAATGGCCTACTTATCAGAAAAATACGTCTTTTTTAGAAAATTGCAGCCCTTTTAAAAATAAACTCTCTTTATTTAAAAATTTAGCATATTTTTGAGTGAAAAAAATCAGCGCATTAAAAGGATAAACATCTGTCAATATCCTTTCACCTAAAATAAAGTTATCCAACAGACATTAAATAAAAATACAAAGCAAACAAGAGGCGCTGTCTGGAATGTGAACGCAAACAAGCTAATTGTCTGATAACATTAGCAGTCACAGACTCAAAGAGACCTCTCGAAGACAAAACAGTCGAATGGAAGGGCACTTAGCGTTTAAATACTTTAAAATATATAATCCAGCAGTGAATTTTATACAAATGACATGTTACTAAGCGAACATGCTTCGTTTATTCCGCATACAACGTTTTGTGGCTTGTATCCTAGTGACAAAATGGCGTCCCGCTACGAAAAACAACACAATATATTTCTCTGCCGAGTGTACATTTTAAACATTTTTGTACACCTGATAGACTAAGAATGTCTCGAAAGCAGAGTTTTAATTGCTCAATGCATGTTTAACCGCAAAATTAGCCTCGAAGCATTCAAAATTGGTCGGCAAATAATTATGATTAAATTCGAGACATAAAGCTCCTTTCAAAACACTTGCTCAAAGGGCTAACCCATTGAACATTCACGTACGTTCTTTTTCAAGATCTTTACAGCATATTCGTTTTTGGTCGCCTTCTGCGTGCAAAGCCTTACGACAGATGAAGCACCTCTAGTAAAATATGAAAAAACATCGTTGTAGACAAGAAATACACGACAAGGTACTTTCCAATCTTTGAAAAGATCAGATCTTGTAGACTCAGTTGGTAGTCATAGAAGTACCTGCCAAGTTCGCGCCCAAGTTCGTAAAATTCTTCGATCGGTTCCTTGCGAGAGATTTCAAAAAAGTATCCCATTTTTAATATAGATCCTTGTTCGCTGTTTTAAGACCGTACGCAGCGCTTTTCAAACGAAAAGGATTTCCCAGTTCTCGTGAAGCTTTATAAACATGCAGAAAATGCCATGACAGCTGTTCAGAGGATTACTCTAATCTACGTTTTAATTATAATAATTATGGGATTTGCTGGATTAAGAGGCCTCTTTATTAATTCCACCCACACGTTAAATATGCGGGTAAATACAGTGTGGGGGTGGTTGCAATGAAGGAAGAGGGGGTATTTAATTGTGGGGAAACATAGGGGCTGCTTCCCCTGGAAACCCTGAATGTCATTGCAAATGAGACCTGTAAAAACATCAAACAATTACTTGCCATTTCTGCCTGTTTTTTTTCACCATTGATTTTCAATTACAAAAGATATTTCCAGCAAAATCTGCCTATTTGAATTCATTATTAATCCAATTTGATTCATCTTCTGTGTGGTCCTTGATGCTCATTAGGTGACTGTCAACATGCCCAATTTGTGTAAGACTTTGAACCAGCTCACAAAAATATTCTAAATTAGAACCACTTGGTCCGACAGATGCTATAATTTGTTTAGCAATTTCACGTTCAGGTGCTGGTCCTAAATAATCTGGGTTTTCTTTGGTTGCCATGTACACCAGAACATTGAATGGTTCGAGACTGCCATCTTGAGGATGGAATAGCATTTCTGCCAGTTGGTAGCCACCTTTTTCCCTGAAATCCAAATACTTTATGACCTCTTCCTTATTGCTGCTATCCACTCTGAATGAGATTCCAGTCACATTTTCCTGATGCAGAGAAAATATTTTGGTAATTTTAATAAAAAACCATCAATTGGAAAGCAATCACATTGAATTGGCATTTCAATTTAATGCCAAACAACTATCTTTGACAATGAACTGGTAATATGTTTATTGGCTTATGTATGTCCCTACATATTCCTTTAATGGGCCACCTTTCTGGTGTGTAATGCCAGAAAATCTAGTCATTTAAGCTGATGCTTGCAACCTGATAGCTAAGCAAAAATATTTGATAATTTCTTTGAGTAGTTAGACCAACAAACAGCAGCAATAGTCCCAGTTGGCCTGACTTTTTACTAACATTTTTTTTTTGTCAGCAGGAGATATATGTCTCCTGCTAACAAATCAACTACAGAAGTTGACCTAGGAGTTTAAATAGTCAACAGATTATATAACGTGTCTTTACCTGTTCATGTTCAACAAGGGTCACCACTCTTCCAGGCTATATTAGGAAATAAATATTGACCTTTTATAAGTTTTAATAATAATCAAATTCCATACAGCCCTAAGTTTATTTATAAAAAGCACAAAAACTATAAGAAATCATAATGATAGCAATCACTTGATAATTGGATACCTTGCCAGGGACACCTCTGTGATCGGTACTGCCTTGCCAAAATCTCCGGGCGAAACCACGAATCTGACCAACGACCTTTTCCTTGTACGGAAAATTTGTCTTCCATATCAAAGAACCGTAGCCAAATATCCACATGTCATTGTCGACGCTTTCGGCCATTTAATACGAAGAATATGATAGTTCAATAAAACGTGCCTTTGCCAAATATTATTTTAGTAAATGAAATAATTGATTTCAGTTGGCCATGACAAGAATGTACATCTAAAAATGTCTGGTTATAAAAATGTTACAATTTACAAGTTCTCATTTTGTTTTGTTTATCGAACTTTGATCAGAACATTGGGTCAGAAGCTAATTTACTTCCTGAGACGGGCAATGACGCAATAGACAGTGCTTATGACATCATAATGAGCCATGAGTAAACCAGTGAAAAAAGGAAAAAACTCGCCAAATATACATTCACTAGTTATATTTACGTGTAATCTGTCAGTATCTGTGTTCGCCACCTCTGTGTAGCGCCATCTTGTTTACATTTCTGAAGTGTCAAGTCAAGGGCTATATTAAAATCATCCATTCCATTGCTTTTCACACAAGGTAACGATGTTAGCGATCATTCCAACAATTACCTGAGGTTTTCCATATTTTTTTCGCACTTGTTTCTTGTTGCCAAATTTTCCCGCCAATTTCGTCTTGAGCGCGGGAAATCGACAAACTTTTAAATTGTAATGCCGAGGCAGTATTTTCACCAAAGCCTCATTCATTCTATTCCATACATGACGTGAAAAAACTCGAAAACGATGAATTTTTTCAAATATATACAATATTATAACATCAACATTGACAACGTGTCACGAATAACAAAGTCCATTACCAAAGAACTGCATTTGTCCTGGTGATATTTTGTTATAGTTGGAAAGATTGGTCGCAATAAATACACCGAGGTGATCAATAAAAAAAGCAGTGTTTTCATTTTTTGTCCGAAGGCTCGCGAACAAGACTGAGCAACTTGTCCATTTTGGCAATTTCATTCTCTGAACCCTTTGCTTTTTCCTAGAAATCCAGAAAAATCCATGTTTTTAGTATGGTCAGGAGCCAAGATTAATACATATGAAGATTAATATATGTCTGGTAAAAACTAAATTAATCAATCTACCTTCGGGGCCGTGGCCTTCCTCAGGTTTGGTGAAAGCTTCAAAGATGAAACATAGCCTCTGAAACGATGTAGTGAAAAGCAAACTGTGAACGATTGCAGATGGACAAAATAGCAAATTGTGTATCCGTGAACACTGATTGATGATCTATAAATTTGATGGAAAGAAATGCCTGTATACTCCTAGTACCTGTCATCTCCTGCAATAACTAACGGGTGGATAGGATTGAATGACAGATGAGTCAATTTGGTCTTCTTCTTTGCAACAACTGTAAAAAGCAGAACATTTTTTCATTCATTGTACTTCAAAATAGCAGTTTGGAGATTTCAAATTCTGAGATATACTTACTAGATTGTTCGCAGATCGGTTCATATTTGTTAACAACAAGATCATATACATGAACCTGAAGTCGAAAAAGAGGATATGTAAACACTGTGGATCCTCCCTTCAGCCTTCACTAATATTCCTTTCTAAAATAAGCTCGTTTCTTAGAAAGGCTCTCCTCTTTGCATTGGGCATATGGAGGGAGCTTTGAATTATAAAGACCATTCTTTGGATGATAAAGAATGGAATTTTCTACAACCAATTTGACTAGATGAATTCAATTTAAGCAAGACAAGTTTCAAAACCAACCTTGCCATCGGCTGTGACCGCAGCAAATACTGTAGAGGCATACGGAGCCCAGGCAACATCACCAACAGAATTATTGAGATCAAATGTAAACATTGGCTCGCTGGAATGAACACAATCGAAACACTACAGTTTTAAACCCACTTGAAAAATCGAGAAAAGATATACGTGATGTTTTTAATATACATGACGACTTGCAGCTTTGCCAACAAGGTCAAAGTGATTTGCAACTTACTTGTAGGTATGATCCCAGACTTTGACCGTCCAATCCGCGCTGCACGAGATGAATGTTTTGGGGTGGAAGTGATTCCATTTGACCGCATAAACCGCCATGTGGTGAGCCTGGATTGCGATTAAAAACAGACCCAAGGGCAAAATTATAACATACAGTTATAACAAAAGCAAGCTAAAGAAACGCCTGGGGAAAATTCCTCCAGGAACTCGGAGACTCACCTGAAACGTGGTTAGGAACTGACTTGAGTAAGCTTTGGAACATTTATGAATCTTTCCCTCTTCCGTACCTAGGATACGAATACCATTCGAAAAACGTATGTTAACACTCCCTGTATATCTATGATGAAATTGTGCCACTGGACCCACTGGAAGAAGCAAAGTTTAGAAGAAACTTTACCCACCAACTAGGAAAAGATAATCCGTTGTCTTGTGGAAATCAAATGCCGTTCCACAACCTATAAGGCAATAATAAAGACAAAGACAATCAAAATGTTGACAAATATCAAAATGTGATAAGAAAGTGTCTGGCTGATGATGGTGAATTAGACAACGGGAAGTGAAACTAACCTAAACTTTCAAGTTTCGAGCCATCGCCTTCACTGGATTGACTTGTATTCATCTTCAATGTAATGATATCTGTATAATGCAGCTCACTCTGTAAGAGATATTTGAAACTTGTGTGTTAGAGAAATATTCATATATCAGAGAAGACGAGTACTACAGCGTCTTTATAATAATGATTTATGTACGCCCATGTGTACAAGTACAAATTATGTCTTCTATATACTATTATATACCTTGACAATGGTCCATTGAACAATTCGTCCGTCGGAAGAAACTGAGAAGAAATTCAGGTTATTATCAAGATCATCTTTCTGCCATCTCACCTTTATTGGAAGAGTGACAATTATATGAATTAATTCTACATACCCAAACGTTCTGGGAAATGTGCTTCGTTCAAAATGCACGGTTAAAATTTTCTTGGAACTTACCTCCCAGACAGGGTCAGTGTGTTTTCCTGTTTTTGCTGTTGAACAATACAGAGGCTTGGCTTGCTTATCGCATGCTGAATACACGGCTACACTACCTAAGAAGAGTAGATTTATCATGAGTGCTTGCTTAGCTGTTGCAGCTTCCGAAATAATGTCGATGAGAGTAGAGTCAAGACTGTTCTGCACATGTGTTATGCAGAGGCCAATGAAAAGCAGGCATTGAAATTCACAGCATATTAGAACATATTCTCTTTATACCATCGTAAAATCCAACGGCAACAAGATTAGAGTGTTCAGGGTGAACATCCAAGCACATCACGCCACTTTCTGTTTGAAAGATGTATCTGAAATTGATGGATCATCTTGTCAACAAATGCTAAATTTCATAACAGATATTAAATGTACATGGTTGTTATATTTGATCGATGTTGTCTCTTACTTGTTGCACAGCATACTTACTCAGGATATGACGGGTTTTTCAAGCTGTAGAAACATATCATCCCCCTGGTTTGCTTGAGAAAGTCATCTATCAAGTCATATTCAAAAGTTCAGTATCACGAATACAATATTGCGGACTGTTTGAAAAGGGGAATGCCGGTTAAGGTAGAGAAATGGTTAAGTAACAAAAGAGTGATGTTGTTAAGGTGGCAATACCACATTTGACTTACAAGATCCGTGGCCAACGACAAACAGATCATGGTATTTATGATTCCAGCAAAGGGCAGTCACTGCCAGTCTTTTTGACTTCTCGTACGAAAACTTCCACAACGGCAGCAAGCTGCCTTCTTGTTCTTTATACTCGTCTGAAGCGTCTTGCCAATATTTGAAGTCTAACAAGAGGCACAAAATACCAAATCAGCCCCAGACTCTCGAAACTACATTGTGCAGCATATCAACACAATGTCATCTACTGCTTCGGTTGTTGATGCCGTTGTGAGAACATCACATGCAAGTACACACCTTGAGCATATTCGTCGTAGGTATTCTGATTGACCATGCGTTCAACGATCTTGGCAGGCCTGGAAATCCTGGTCACATCGTCACCCTGGCAAAAAGAGGAGACTTCAATTAAAACAACCGTAAAGTGTGGAAGTCGAATTCGGGATATTTCATTCAAATCACCTGACTCTCCATTTGATTCATCTTCTTTTTCTTGTCATCGTCCTTCTTGCTCGTTTTCTTCGTCTCTTTCTCTTTGTTCTTCTCCTGGAACGATTGTTGGAAAAAGGTGGAAAAGCATTAGGTTTACATGTAATCTGTTCGGGCAGAATTCTCAATTTCCTTATCCCCTGCTCCAATATTCTGACCTGTCACCTTTCTCTAATAAGTCTTCTCAAACAAGCCACTTCTTTAAAAAAAAAATGTCTGTCCTCAATCTAAGACGTCCTCACTTTTTGATAACGTCTTTCTTCAATAAACTCCTTTTCTGTCAACGCCCTCCTCAATCAATAAATTTCCATTCTCCAATAACACCCTACCCCTCCCAAATAATGCTTTCTCTCTAATTACCTAACCCCAAGTATATAAGCTCCTTGTCTGAGTTCCCTCTCTCTAGAATAAACGCATTTCCCCCAAAGGCCTCCCCCTTCCTTTACATAAGATTCAAGTTTGATAAGATCTTCACGCAGTAAAATTGTCATTAGTCCAAAGTGCCCTATTAAAGACCGTTGCTTTTCACCTGTCTTCGAAGATCTTCGACATACGCATCGTAGATTTCCCACTAAAGCAAAGAAAATAGTCCACCAGTATTACTACATGTACGGGCTAATATACAAAACTGATCATTCAGAATTCTCTTCTATACACACCTGATTAGCCGTTGCAGAGAAATTCGCTCTAGGTGGCGGTTCCGTCTGAGTCTCCCGTTCCTGTTCAACATCAAATACAAAGGTCACGACGAGGATGGATTAAAAACTAATTAGCATAAACGACGTAACCATGCACACAGGCAGGTGAGAAAGTAGCAGGCTTGTTTTAAAAAGTAAGCGGCAAAATTTAGAACTTTAAATGAAAACTGATACGCGGTGCGATCGGAAATAGCCGGTGGAGGTATTGAAAGTAGCCTGTTGCCAGCTTCTAGTGAAACCCCTGAGATCAGTGAAAGGAAAACACTGCATGCTGTATAGTCTTTAAAGAATGTCCCACCGTTTTGACTTTATGCTGGAGAGATTATATACAAGGAGAATTTACCCAAATGGATGGAATTAAGAAAACTAGCAACAAGGGCTAATTAGTTTAGAACCTACCCTGTATGGGTTATTGTAAGTTTGTGAGGCTCTTTCACAGTAGTTGAACTGATTCGTTAGTTTCTTCTCAGTTTGAGGTGCTGTAGGCACCTCTGTTTTCTCAGCCTCCTTTCCTTCCACCTGCAAGAAGGAAGGAAGCAATTATCACTACCAGATAGGAAAATGTTAGGGAACTCAGTGGATTCCTGGATTTAATTAGTTGAGAGCTGCCTTATCAATCACCCCACCTCAATTTCGGTACCATCTTCATCATTTTCATCCTCCTCTTCACTGTCTGATCCTAGAATATTGAAATAAACAACACTTCTTTACATTTCAATTAAGATCAGAATCTCAGAAGTTAATGAGACTTAAGCATGAAATGGTCATTCGACTTTTCTGTCTACCAACTGCACACCCACCTACAGCAATTCCCTGTTTTGTCAACTGTCTCTTTGCCTCGTCTGAATCTTTATGCAGCATGTTGCTATGGAAATAATTGGATGATGCATTTTATTTCAGAATAACCTATGACGTTTACAATATAAGCATTTTGCAACCAGTTAATGCTGTAAAAAAACTTCTTTTGATGTATAAAGGTAAAACAAAGTGTTTTGGAGTGGTTGATTTTATGATTTTCCCATTTTTCTTGATATATACAGATATACATACCCATCCATTGAAAAATGAATGGCCAGTTGATCAACGCTTGAGAGAGGCTTGAATAATTTGTCCTTGTGACTGAATCGGACAATGTTACTTGGGGCATGAGGATTGTTCGCTGTTAAAATTCTTGTGAATTCCTCTTTTAGCTCAGTCTCGGTCAGTTCCAACTGGTCACTTGGTTTTATCAGCTGCTTTGGCTAAAACGTCATTTGGGATACTTATGCAAGTGAGTGATTGGGGTTGTTTTAATGGATCATCAATGTAGCTTAGCTTAGAACTTGAATGTATGAATTGGCCAATTAGGAAAGACATAGCAACATTGAAAAAATAATCAATAAAGGCCAAGTCTGTTGACTTCATCAATTGCTCTTTGGAAGGTCAAGGGAAAGTAGGGGGATCTTCATAGTTGGTACTCAAAATGTATTAATTAGGATGTCAAAAGGAGGATTATAGTAAATACCCAATGGCCATGTGAAATACATACCTGCGTCCATTCATCAAACTCATCACCTGTTTGGGTTGAGTCTTCTTCCTCCTGAAAGTTTAAATTTCAATGATGCAGCTCCTCCCATGAAGAATATGAAATACAAGCACTAAAGGAGGCATTGGGTGGGAGGGGAGGCAATATGGAAAGTGGGAACTAAATCAACATATTTGATCACACCTTTTTCTTTGCCTTGGAGACACCCTTTGAAGCAGGCTTGACATTTTGATTGGGAGCAGCTGTTGATAACTTCTTGTCCTAAAAGATATGGTATGTTGGTGAGGAATGTCAGGTTTCATGCACTAGGCACTCAACAAGCACCATTTGATCTAAAAAAAACTTGCACAATGGTATGTGATCATGGCCTCCAAGATACAAGTCAATGACCACCAAATTCAGCTCTAAAAAATCACATCCACCTTGTGTCCTCGTGAAGGGTTAATGCACTTCAACATTGTCAATTGAGCTTGATGCAGAGTAATGTATGTGCCATTTTTATAATACTTAGAGTATAACAAACTAGGCAAGGAGAAATGTTTGACCACTTTGGAAACCAAACCTGCGCCCTTTGCTAATTGCCATTATATATTACTACAGTCGCAAAACTCTTTGATCAATATAGGCATTTCTAAAATGCAAACTGCTTGTGCAAAATATAAGAATTAAAGCCCTGAAGTTAATACGGAAATTGCAATGCCTTTCATATTGCAATAGCTGGGTGTTTAAACAAGAATGGTATTCAAAGCAAAATTCAAACAACTATAAACAATCATTTTACTTACGGTTCTGACTCCTTTACCGGCCGTCTTCTTCATTATTCGACTTCAAATGAACACTGAGGTCTCTCTCAAGATATTAACTGAATTAACCCACGATATCTTCAGCGATCTTCATGAGATTTTAGTAAAATATTTCAAAATTTCATCCAGATTCATTCAAGAAAAACATTGCTTAGTAGTTTCCACGTCAGTCGCTATAGCAACAGTCTCTCAAAGCGCGTGCGTGAAGGGACCTAAGTACTAAAAATTGGAGAAAATGAACAAATATTTCAGGTTTTTTATCACCTAACTTAGCCTTCTTCGTTTAAAAATATGGCTTAGCTTTAAGAGTTTTCACAGAAACATATTGAAACTCAACTAAAATGCAAACTAAGTGGGAATAGCGTTGTTAGTTAATAGAGATTGTGCTAGTAAATTCTGAAAAAGTTGCTTCGAAATCTGCTAAAAAGTTGCTTAAAGGTTGCCAGAAAATTAGAAAAGTTACTCCTAAATTTGAAAGAGTTATTATATCAACGGAGTTTTATCGAGTTTTTATTGTTTCAAATCTCAATAAAAGAAAATTTGGAAATGGTATATGGAAGCACAGTCATTCAACATGGCGGACGAAATTGAAAAAAATGATAAATCTCTTGCAAAACACAGAAGGGAGCGATTTTGTAATTTTTTGAAACTAGTAGAAGAAATTTCATTCTTACAAAATCAAGGCACTAAACGCGAGAGTGATGAGCACGTTGATGAAACAAAACAACACCCAGAGACTAAGAAACGAAGGCTGACGCCAAATAGTACAAATTCAAAAGACAATGAAAACCTTTTAGAAAGGAATGAACGGCTTTCGATTAGCGAAACGAGAAAGCAAAAGTGCGAGGAAGGTTCAGATAACGATGACTATGTTAACTGTGACTCAGACTTGAGTACCCTGGAGTGTGAACAGACATATTGGCTCGAAAACGAAGTAGTATTTGTTCCTGCAAGCAAGAGACAAACTCCACTTGAATTTATTGTAAAGTAAATGATTTCAAATCGATTACTGTGTATAAGAAACAATTTATTTTGTAGTGAGCTAAGACTGTTTCCATTTCAACTATCTGATAAACGATGTTTGATATAATGACATTCGAATATAATTATATAAAGAACATACAGTTGAGTTGACCCACTCAAGTCGGAACCTCTTTATTTAGTTTGCCCGCCCCACACGTTTTCATCATTGTCCGCCATTACTTGACCTATCAACGACATGATAATCAACTTTCTGGCCACGAACTGGCTTCTCTTCCAAATCCATTACCTCGGGTTGTCGACTTGGAGGGTCACATGTAAGGTTGGGTGGACGTATCATACTCCCAGTCTAGCTTCGTGCATTTCAAATTGTTTTTAACACAATTGAGAATATATATATATTTACTGTTCTGTTCTGCAGCTTAATGAGTTTATAGTAAGATTCCTCAACAATATGCATAGTGATCCAATACAGCTCAATATACTAGCTGATCAGCATACCACTGCAGTAGCTCCCAGTCTAGCTTCGTGCATTTCTGGAAGTTCCTCCCAAGAAAAACGATCGAATCTGAAAGCTTCTACAGACTTCAAGTATTTTCTATGTCCGTCTTCGCCACCCATGACAACCACAGTGTCTCCGACAACTGCAGCGACACATCCGTTCCGCTTGTGGAGCATCTCGGGTAACATGAAGCTCTTCTCACTCTGAATGTCGTACATCAGAACTTTACTCAGTTGTTTTTCCTTCTTGTCATAACCTCCCAAAACAATCAAATTATCACCCCATTTGACCATCGCCATGTTGAAGACATCGTAAGGAAGTGGATTCATTCTCCTGATTGAACTCTTGGTGATGTCATATTCTAAAACAGAACGTTCACTATCAAATCCTCCAACAATAATAATCTTATCGCCAAACAATGCTACCCCATGAAGACGTTTTCTTTCCAGCATAGTGGCCAACACTTTCCTGTTGTAAGGTAAAACAAGGGAAATCTCAGAAATTCTATCACTATTGATACCGTCACCCCCAATCGTTATCAACCGTCCATTATAGATCACGGTGCGATGGTAACGTATTGGCTCACGTAACTCAGCAGGAAACTTTTCCCAATTTATAGATTGGTCAACGTGAACAGCCTTCAACGATAGCTTTTCAATAGACGTCATTCCGGAATTCCCCTCATCTCCTCCAACGACAAATATTTGATTGTCATGAACAACAGACGATGCTCCGTCGCGACATTCTTTCGTACGCTGTAGTGGTGTCCATGTTTTCGTCGCAAAACTAAACATTTCAACGGAATTTAATAGCTTCATCATATCACTTGCGCCTCCGACAACAACAACCTTTGGCTCTCTGCTCATTTCATCAGCTTCTGCAATTCCCTTTTTCCTTTGCTCAACATCACAGGATGTCTGCTGTACGATTCTTTCCAGTTGCCTCTCCATTTTACTTAAAAGTTTTTTCATTTCTTCATTGTCTGCTTTTAACTGACGGTTGCTTTCCTTCTGTTGCTCTTGAACCAGTTCAACTTTTGCAGCGATACTCTTCAAATCTGTATCATTGTCGCCAATCTTTTCATTTATACTGTCCACCTTAACCTCAATTGCTGCTAAATTTGATTTAACCGTATCCATCTCTTGTCTTATGTCATTACAACTATGACACTTAACTCTGCGTAGTTCACACAGAGCTGTTTCATGATGAAGTAAATCTTGCTTGTTGACTTTCCGTCCACAACCTTCATTCGAGCAGAATACTGGGGCAAACCCACAGTCTGCAACATGCTTTTCAAGATCTCCCAGCAAAATGAATCTTTCGCAACCCCGTTCAAAGAACTCACAACGGATCTTAAGTTCAGAAATTAAGTTCGCAATGTTACGAGGCACTTTCAGAGTATCGACAGTGAGTGGTTCCATACATGTCGGGCATGTCTGAGAGTTCATGAGATGTCTGATGATACAACCACGACAAAATACATGTTCATTATGGCGACACATGACCGGGTCTTTGATGACATTGGTGCAAATGATACAGTGCAAGGTCTGGCTGACAATCTGTTCAAACCGTTCATCATCGTAACCTGTGGTATATGACGCCATTTCCTGTTCGTAAAGATTAATATTAATCATTGTCTCACATGATTTTTAAACCAACGTTTTTGTCATATATTATTTATACACACTCTTTAAAGTCTGTTCACGCGAATTTTTTTCGGCACGGTACCGCTTTTATACGGGCCAAGACTACCTACTATTTAAGCGGCCTCGGAGCGTTTAAAATTATCCTGTGCAAAAAATATCGTGTAAATGGAGCCAAAGAAGCCTAGAATTTCGTCAAGCGAGCTGACGAATACTCTTCCAGGGAAGCGTGGGTTTTTTACACGCTGTGCTTACACGAGCCCAATTAATCTTGAAACTAAGTTTTATAGTGTAAATGCAGATATGGTGTAGGGTAATCATGTAAACTTGTAAAGCTGCTATGGTGTGCATCGAATGTGTACATGTCTACATATTTGATTCATTACGGTTCTATGCGGTATAATTCGCCTTACCTTGACTTCGGCCAGGAACAAAAGATTCCCTTGTAGCGAATTCACATCGTTGAAGTTTTGAAAACAGCACTGGTTGATTTGATCGAGAGAAAGAACAGAAGTTTGAAGAAATGCAACAGCGATTGTGTTTACTTTCGGTTTGAATGCCTTACAGTCAAACCGGATGTTGTTCTCTTGTGAAACGTACTGCAATATTGTGACGCAATTTTAAGGTAGAATTTTTCCCAAAATGTTATTCGACAAGTGGAATGAAGTCATCCCGCTATGTCAAAAGAGATATAGCGTTGCATCTTGTTGTGACTGGACCTTATATTCCGATATGATTTATTAACACACAGGTTAGAGATGGAGACTGGATTCACTCAATATGGGAAAGGAATTTCAAAAACCAATCAATCAAAAACTTTGTGCAGTGTTCTGTTTAATACGAACAGTAACAGTAAAGACTGTGCTGCAATGTCGACTCAAGTAGGATTTGGACACGCATATCATTATATCATTATATCGAGCTGCCGCTGTACAGTTTTTCTTTGACCCCAGGATGTGTGGTCTTTTTGTGCTCTCAGGTCTTAAAGCACATCGCCCAGGCACAAATGTTTATGATCGCTGCTAAATGAGTATGCTTCGCACATTCGTAGTTTTACTTCTTAATCAAGAAATATTTAAGTAATTTAACACTCGACTAGATAGATATATTACAGACTTACAGATTGTGCTCAAGATAAATAAATACCAGTGGCCAGCAATCGATGTGGTCAGCTGACACTCGCTTCGCTTAATACAGGGCGGGGGAGGGTTGTAGGACACACCCTATTTCTTCATTGTCTAAAGTATTGTCATCTAACCTACATTGGTATAACAGGCTCCTCCCACCCCTCCAGTAAAAGTTAGAATTATCACTATTGCTAGCCCGCGCAATCGACGGCATGTCGACCACGTACAAAAAAACTCTTTTTTTGCGATATTAAATCCTAAAACGATAGCAATGTTAAAATAAAATGCCTAATATGTCACACCAATCAAGAGAAGATTGGTTACCTTTCAACGAATTTTTGTCATCAGCAACGTAATTGTCTTCTGTTAAATAAATGAAACTGTTGTCGGCAAAGGAGACATCCATATGTCAATATCTTTTCCGCCTGCAAAGAATTATGCCTTCCGCTTTGTTGACAAGAACAGGAAGGCGCGCGGAGGACTGAGGCGAAGCACGTTGTATTGCGAAGAGAACCAATCCTCACGAAATTGATGTGACATAACAAAACAAAATAAAATTGTTTCCTTAATCGATTTAAGTTCGCAGAAGAAAGTGTTTTCAAGCTCGCCATGCATACCAGGGTTGCGAACTAGAATCCGCAAAAGGTTTCACCTATGCTGGGCATAAAGCACCCCTTGGTATTTAATTCCATTAAGTTCGATTGAAACAGCGATAGAATTATCATTCCCGTGTTCAAACGTAGTTCCCGGCACTCTGTTTGGAGATTTTCCCGCGGAGTTATTAATCTGTTCATTGTTCTGATTCTTTTCCTCCCCATTCTCGTTGATAACTGGGATACCTGGATGAAAAAAGTTTCAGTGGGTTTAATCTCGAAGGAACTGGGAAAAAAGCTCACCCTACCAATGGTTGGAGGTGATCTAATACACGTGACAATCCCTGTATTTGTATACATTCCTAGTTATTCCTCATTGCTTTGAAAATGTTCTTTTGTTGGGAAGTAAATATCAACAAGGGGACCATCACCCCTTCAATTCTTAAGCATTTAGGCCCTTTTCCACTTATCGCTAAATCGACTGGCAAGCTGATTTCTACTATTTGCATGTCATAAAAGTAAACTGTCAGGCATTGTGTTTGTACGAAATTACTCGCAGCGAGTTTATTTTTGCGAGTGAATCTTAAGTTACAGACTCACATACCTCTTCCGCCATTTGTTCGGATTTTAATATTAGCCCAAGGACCTTGTGCCAGCGCTATATGTTTCCCAATCTCCTCGCTGCTTGCGATCCTCTTGTAGGGAGGTTCGTACGATGCTCTACCGTTCGTGTAGCCGGGAGAATGGGCTCTAGTGTCGTATTTATACGGAGTGCGGGAATCCGAGGTTGACGTGATCATCCGCTGAATGGCAGGAGCGAAGCCGATACCATTGTTTCCGTGAAAGGAAGGGGACACGAACTAAAGATTACAATGATTTTAATTAATTATATCAACATGGCTCTTAGCCAATCAGCGTCCAGAGTTTACAGATCTTACCTCCGAGCCAGCGCCTGAGGCAGGCCCGTTTGAGGGTACTAATTCCGCCTGGTGGTATCACATTATACCCCGGCATTTAGAGGGAACAAAGCAGAATCCAAAATCGTCCAAATTTTTTCTCATGGACGGTCGACGTTGGATAGTTATTCTTGGTAATGCGCATGCGCGAAATTTGAACGAATAAAGACTGGTATTATGCTTTTTCCTACCTCACTCTCCCCAGGTAACCTCATTGTCATCGCAGACTGGCTGATGGTCGGCGATGAAGGACGCTTTAAAGTCGGTGATGAACAGTTGGATTTTGGGCTTGTCGAGTTGGAATAAAACCCAACTTCGGGCTCAACCATTGAGGTATAGTGTCCAATGGATGGCCGTCGACTTGTGTCTCTTCTGTTGCCGTCGATGGCACACTGAAGCTCCGTAGGAGATGAAAGTTTCATGGTCGAACATTCGTAGGGATATAAATACTTCATGTATCTGCAAAGACATGATAGAAGTGATTAAGCTATGAATATTAGGATACTGTGTTATATCGGAAACTGAAGCCTTGACAATCTCAATTGCATTTTGAAACCAAATACAGAACTGCCTCTGTAAAATTTAGGATTTGGGGATTTATCTAGGCCGACGTTTGTCTCAATATTATACGAAAGCCTAGCTCAATAAGTGTTTTATTATACATTCAAAAGTTATATAACGAAAGCTTTAAGGGTAAGTAATAATAAAGGTCAATTTGTTTACGCTTTCAAAATATGAAAGTTGGGGATTGGTAACCAGAGCGTGCAATAATACTTTCTATGGATCTAAAGATGGGTACTTCTGTAAATATGAGATATTCACTTGAACAAAAAATCACTTACTGTGTGCGAAGAGTAAAGGCTGCACTTGTCACTGACGATGGAAGATTCAGACCTTTTATAATTCCTCTCCATATTTTCTTGTTAATAACCTAAATTAGGTGAAAATCTAAACTTTAGTTGCTTAGGGGAGGTTAAACCATATTTTCATAGTGCTCATGCATCCGTTTTATTTACCTTTTTATTTTCATAATTTTTAAACCATAATCTCAATTGTTGAAACCATGTTTAAAAGAAATACACTTAACAACTGAGCGGCAACTGAAGAAATTCAACTTACCTCTACAAGACCGCCTCTGTCAGTGACAAGTTTGAAGAGTTTAAATAAATCTAGTGTTTGTTTCGCCATGATTGGTACTCGGTTAACAGGTGTACCTAACAGCAAATACAAAGGCTTTAATAAAGTTTTTTGCAATTTTTCTATCATAAATTTACTTATAGGTACGTTCCCGCCATTTATTATTTTTCCCGCCATTAGAGTCTCTTCATGAAAGCGGTTTCATATCTTTCATACTCTTTGACACACGTGATTTATAGCTGAATAAAAGTATTTTGTTGACCATTTCATCACGATAAAAGAAGAGTGCAGAAAGCGCGCGAAACAATTGCCCCTGAGTCCCTATGCCTTTCCAGGTATGGTCAGTGGTATCTCCCCATGAAATAACTACGCTACTTTGTAAACATAAAAACTTTCGCCTCCGCTAAAATCGTTATCTGTTCAGCAATATCATAAGGTTTTACGGTGGGGTATCTTGACATTTTATTTATTAATCAATATTGTTTGATAAAAACCAAGCTTTGATAAGGTCGCGATAAATACATAATAAACAAAGACTCAAAAAAGGTCTGCAAACACCTGGCCTGTATCTCGTATGAAGATAAATTGGGTTTTTTTTCTTAAAGTTGAGTATAGACCATCCGTTTTTATATTTAGATTCATTAACATATGTAGGTAGCTCCTTTCATTGTACTGCAGGAGGTCCAGTATGGAGCTAAACTAAACTAAACTGTCTAACTTTATTTATACTGAATAGCTCTATCAGTTCTAGACTGTTCCTCAGTCCTAGAGGCCCAGTAAGGATAATCTCTTATTGATCCACTGTTACTACAGGAAGAAGCCTAAACTAAACTAAATTTATTTATACTAGATAGCTCTATCAATTCTAAACTGTTCTTTCTAGAGATACAGTAAGGATCATCTCTTATTGATCCACTGTTACTCAGGAAGAAGCCTAAACTAAACTAAATTTATTATACTAGATAGCTCTATCAATTCTAAACTGTTCTTTCTAGAGATACAGTAAGGATCATCTCTTATTGATCCACTGTTACTACAGGAAGAAGCCTAAACTAAACTAAATTTATTTATACTAGATAGCTCTATCAATTCTAAACTGTTCTTCCTAGAGATACAGTAAGGATCATCTCTTATTGATCCAAGGTTAATACAGAAGGAGACCTAAACTAAACTAACTATATTTAGCTAAACTGAATAGCTCTATCAGTTTGAAACTGTATTTTCTAATCTTTTTATTGATCACGGTTACCAGTAGGAAGCCTAAACTGCACTTTCTTTATTACGGAATTGCTTCAGATGAGAAAAGTTGTAAGTACCGAGCAATGCTTATATATATTTTATGTTAAAACGACATAGGCTAATACAATATTGATTTTTTCCACACTGTCACTGCATATTTCTATCGCAAACAAGGAAATGAGATGGAAACGCTTTGGGTAATGTTATAGGACAATATTGAACGGCGGCGAAAATTAATCTATTTACTTCGCATGGGCATGTTAATTATTATCATGTTATTTAACGTTCCGCTAATGAGCAAGAGACATTTAATTAAGTCGAACCTCACTTAATCGATCTTACAACGAAATTTAATTATGCGACATTCGGGTTGGCATGAATAAGTGACGCCCGCCAAAACAAAGCCGGATTATGGCTTATATATATATATTCGCGGAAAATAGCATATTGGAAGCAATTAACTGCTTGGATCAATAAACCATATCAGTTGTCTCGAATATCGCTCTTCTAATGGCAGAAAAATTGAATTTGCGTTGGCACAGTGCTCTAGACTCTTGCAATATTTGCCATTATTCAGGGAATTTAATATTCATTTATAACTACGGCTACACAGGCGGTTTTTGTCGGCGATTTTTTCTGTCTAACCGATGTTTCTCAGTAGGTGATTATGTACACAGTTTTCAAAGTTAGGCAATAACGCGATGGTTATGCTCGTATATTACTAAGAGTTTCAAACAGAAATTTTGCTGATATTGATATGAATCTACCACGCTTGTTCATTTGATTAAATCATTATCCTAATGAACTAAATAACCAAATATAGACTTTATAATGTATTGCGGAAAAGAAGATGTACATATAATATAAACACTTTATACAAAAAGTTTCCTATCAGAAAATTGATAACATTAAGGTATATATATATATATATTTTTGACACTGAATTTTGATCCAAGCAAGAAGAATAAAATTGAACGTTAACCCACTGCTAGAAAAATTGACGTAAAATAAGTTAAAGTATATAGAAACGTCTGGTAAACGTTTAACCTTTCGTTTCGTTAAATTTTGCTGTTATCATCAAGAAAAAGCAGCGAATATTATATAATAATTCATATATAGCTATATAAGTCATGTTTTAAATATTTTTAACGGTGTATTGAAAGTTTTAGCTATAATTTCTATTAATTTTCAAAAGCCTTTATGGATTAATATCTATACGTTCGTGTCAAACATTGTTTTTCATAAGCCTTATTAAATAATTGCAAAGGCCACATGCAGGAATCATTGATTGCAAGGCCTTCGAAAATTGCTTTTTGGTCCTTGCTGCGGGTGTATGTATACTGTTAAACCTCACGACATTTTCTCTTTCAAAAATAACAAACCTTTAATATATTTGCAATGTTTTATGTGAATGCTATATATCGTATCTATATATTTTGTCTATTATATCAGAAATATATGCTCCGATGTATATCTTTGTTCCTTGCAAGTTTAACAGGTGTTTGCACATTGCCATTGTTCCTATCGAGGCTAATAGAATATTAACATGCATGCATGTATGCCCAAACGAGCTCGCTTATAAAATTATTATAAATGAATAAAATCATTAGTTTGTAGATGATAAGTGTATTAATGCACGATGAATGTATTTTTCGAGACAAATAACTGAGACAAATATATATCTATAAAAAAGGATTACTTTGAACATTTTTATGTGCGTTTTTCTGTATAACTGTGCGTAAAAATGTGACAACAACATGCATGGCATCTCATGGCGCACGTCTTAATTCTGATATTGCGGTGTGTAATTTTTCTTCGATAAATATTACATACACTAATTAATAAATCGAATGCAATTTTAAAATTAACACAAATATATTTATCACTGAAGAACGCGTTTTCTAATTACTTTGTTAAGATATCAAGGGAATATAGGTCACGGAAGAGAAGTTCCATCCATTTACGAACGGAATTCACTAATGCTTGCGCCTAAATGTAATTCTTTATGTGGATATTTTTACAATGCAAGTACCAACCCAAATACATTACTATGTATATTCGTAATTCTAAAGAACTTCGCTCTAGAACTGGTTCACGGGGGCTAATTCGGACCCGCAAGTCTGAATTTGGCGTTAATTTTAGAATTATAACACCTCTGACGTTTCGAGAAATCGCTTCGAACATCTCATGGAAATGTACATTAAGGCAAGCCATATATGGATTTTCATCTGTAATTTGGCATTCATACATGTTAAGGCGATACCACATATAAATAATATTTCTCCACAAATTGGAGTCCCTTCTCAATACGTAGTCATGCAAAAAAAAGTCTCTCTAAATAATAACCCCGATCTACATCCGCGCAGCACTCTGTACATATTGAATTAATTCGATTTTCCCATACAACCAGAAACAGGGTAATTTGGCAAGGGTTATCAATGTTTCATGACGTCTAATTAAAACGAGTCGAAATTCTCGGGTATTATAAGAAATAATAATATTTTTTTAAATAAAGCGGACGGCGAGGCAAAGAAAGGGCGACTGAAAGGCTGATAGAGATCTGAAAAACAAGCCAAAAAAAATTCGCGTCGCGATGCGTTGTCGGTTAAATATAGTGAAAGCAACCCCAAAGCAACTATACAACTCACCTCTGTGTTGCATGAAAGCAAACAATTTATCCAGGAATTCTTTTCGTTCAGCTTCGTCTCCCAAATCGTAAAGCTATATGAAAAAAATGGTGAACGCGCCGGTCAACATAAGTTGATATAGATTTCAGTTCAATTTTCATGCGAATCGATTTCACGATTTGATTTATAATCAATAGAAAATTTTGTTAATGTGATAAACTTTGTGTATAATATTTTTTTTAAAAGATCCCAACGTTTCTAACAATTATATTTATGTATAAGAGATAGGTATAGCATTAGAATGGGGGGCTTGACGAGTAATTAAGATCGTATTATTTGCTATAAGATATGGTTTTGGGGGCTAAGTCATGCATAATTATGGTGTAGCCCAATCCACGAAGCATAGTTACTTTGTCTAAACTGCATATTTCACACCAAATCATTCCCTTCATCAATTAACGCGCGCGTACTAGAGGGTCAGTTGGTCAGAAATACCTGCTTCTAGTCACTGATATACACATATAAAACTATCCACAGTAAAATCGCATGGATCCCTCTACTACTCCCGAACTACTTCAACGAAACAAATAGGTCGGCTCACTCGGCTGCTTAGGTTAGTTAAAGTCTACAGGACAACTTCTTCTCAAAGCTTGTAAGTCATTTAGGCAGAATTATGAACTTTCGAATTTAGATGACAATTGTGAAGGGAATATTACGAAAATCTTTTGAAATGCCGGGAGCCAGTGAAACAGGTTTTTCTTGTATAACAGCGATTTTATAAACAAAGCGATCGCATGCATGTGGCATTTTACACTATAGCTTGGAACACGAGAAAGCAAATTCACTTTAAGAAAGTATTACGGAACGCAGTGTATAGAATAGAAAAGTCAATACAAAATTTCCAGCCTTGGATGGGTAATACAATGGATCGGAAAGCGAAGAACTCCATAAAAAAACAACGGCAGGTTGCCTTGAATCATGATCAACTCGTCAATTACTGAATGGGCAAAAGGATTTCTGGTTCCCTTTTGATATAAATATTTTGAATTGAGCCAAAATATCACCAAAACAGGGCCAATATGCGATGAATATTTGATCTTTTGGCAAATATATTATGTAAACAATTGTATTGTGCTTGTTTAAATAGTGATGGCATATAATAATTGATATGCATATACTGACAATATTAATACAGCGAATAATAAGATTAAAGAGCAGAACTGTCATTGAAATGTGTGTCAGCCTGTCAAAGTTGACACCAAAATCCAATTCCACGAAATTATAGCTTACAACAGGGGGAAACCTAAACTATACACACACGCAGGTTTTCCCGCTGGAAGCCTAATGAATATCTTCGCGGTCCATTGAAGAATCGCATATAGATTTACTTCCATCACAGGTGGCAACCTTAGCTGCATGAACTAGCTATATTAAGACTGAACGAGAACCGTTTTAAGTTAGAACTGTTTCTCAAGAGGATCATGCACGCGGCGTTTTTCTCATTAATTGAAGTTACCACACTCAGGAAACCTATTATACTAAACTCAGTCAGTTCTAAAGCTGATCATCGCACATACACATGCGCTATTAGGAAACCCATAATGTAAACTATATATAGCTTCATCAGTTCAAAAGTATTCTTCCTAGGCGTCTAGTAAGGATCATTTCCTATTGATCCAGTGTTACTACAGGAGGAAACATGAACTAAACTAACTTTATTTATATACTGGATAGCTCTATCAGTTCTAAACAATCCTAGAAAAGGAATCATCTCACTGTAACTAACAATGTTCCTATGCAATTTCTGCTTCGAAATCCTGCGATAGAGTCATCTTAAATATATAGATTTCTGTGGCCCTGTGTCACAAAACTTGAATTCCTGGTAATTTTTAAGACGATTTTGGTAGTTTTAAAATAAATATGTGTACTTGTACGCACGCAGGTTCCAATTATATGATTTTCGCGTTTCAAGACAATGGGACATCCATTTCCTTTCAAAAATTACTAGTCATGCATGCAGAAAAAAAGAACAATGAGACAGGTCCGTTATTGATAACAAAATTTCCCATTAAAGGGTAAAAAAGCAACCAGATATTACAAAAAAAAACCCGCCTCGCTACGGCTCTTCGATATTGTAGTAAATTATATTCAAAACGGCACTATAAGATTTACAATTGGTTCGTAGATGCAAATTACCCATACATTGAATTGAATCTATACTAAAACACATTCGATCAAAATCCATTTTTGATGCAACTATTTATCCTACTATCCTAAACTTATCTATATCGCGAAGGATCTTGCATGTAACTGCCCACAAATCACCTGCTTGTTAGGCTGTCATATTTAATCGCGCTTTTATGGTCAAAGTGTATCATGTACAAAAAAGATAGAAAGATAGGAAGCTCCGTGGAACAAGGGGGCAACACCGTTACTATCGTATTCAACTCGATGTTACAAAAGCTCTTCCACTTACCACTTCACGTTTTTAGTTAAAACTGGTCTTGCTTAATTGGATTTCTTTATGCAATGTTGCCGTAAGGGGAAACGGAAAAACGGCTTTAATTCTGAGAGCGGTATAAAGCCTATAAGCTGGGGCAATGAGCGCGCCTTACTACTTAACTCATGCTGTTTAACGCTCGTGAAAGATGCCTGCCAGGGCCATGCCGCACTATATGCAAAATAACATCATGCAGTGAGCAAAATAAACTATATAGTTATTATATGACACAGGCGTTAATTGGAGCTCATTCAATCCGCTTGTAAATATTCCCCATGGGGAGGAAATCAGTGTACCTGGGGAAGCTCCGGACCGCTTTGACAAAGCGATGAATTGCTTTTTACGGGTTGGTTGACGAGTTCGTTTCGCGAAATTTGAATCCATAATCGGTGGGGGGGGGATGCTTTAATTTCGGCGTTTACCAAACATGTTTTTATCTCGGTATATTTTACAATTCGGTGTTTATTTGATTGAAAACGTCTTCTTCCAGGCCATATAAAGTATGAACTACTGTGCTTAAGTGTACTATGATTGACGTGTTTGGATATGATGGGACTACATTGTATATTCCATATATCGACGTGCTACGGGCCAGAGGTCAACAAAAGACCTTCCGTTTTTGAAAATGGGCAGCTCTAATTGGGAAATGGGTATTTCCTAAACATGAGTTTAACAGTTCTAAACGTTTTTTTATTCGAATCGCTTAGTGAAAATAGCGTTTCAGATGACTTTCGCATTTTCCATTAACTGATCTTGAAATGACAAGAAATGGACAGTGCTATTTTTTTCCTCTGACTATATTCAATGTATCGACCGGCGAGCACAAATTATAGCAAGAATTCACCAAAATAAAAATAAACAACAAACCTTCTTGAATTGTTCCTCGTAGGACCATTCCGGAGGAAAGCCTCTCTCGTCAGAGACCTCATGCCTGGTTTGGTGACGTTCCACATCGAAATCGCTTTCAACCTCCAAGCTCTTCGTCCTAATCCCCTGATTTTCGTCAGGCATTGGGGAGAGTCTCTCTTCTTTAGTACGGATTAACAAACCTGCAGCTGCATTCGAACTTGTCAAAGATCTCCCCACACCTTTAAAAATTACAGAAAGCAAAATATTTCTCTTCCCCACTTGTTGTATAAGCATATTTTGTACCTAATTTTAACGTCTGTACAAATTTCTTTACTCAAATATCCTTCAAAAGCACAGCAGGTTGCGCAAAAACAATTTTTGAAGACTCACGTTCGCTACTTTTTTGCATATATAAACATGTCAATACGAGTCATTGAGTGACTTTGGGCTAAAAATTGGTTATTTTTATTGCCATAATATAAATTCATACGAAATTCACGAACTTTGCAGGGCTATATTTTCTATATTTTAAAATATTTCGCGATAAATTTTAAAGTTTCACTCTTTCTAACATGCTTTGTTTAGCTTTGCTATTGAATTTTGTCTTCTTGCTTGGATTAAAATTCAGACCACAGCTCTAAATTATTCCTTGTGTATAGTTATACCTTTTTGGTCCAGAGCGTTTCATTAAACTAATACTACTCACGTATTGAGAATTCATCATGGGGCTTGTTTAACAAACTTTCAGTGACCAGATTTTTACTAGAGCAAGTGTGAAGCTACTTTAATTATCAGAATATTCCGATAATAAACGAATATAATCCGTACTAATCTAAAACCAACCTGCTATATGAGCATACTATTAATAGTGTATAGTCTGCAAAAGGCTTTTATCATGTAATGAATATTTCAAGTCATGCAGTTTTTCAAACTCGATTAAACGAGTTCTAGGTTTTTCACTATTAAAATTTTGTACAGCTGTGTAAGAAAGGTTCATTTATCCGGCCAGGAAGTACAAGAAGGCCTACCGGGTGAATTGCGTACGAGGTTCACTACTTTAAAATGACCTGTCTGAATCTGTCATTTTATACAGACCAGACAATTTAGACGACAAGCGATTGTGAATCAGCGAAGACTGGTCATGCAATCGGCCTCGCGTGTGAATGACACTTGGCCCGGACCGGTTTTGACAAAGACTAACGTGATTATGCGGTTTGCAAACAGACACACATACACACACGCACCTTCTTTATCTTGGAAATTCGTTTTCTTCGCGCTCTCCTGAAACCATTTTTCCTTCATATTTTCGTGGGAGTCCTCTTCCATCGACAACTGCAGCGATTCTAGTTCGGCCATTCGCTCGAATGCGTTCTTGAACTTGCTAGTAATCTCGTCCATTCTCAACTCGACTTTGCGGTCACGGCAGACAGAATCCTGAACCAGAAGTGCATCCCTGCTGCCGTTCGACGCCTTACTATTGTTCGACAGCTCAGCCCCCTCCAATTCGCAGCTCAGCTAAATGAAACGAGAAGCGTGCTCTTATCAACAATGGCACGTCAATAACACACACGACATGCATCGAACAACTAAAGATGCGAGTCTAATAAATATTTCAGGTGACGTTTAACACATATTATAATGCTCGAAAGACACGTCGTTAGCCATCTGTTCGAAAAATCGCCCTTGCAAGCTGGCGTTTAATTCATAAATGCGTACCTTCAATTCACTCGCTGTGGCCATTTTTCAAGTTATGCACGGCAACCCTTATATTTGTTTAAGAATTTAATAAATCTACGATCGTTGAAATTCGGTTCGAATTAATAGTAATTCCACCAGCAAGTCGAGTACATCAGGACATGAAATGTTGCAACAACATGTTCCTACGAAACGTTCTGCCACATCGCATTTTGAAGAGCGGAAAAGCGACGCTGTTTAGAAACAGTAAATTGCGTTTTATTAATTTCTTGACTTGTATAAGTTGAGCACTTGATATTTTGAAAAGTGCGCAGCCAATATAGATCACACAAGCTTGATTATATTACATTGCACGTGTTTTAGGATTCTAATTAATAATAGACTGGTGGCCGGTTTGAATATTCGAAAACTACACAATTTAATACAAGCAATTTTTGATTAGACCCATACGCCAAAATCACGCTCGGGGATGACGCTTTAGGAAATGAACTAGAAATATTGCATTCAAGAACGCTTTCTACAACGATTTGGCGAACTCAATAATATGACCGTTTTGTGTGTACGATAAGTTTAATTTCAATTAACATGACACGGGATATTATATTGTCCCTCTAACTGCGAGACACGCGTGATTAAATTAATTAAAAGCATAGGAGTGGAGCACTTCAATTTTTACTCAAATTCTAATTAATTTCGCATTGCGCTGAGTCGAGATAAGTGGAGCAAAGCAGTTGTTTACAAAGGGAATTTAATTTTGATGTTTAGCCTTTGCCGAAACGTCAATGTGAATTAATTAAAAGTCCTTCGACTTTGTGCGAATTGCTGGTTTCGTGAAATTGATGAGGTTTTGCCAATTCAACCCCGTTACACCGTATTTTCGCTTTTATCATGGCTGTAATTCAGTCGATCAACATACGAAACAATGTTAGTGGTGTCGTATAATGTTTGAATTAAGTAAGGAGCAATTTTTTGCTCACAAATTTTACCTTATCGATATTACACGCTCGATTGAACGGCAGGTAGATCAGCGTGTGATGATTATATTATGATCAATCAATGGCATGTCTGCGGTTATATACAAGAAATGGATTGATGCAAGATACGTCCGCTTATAAACCAAACACACATGGAACGGTTTGCAGCTTATGTGACATGATCGATTGATCTAGATCAAAGCGACTGGCTGTGTCAGTTTTCGAATTAATCAATCGCGGCGCATTTATACACGATTGCCCAAATAAAAGACTTCGACTTTACAGGTTACACGCGACTAACGTTCATATAAACATACACATTTGCTTGTCGTAAAGAATCTAAGTGGCAAACAAAAGCATCTGTTTCAGGAGACGATGATCGCTGATTAAAATATAGTTTAGTTTTGCGAGGGGGACTGTATTAACTACTAAATTTTTGTTGGTATGACTAATGTGCGATGTACGATCACGAAGTTCTCAAAGGCCAGTCCAGATGTTCGAGAAGCGTGCAATTTTGGTTGCAACTTTCAACGCGATAATAGTCGAACGGAAGAAGAGTGTAAAATGTAACAAATTGTGAACATATATTTCTTTCCTAGCTGTTTTTATCCGCCAACGTGCATGAGTGAATGTATAGTAGCAGCCATGAAGGAAAGCTAACAATATAAACTTTACAGTCGCTGAGGCAGAGTCGTCGAGCGTGCAGTTTCACGATTACCGTCAACGTACAACACTTGATGTTGACAGCCATAAATTATTTTGACTTGACCAAGCTTATCATAAGTTTCCAGGCTTTATCAAATCGTAAACAAAACTATAATATGGCCGCCTATAGTACATTTAAGCCTGCAATTTAAACATGCTTTGGCCGAAAATTTTTTTCATTCTAGATGAAAGCCTTTTATTAAAGTTTTTTTAATACAACAAATTATATGGAGGGGGGGGGGCGATGATACCGTCGCCGCACCGAATGCATGCCCCCCCCCCAAGTTGATTTCCACTCAGGGGTCCAAAAATGCATGGAGGCAATTGAAACATCACGCGATATTGATTGTTTACAATATTGGACACGCAAAACGAAATAGGAGCTGTTTTTGCCAGAGGCCTGGAAATAGTTAATTGAGTTATACTGAACTTTAATCCAGCTTTCAAACGAAAGGTAACGGGTTAAGAAAGCTAGTTTTGCGGCCGTGAAGTTCGCAGCAAAAGCATAGACGGAGTTACGCAGACGGTTCACGATAAAACCACATAGGCGTGGCTAACAGTAAACATCCATACAACATTCTGCAAGCCAAAACACACTTGGTTTTTTAATAAGAAGTATAGAATGTACTTCATATTCAAATCGATTGTGCGACGCAACGTTCTTGTGATTATAAAGTGCGTCACGCAACCGTTTCTTTTGCGGTACAGAAGCCTGAAGGGTCTCTTATTATTCGCTAAAGTGTCATACGAAATATTAATAAAAGTTGCTAATTGAAAGCCACGTTTTCTTAACGAAATAAGCTTCTTTCCCTGACAATAATTAAAATTTCACGAGCAATTTATCAACAGTAACGTATGAATTTATCAATTTGTGCATGTAAATATTTGGCGATAACTCGTCTAAACTCAACTCAAACCTTGCATGACGGTGAACAAGTTATGATCACGCAAAATCTTTGTCTCGAATTTTCGCCTTCATACTATTGTCAAACTATGCACTTGACAAAGATGATGGATAAAGTCGAAATATCACAAGTTGTGATATTTCGACTTAATGTTTTTATCCATCGTCTTTGTCAAGAGTTTTTGTGTTTAGTTTTCCAATAAATTTGTTTCTACTTACATTTTATTAAATTACATGTCGGCTGAACTGAGAAAATTGTGCATGTAATATGGAACCTCATTGGCTCATTCATGCTTATTTTCGTTCATCAGTCCTTGCAAACGCGAAAAGTGCGAACTTATAACCAACGTCATTCTAATCCTTAGTCTTTAGAGCCTTTTAAGAGGCAAAATTATTACCTAGAACGGTTTCGATGTTTGAATGAACATGCATATAGCTATTCAGTATAAATCAGTATTTCTTTGGCAGTTTATATGCGCACGAGTTTCCCTTCGGTTTGCTGTGCAGGGAAATTGCAATGCTGAAGTATAAACTAATTAAAACAGGTCATTAAATGCAAATAAGTAAATGAGAAAGCTCACGATATTAAACTAAGCTTCTTGTCAAAGAATGCTTTCGATTTCGTTTCGTTTAATACCCTTATCGATCGGCCACCAGACCATTTAATGATTTAAGCCCTAACTGAATCTAAGAATATTATTAGTTTTTATAAATATTTCCTCCGCAGCATTTGTCAAATATCTCAATGATTTCAATTTTATTCTTATTATTTTTTCTGTCGTCAGTCCAGGAAGTAATTTCCGGCATTTTATTGTCCCTTCCTGTTAACGAGCGGCCGTTTTGAAATGAAAATAAATAGAATTCGGGCTATGTGTATATTGAAAAATGTGTATATTGAAAACGCAAGCTTTATGCTTATTTCGGTTGCAACTGTTGCTACGCCAATTGGTTGCCATGGTAATGACATCGTTGCCTTGCGCAAGTGTTGCCACATCTACCTTTCCTCCGTAAACATACGCTGCATTTAATTTCGACAGTTTTTAGCATATTTTGCATCATTGCGAGGAAACCTCGAAAATATTGATCAACTGTAGTGCTTATTCACGTTATACACTAAGGGCTATTTTTCTGATTACAATAAAGGTGGTTTTCAAGTTGGCTGAATTTTTGGTTCGAACGAAATTCTGATCTCTGGATCATGACTGGATGACATGAACAGTGAGAATTTCAAAACAATTAAAAGACAATGGAACATGCTGATCCCTGGATCATAACTGGATGAGATGGAGAACAGCGAGAATTTCAAAACAATGGAAAGACAATGGGACATTCTGACCTCTGGATCATAACTGGATGACATGGAGAACAGCGAGAATTTTAAAACAATGGAAAGACAATGGAACATCCTGACCTCTGAATCATAACTGGATGACAGGGAGAGCAGCGAGAATTTCAAAACAATGGAAAGACATAGGAATATTCTGACCTCTGGTCATAACTGGATGACAGCGAGGTATACATTGCGGAAACCAACACAAGTTCCAGCAAGAGTCCACGTTCAGAACTCTGTTTTATGATACCCTTTAGTACTCCCTCCTGATATATTTCAAACATTTCCATGATTCATCGTTTCCTAAATGGCTTACACACGGAAAAAAATTCATTATACTTCCCGGAATCGTTCGAGGAAACGGCTATTTTAGTGAGCCTGTAGTCTAAAAATAATTGTAATATCCTTCAAAGTTGTTATTTTTAGCCAGTGCGTCCTTTTTGGGGGGAAGCCCAATCATTAATAAATGTTTCAACATGATAGATTTAGTTTACGATATGATTATCGTAATGAGAAGAACAAAAATAGCAAAAGTGGTAAATTTCCACCGAAAGACAAGATAATTTTTTATTTTCTATTAGCTTCTATCCTTTGTGATAATTGACTGAAAATAAATTATTCAAAAATTCGTATTAGACAACATTTAGGCCTACGAATGGCCGTGATAACTCCACAATAAAGAAATGAACAACTTATAACAACCAACCAAACAGAAGCAAGTAAACTAGAAAACAAACAGCAAAGGAAAGAAGCAAAAACAAGCGAGCGTTTGGAAACAAACAAACAAGTATGGCGGAATAGACAAGGCATCTTGGCAAACAAGAATTGAGTGTGAACATGACAGCCTAACCGACACACAAATAATAGGAAAGAAAACAAGTGAACAAGAAAATAAACAAACAAGCAAAACCAGAAAGCGAGCAAATAAACTAACAAATAAGCAATCCAATATGAAAATATATAACCTTGTGAATTGACGGCAGGTTTAATAATTTATCAACCAAATTCTAATATTTCCGGCATAAATAAGCGAAATTTCGGATGGAAGCTAAGCAGGCGGTATTACATAAGATTTCCTAGAAAAATCCAAAGATGCTAAAGACTCGGCTGACTTAACGGATTTGTTTGTAGAAAGCAAAGCATAAATTACGTTACATAAATAATTAAGGGTTAACGGCCCTGCATTACACAAAGCCTTCTATAATATTACCACCGCAGAAATTAAGGATCAAGTATAGAAAAAAACAAAACATCAGCAAAAAGATACGATCGAACGATATACGCATTAAAAATGTTGTCACTATATATAAATGTGCATACTTGCATGCATCTTCATATTGATATAAAATGCCATGTTTATTTATAATCTAACATTTATAGTACGCGCGTGCTGATTGGTCGAGAAGCGTGTTTCTATAACTGTATAGAAACACGGAAAATGTTTCCTATTTCTGAAATATAATTCTCATTTTAAAATTATCTTTGAGCCGTCAAAAGTTATTCGAATTGCATGTTGTTGTAAAGGACTTTGAAATCTAAATCTATATGTATTTGTTGGAGCATATTGTATCATGCACCTTTGTCGTTAACGACACAAGCGTTTTATATAGAGTATATTATGGGTGGGACTTTACGTTTGAAGCATTGGTTCGTTTAATCTTCCTCTTAATCATTCCTCTTAATCATTCATGATTTTGCATGCAGATATGGTTTTTAATCCCGGAACGTCGCAAATACGCCTCATTTTTAAACCTCCCAATAATGAGAAGTGAACTGACTGAGATCATCAAGAATACATGCCAAAGACGAAGTGAAGAATGTCAAATATGTTTAAAACTCACTGAAAGTTGCCCACATGGCTCGATTCAGTACTTATATGCCTGACACGTATTTCGAAATGGTTTCGTTACGAACGATAACGGTGAAACTGCATTTCCCGTGCTGGGCAGATGTAAATAACGATATGCTTGAATACAGAAAGGTTGAAACACTAAGGGCGCTTTCCTTTACGCGGCCAAAAAGGTCAGACCGGTCAAATTTTGAATTGAAATAGAATATTTCGTTAAGAATATAGCGGTGAAACTGCATTTCCCGTGCTAGCCGCTAGTAAGATGTAAATAACGATATAATTGAATGCAGAGTTCTTGAAACATTAAAAAATTAAAACAGTAATCTGTCTGTGCCGAAATACAACAGGACCGGATCTGGCCGTTTTTATCGTATAAAGGAAAGCACCCTTGGTTTGAATATCGAGCAGAATTCTCATCTTCCAAACGAATACTGATAAATTGAATTGATAACATGCATTGCTTGTTCCTATCGAACAAGACATTTCGCCCGAACAGACACGTCATAGTCGATCAGTTTAACTCGCAATTAAAATTTTACTTCAGTGAAAATTCTCATCAATCACTTTAAATCCTCAGTGACACGGCATTTTATTTAGAGCTATAAACAGAAATGTTGTGTCAGACCTGAAGTTTAATTACATGAAAACCCATCTAATAAAGCCTTCATTAACCACTTTTTCAGTCGCCGAGACGCAAATGTATTAGCTATACGTTGCGTCCATAATCAAACTTCCAAAATTATATCATTATCTAAATTTGATCAGAAATAGATTAATAATTCCTTTTCATGTTTAGCTACGAAAGATTGCAAACTGCCCGGCTGCCGCAATAAGTATCAAAATTAAAAAATTCAGATTTGATCTAGTTTACGATAATAAATAATTTAAAATAATAAATTACTTATTTTTATGAGTGGCTAAGAAATATATACAGGAAAAAGCGACGCTTCACAATCGCAATTTTGCCTGATGGACTATTTCGAACCCTTGCTGATCTAGAGAATTCAAGTCAATATCTCATCAATCAAATTCGTTTGACGTTTGTGTTTTCCCAATAAGCGAAAGGCAAAGCTGAATTGCTCTCGTTTTTAATTAAAAAATTAATTTTATTAATTCGCGGCATACTGTAGCAATTTGGCTCTTTATTGATGAAGAAAGCAACATTTTCTGAGCGTCGAACCGTTTTGGAATTAACATGCAGGAAATGTTTTCGCGTTTTTCAAAATAGCGGCGAATGTAAAAATTTAAATCTTAATGTTTCAATGACATTTTCACAAAGAAACTTTAATGACACTGTTTTTAAATAGCAAAGAGCGACAGAGATATTAATTAAAATTTGCTTCGCGTTCGTGGAAATCTGTTCAGAAAAGCCCCAAAACGTTTCAAAGTTTTCGAATTCCGTACGAATTTGTGAATGATGCACGTTTCAGCGACGAAAACGTAAACATTTCGTGGGCTGTTTTGAACGACAGCAAATTACAATCAAATTCGCGGCCCTTCGTGTTGGTTCAATAATTAATCTATAAAGCGACAAAAATGCAATTTAATTGAAATGAGTCCTCAAACATTATTATTTGAATCGACGGGGATCCGATATGCACGGCTATAGAAACTCGGTAAAATTTATGGCAGAATACCCCAATTACTCTGAATTATACGGCACCATAACCAATAGTTACATCGAGATTGTACTCACTTACTTTACTAGCGTTCGCTTCAGGCGAGCTCTGCTCCAGATTTGTTTTGTTTGAACAGCTAGATTCAGCATTTTTGGGGCTTCCTCCTGTCACATCGGGCGCCCTTTTACGAGTATCATGTACAAACATGTCGAGTGCCTACTTAAGGTGGAAATTCCAAGATCAAAATTAATTGCCACCAGAATTGGGATCCGACGAGGCGCGTGTAAAGATCAGTTTCACAAAAACGTTATCACACCACCGATTTAGACGAGCTGACTTGCCATGGCCGCCTTCCCAAATTTAATCTCGCATGCAAAGCAAAACGTCCGTATTGTACCGGCACTCGTCTTAATATTAAATAGTTTGTTTAATCAATCCTACCCCCTGTCAACTCAGAACTCATTATGTGTTTTGAATGTGAAGCAAATTAATCCTCGAGGGAGCCAGACAGCCAATCGCGTCGCATTGTGGTGGCGATAATCGCACGATGGAAAATAATTGATAAGGCATATTAATTGAAATATGTCATATCAACCAGCTGCGCTCCATTGCAAAGCAAGTTCAAAGCAATATTAAACCGGATTCATGCATGGGTTATTTCGGACTGGATGCAATATCTGGTTTGCAATTGCCATAGCTGCGAATAGATATCAATACCTGCGGTCTTTCATTGAGAATAAATTCCATCAACCTTTCATACAGAGCAAAATGGACTTGGAGGAATTCTGACCAAGTCTTAGAGATTGATGAAAATCGATTTCTCCGCCCGGAATCACAGCGTACTGATTGATATAAAGTTCTAGAATTGAATGAAATCGAAGTGGGACTAATAACTGAATGAATTTCGATGAATTGTCTGTCTGATGTGGATTAAATTTCATCATGAAATTCTAGAACTGGGTAAATTCTAGAACTGGGTCAATTTGAAAGAAGATGAATGACCAAGTCCTACATTTCGATAATAGCCCTATTGACATGGGCGATTAGATTTTTCCTTGGTAGTTAATTGTGGCAACTCTTGGCTTTTACATGCAAGCTGGGAAAAGTACGTTGTCATGTGGCTAGCAGTACAGCCACCAAAATATCATTTATTTATTGTTAAATTACTTTGCGCAAAATCCTGATTAAAGTGTGGACCGTTTTAATATCATAAGCACATATCCAAATTACAAATCACCATGGATTTTAGAAAAACTTTGAAAGAATGTTAAACACAAAAGATAACAATGACGAAAATAATCATTAATGACGCATCTAAGGTCAGATTTTATCGCTTTAGCTTCTGATATGAAATGAAGGGGTTATTCCAGAACTCTGCGATAACCAACCTTGAAAAGATATCTCAGGAGTGGGGGTCCGCATGCTTGTGTGGATACGGTTGGTTTTGTCTCGACGAGTCTTAAACGTAGAGTCAATTGTAAACGTATTTGTATTTCGACACTTGAGACAGACAGACCTCTCAATCATGAATTCTGTGTAGATTGTGACAAAAGATAGTATTCAACAATAAGCGACCGCAGTTAATGCCTGAATCATAGCTAAAAATTATAATCATATCTTAAACGTCTGTGGCAATGATTACTAGTGACATGGTTGGTATTCGCTCAACAATATTCATGCAGCGCGCGGGCATGATCTGTGTAAAAACGCAATACGGGCAGGTTATATCATCAAATTCCTATTATAGTTTAGGTAGGACTGAAAAACTCGAAACACAGCATGTTTATAACCATATAAAGATGAAACTATAGCAACGTATGGAAAACAAAATGCAATCCCTATTTTCGAGTGGGCTTATTATTATCAGTCATCTGTAGGAGATAGGAATGAGAAAGTTATAAAAATACTTAGCAGTTTAAGATAACAGCATGATGCTACTGGCACCATTGTCGGTGCTTGTCCGCCCACTCACTGGAAGTGTAAAGAGGAAAGGTCACCGTGAAAATTAAAATGATCAATGAAACCGGAGGTAACCTTACTGGTAAATACGGATATCAGAGTATAATAAAAAAAGGCCTTTTCCGGCAAGATACAATTTTGTTGGCTGCTCATATACATTGCAAGTTAACCGACAAGTTAAGTGAATTGGATCTGACAAAATTGGACTTCGAGGTGAACCAAATCTGAAGCAGATATCATCAGACAACAGTACAGTTAAACGGGAAAAGATGATTTTGAATCAACAAGAGGATCGTATGCAGACTGCACTCATTCAAATGGCACTAATCTAAAATAGCTCCCTATTTTAATTTTATTTATACCCAGGCTATAAATGCAAAGGCCGCGCTAATGAGGCCGAGCACAGGTAACATTGGTTGGTACCAGTGAACTTAAATAAGACTGGAATGCTCACTCTGTCTGTCAAAGCCAAGATGGCTGACACTGAAGCCTTTTTTGTAGGTACGATCCAGGCCTCCACGCGGAGATTTCGTAGGTAAAATGGCGGTAATTTTAATTATTTTTTCCTTTGAAATTTCCGCGCCAGAGGCCTGGATCATACATACAAGAAAGGCTTTATGATCCGCCATCCTAGCTTCACTCATAAATGAGAGAAAGTTGAGTGAGCTGAGAGTGAACGTTCCAGTCTTATTTTAGTTTACTGGTTGGTACTGGTTTACAATTTTTGTGTTGCCCGCGTGCTAATTAGTCTAATTAGTTTAATTAGTCTTTTTGTAAAATGTTTGATAATTTAAAAAAACAATAGCGGTTGGCGGGCATTTATGCCGGTAGGTTTATTTTGTCGCGATTCTTTTTAGTACAGTTTTGCAAACGCTAAACCACGCGGCCTCATAGTAAACTGAGTTCATATCCAGACTACTTTTGTCTACAATCAGGTGACTTTTTGAACTGTGCCCTTAAAATGGACTCGAATAAGCTTGGGGTTTTTTCCCGTAGTATAGCAGAAAATGGCTTCCAAAGCATCCTTTCAAAAACATAGAGCGAATGGCATGATGCAAAAGAAGAGCCTTTTGTTTGCTACCATTTCGATAATACAAACGCCTAATGTCAAAATCTAGTAAAGCTAGCGCAGTTTTGTTTAAAAAAAAACTATTTAAGCAGTGTAAATACGAAATTGTATACTACAGGAAACATAGTGATGTTTATCCGGTCGGGGATTGTAACCGCTGGTCATGTGTCGTGTTTTCTTCGATGTCAAAGTCAGTCTTCGAATGACAAAGAATTGTGCAAATTTACACGAAATACTTATATTGGAAAACGAAATATGCTATAGTATTATTTTCGCTGAGTAAAATTGGTAGGATATTAAGGATATCGGTATTTTATGCGCTGTTTCGATTGGGAAGACGATACTGTGGAGACACGCTGAGGATTTCATAAATTTCAATACAAGAGATACCATAAATGACTTGTTTATAACCAATATATCGTGTTTAATGCTGAAATATGTCGCAAGAAAGCGATATTCGTAGGTCCCAGGAGTATCAAAGTTTCAGATCAACTGTGCCAAAGCGAAAGGTAAGCTCTTCTTTATAGTACGATTAAAAATGTGGAGATCTGCTTACACAATTGTGAATTACACTGGACTATATGAACATATATAAATATACTTTGTCTATTAGTCTGATTTATAATTATTTTTGCAAACACTGACTACATTGATAATCTCCTGAAGAAATGTATATTATGGTTACACAAATATGAGTTTAGCTTAGGAAGCATGCTAAATATATAGGCACAAATTTGCTTGGCTTGTGAGATCAAAACTACTTGGCCATGTGATATTTATGTGTATCATACTCACTTACTACAAGAGGCAAGTTGACCATCATGACTAATGGTTTCTCAACCATCATGTCTCATGGTTGATCTGTCATTCACAAGTCTACAAGGCAATTCAACAACTTTACTACTACTTTCCATTGGAAAGACATTGTATGCCCAAAATATTTGTGTTTGTTCATGTAATACCATATTCCGATATAACATTGGTTAAGATGCACTATGTACACAAGTTTGCAGGTGAGAAATACACTACACTTTAAACAAGGCCTGTTAGAACCGACCACAGCGCCCAGGACAAATTGATGAGCCCCTGTCTTTTGCAATCAAGAAATATATTGCCAACTAATTGCTTGCCAGTCTCATCAATCAATCTAATTGTCTCTGAGATAGACAGTATCCGCACAATCCTCACTTGGAGTTGGAGGTGCATTGATAATGTATTGAAGTTTATGTATTTGGTTTGCAATTTACTATTAGGTGATTGTTGATCCCTCTTCTGAAAAGAGCTGGACAATTTACGACGCAGGACCAAGAAATGTCCGTTGTCCTTTGATATGCTTGCCGCCAGTGAGCGGAACTGCTGATGTTTTTTTTAAACAAATATTGTCCCTGACTAGTCTGGGTTATAGAGTGATTGCTGTAAGTTAAAAATCTTTCATAATAAAATATTTCACTGCCTTTTAATGGCTACAAAATATTACCCACTGCGGAAGCAATCCGTAATAGTGGAAACTGTGCCTGAAAGTTTGAATTTTCATTTGCTTTTAATGTCACTAAATTCACTGCTGATATCTATTGCTATTCTCAGGTGGAATATCCAGTCTATTGGACCTATGCTGAATGGGTTGAAGGCATGAAAAAATTGCTAGATTTTTTAAAATTAGACAAGGTATTGAGCATACAATCAATAGAAGTGAATACAGCATATTTATGGCATCGTACATCGTGAAGTTTCTCAAATTTACTTGTACTAATGTAGAATTTTTGAAACTTCATATTAAATTGAGCTTTTAAACAAGATTATGTTGCTTTTCATGACCATTAAGATGTGTTTTTAAAACTAGAGTTTGTCAAATTAGTTTTCAAAGCTTGAACTAAGTTAAACACTGACCTCATATTCAACATTTCCAGGTTCATTTCTTTGGTGCTTCTCTTGGTGGATTTCTTGCTCAGAAATTTGCTGAAGTGACCAGCAAAAGTCCCAGGACATGCTCCATTGTTTTGTGCAACTCCTTTGGTGACACAACTGTGTTTGAGAACACCTCAGTTGCATACATGTATGTTGGTTTCTGTACAGTTCAGAGCCTTTCAAACCATAAATTTATAACATGATTTGCTTAGAATATGCTAAGGCTTAACATACTTAAAAGCTTGTGGCACAACAAACTAATGTCTAGTAAGCAAATATGAAATTGTATTGAGCTGTTGAATTACTAAAATAACCAAATATTGCTTGCTTAAGAACAACATATTTCGATAAAACACACGAGTGCTTTTCAAGCTTAACTGGACTGTCATCGTTCCATTCAATTCCAGGCTCAGCCAGAATAAGGAGCGCACCAGAAGCGCCACTCGGTCTCCACGTTTTTGACGCGAAAAATGTTATTTACTAGTGAGAAAGCGGAACAGCCAACCAGTGCAGCGTGTTTATGGTCCTTAACTGGTTAGATGACATGCGCGGTGATCTTTGTGACCAAGTGTACGCCATTATTTTAGTGCCCAGGCTCTTTACCATGACTCGAGTATAGAGGTTGGCCTCTGGGATAAATCAGAGCTTGTATCTTTTTACCTTTGTTTTAGGTATTGGGCAATGCCTGGTTTTTATTTGAAAAAAATGGTGATGGAAAATTTCACGACGAAAGAGGTCGACCCAGATATTGCAGATTCAATCGATTTTATGGTGGAAAATGTACAGCAATTTTTTTTAATTTTTAAAACTTTTTTATTGGTAGTACTTTTAGTTCAAATCTTGTTCAACAATCACAAGTTACAGAACCGCACGTGGAATTATGCCTCTCATGTAACTGTGATGAATCATTAAACGGCTTGTAGACTTGTATAAAAACAATGATTAACTTATTATTACTTTTGTGTTTATTGCAGCTGGATGGCTTGGAGCGAAGTTCTCTAGCGTCGAGACTAACCTTGAACTGTTTAAGTTCATACGTCGAACCTCAGAAAATTGCAAATATACCCATGACGATCATTGATGTAAGTACAACCCCCCAAAATTCATGAGAACGTGAAGCAAACAAAATATTAATAAATTATGGTAACCCTGAAGCAAATGTTACTTGTAAAACCGAATACTCCTACAAACGTTCACAAAAAAAATTTTTTTTCTCATCTAAAAAATCCCACTAAATACGATCACAAATACTATACCTCGTGTAAATTGGGTGCTTAGCCAATTGTTTAAAGTTTCGTGTATTGAATAGGTGTTTGATGAATGTGCGTTGTCAGACCAGGTGAAGGAAAGTCTCTACAAATTATATCCTCATGCGAAGAGAGCGCATTTAAAATCAGGAGGGAATTTTCCGTACCTGTGTCGAAGTTCCGAAGTCAATCTCTATCTACAGGTAAACAGAAGAAACAGGTTTTTGAGATTGATTGTCCCCGAAGTTTCCCCGAAGTGTGCCCGAAGTAACATGCTCTTTCAAGTCAACCTTTTCAAGGCAATTAATAAAAAATATTGAAGTCATTTGATAACTAGTCCCAGTTCTTTCCTGCATTTTCCGATCACCTGGAAAAGTTTAGAATCTTCGGAATATTCAAATTCTCGGAAAGTTCTTTTAATGCACGACCTTTTTATGATTTGTTTAGATTCATTTGCGTCAATTTGCTCGCACGCGGTACTCGGCACTAGACCCCGAAGGAGCAGCTGACGAGGAGTTGATGTTCGTGATGAATGAAAAACCCACTTCAGAGACTGATTCCCTTGACGAGGATAACTAAAATAAACTGGCTGTGGATTGATTCCCTTGATGAGAATAACTAAAATAAATTGGCTGTAGGCAAAAACGTCGCGCGGCAATTGAATGTGTAGTGATTTAGTGTGATTTCATAGACCCGCAGATTCGAATATGGCAGAGGGAAGTCCAATAAAATAGGCTATTACTAGAAGAATCGCTGTGTATTTTTGGCAGTATCAGGTAGAGGTCTGGGGCCGGTTGTATCAAGTCCGTTTAGCTTAAACGGTGGTTAAGTTCAAAATAGAAAGCGCGTCCATCGTTTTAGTCAACAAGCAAACTAAATGTTTTTAACCTTAATACAAAGATACTGTTCACAACTACATATTCAGTGCATAATTCAAATTGATCCATTCACCGTTTAAGCTAAACGGGCTTGATACAACCAGTCCAAGATATATTTTAGTTCAAACGACGTAGCCCACTCCTTATACGGCAACTTCCCATGGTCTAAAATTCAGTGTGGATTTTGCGATCAGTTGTTGCAATAGTATTGTGATGTCAAATTGCTAAATGATCTATATATCTGAGTTCAGCAAAAATATAAAATAAAAGCTGAGTAGCCGCCTTTAGGGCTTTAAAGCCTGGTTGCATGATTCGGGTTAAAAATGGATTACTGATCAACGGCCAACGGGCAAAAAATTTGTATTGAAAGCGGTGTAATAAAGTGTCATTTTGATATATTGTTTAAATTCTGTCTAAAACTGCAATTTGTTTTCAGCGTTGTAAAAAAGCCGGAGGAGATTTATCAAAAAACGCCCCTGGTAAAAAAATGGTTTGGGTAATTCCGCCATTTTGAATATTAATAACCAGAACAAGCTTTGGCTGACCACAAACATAGGAGCCTGGAACGACTCGTTCCGAACGAGATACATACTCCGCCATTTTGACCTTTTTTACCATTGCAAAATTATGATAACAAACCAGCAGAAAACACACAAACGATTGCACATTTAACCATTTACATTTATATATTATCATTATTATGACTATTATCATTCTGGTGACCTGATCACAAGATTAATTTTACATCATAATCTATCAAATCAAGTGCATCTACCATTTCTAAATAACACCTAATATTCCCAGCTCCCGTGTTATTAATCCCTACTAAGTTAGTAAACATGATAAAATTTACAAACCTTGATTGAATGTGTACGAAATCTCATAAGTTGTCACAGCCACAAATATGTCTGAATTGACTAAGACTTGACCTCGCCATTAATATATCCTCTGCCGATGTTGATTGTAATATTTATATCATTCTTACTTCTGTTCAAAATAACGACACATTTCGAGCCATCGGGGAGCAAGAATGCCACGTATTCCAGTTCGTTTACCGTCGAAGAGGAAGTCATGTCAATTCGAAATGAACCAGGAAGGACAAATTTACTGAAGTGACCCAAATGGTAGTACATTGGCTGGAATAAACAAGGAAGAATTTGATATTCTGCTTCGTAGAAGACATAGGGGATTAGGCGTGTTTTAGACCAAAGTTACTGAATATATAAACATTGTTATTAGCGGCCATTTGGCCTTTATTCCTTTGTTTTATACAAAGAAAACAATGGTTATTACTAAGGTAGATTATACCATATAATGGTATATACGACCTACATTAATTTTTTTCATTACCAAGGTCAAGTATACCATATTCAGGTATATTCGACGGTTATTTAGACTTTTTTTATTACCAAGGTCGAGTATTCCGGCGGCATTTACTAATTTAAACTTATGTCAGTCATTCGACCAGTTAGAGTAACTTAGCCTGAACACAGCCCTTCCTTTCGCCCGCCTTAAAATTCGCGGGGAGACGCAAAGGCGAAACAAAGGTCGGAGGGAAAAGTGCTCAAAAGCGTATGGCTATTCACAGAAAGATGGCTATTGATTGGCTAACGTACATAACAAAGGATGTTTTGAAAGATCGTTGGCAATCTTCAGGAATTAGGTGAAATTGACAAATAGTATGCTTTTTATGTTTGAGTAAAGATTTTACGAATCACAGAAATGGTTGTGCTTGAATACGGCCAGTCAGCCAGTGTAACGATATTCGCGTGCGATATGTAGAAAAATAAAATGTCTCGGAATTCGACATCCAATCTACATCCAACCTTTTTAATACGGCGACAATTTTTTTATTACTAGTGAACACTTGCTTGTGAACTTTATATTGCCAAAACAAAAGGCACACTCCCCTAACATACTTCGTGAATGTTTACAGGTAACGATATTCGCACAATAATAAACAAGCTCAATTTCATTAATTTTTAGTTAAATGTGTCAATCATCAGCGTTAATTCTAAAAATAGCAAAGTGGAGGAACGCTTTTGACCACTTTTTCATCTGACCTTTGTTTCACCTTTGGTCTGTGTTCAGGCTAGAGTAACATTGATGGTTCGACTGATATACAACCATTTCCCTTGATTTTAGCATGCACCTTTTATGGCAGAATGATCTATATTTCATAGAATTTGGTTAATCAAGCATTTATTCTGATAATCATAAACATTCTTCATTCCTACCTGCTTATAGAAAACGTTACTTTCGCTGTTGACAATAATCGGTGAATCAACAAAATTCTTCACCCAGTTTGGTCCGCCTTCCATATTCAACGCCAGATTCCAGTCGGTCCAACCTGCGACCCAATGTTGGATGTCCTGTATATCAATCACAATAATAGGCCTTCAGTTTTGGTTATAGCCATACCACTCAAGGCAGGGAATACAAGCACTTTATCCATTTCATCCAACCATAATAACTTATCATTTAGAACAACACGATGTAAGACCACCACATTCCAGAAATCCTACTTAAATACACCAACTCTACTACTGCCAGCCATTTAACAGGCAATGACATTAGCAGGGACCGCGGAGCGGAGCGGAAAAAAATCGGTCTCTGAAATCGCCGCAAATGCCTCTCAATTTAAGGATTATTGGGAAATAATAGATGGTATGCAAAGTTTCCAGCATGTTTGGCGCTCATAACAAACATTAAACAATATAACCATGCTTTGGTTATGATGTCAAATATTTTGAAATGGATAACCACGCTGTTTTAATGGTCAAATGCTTGTCCTATGTCAAGTTTCCAGCATGTTTGGCGCTCATAACGAACATTAAACAATATAACCATGCTTTGGTTATGATGTCAAATATTTTGACATGGATATAACCACGCTGTTTTAATGGTCAAATGCTTGTCCTGTGTAAAGTTTCCAGCATGTTTGGCGCTCATATACAACATTAAACAATATAACCATGTATTGGTTATGATATCAAATATTTTTACATGGATAACCACGCTGTTTTAATGGTCAAATACTTGTCCTATGTAAAGTTTCCAGCATGTTTGGCGCTCATATACAAACATTAAACAATATAACATGCATGCTTTAGTTATATGATGTCAAATATTTTGACATGGATAACCATGCTGTTTTAATGGTCAAATGCTTGTCCAATGTAAAGCCGGTTTCCAGCATGTTTGGCGCTTGTATTGCTTGTAAATTTTAGCTTGTAAATTTGAGCTAACTAAAAAATATCCGAAATTAAAGACTAATTACGGAAAAATTATTGGTGGGGCTAAAGCGACAGCGGTCCCTGTATCGGTATGGGTATGTACTGAAAGAGTATAAATGTCTGAGCTAATTGAAGTGAGAGACAAAATTTTATTCAATAGGATTTTAGATGACCCTGAACATATTTTATATGAACTATTGCCTGAAGAAAGACATAGAATTTTAAGAAAACGCGATCATCCATTCATTTTACCAAAGGTCAAAACTGAAAGATTTAAGCGTTCCTTTATAAATAGACGTCTATTTGACTATTTTTAATATGTACTATTTTAAATTACTTTATTAATATCGTAAATACTATACTGTATATATTAGCTACCTTAAATTATTTTTGTAAAATAAAGTAATTAAATAATGTATATTGTATTTAAAATAGTTCAATCATGTAAAGACACCAACCTCGCAAGCCAGGCTCTTTTACTTACGCTCCACGGCCCAAGAGCCTGGCTTGCGAGGTTGGTAAAGACACACGTCTGTTGTGCCTAACGATTTCTTAATAAACAGATTTATAATAATAAACATGGAAACCTAAATGTTTGTGTTGTAATAAGTGTCGTAAACTGTCAGGTGATATCATGTTGTTATTAAGGCCTGTTTAAACGGGTGCAATTCGTTTGACCAAATTCGCATTGCAATGTTGTGACGACGACTCAAAGAGGCGCTTTATCTCAACTTTTGTTAACTAACTAGATTCGAGTAAACATCATGCATATAATGAATAGATCAAAAAGAAGTATGTCATCATTTTGTTTGACGCGTTGCATCTGTTTAAACTGGTCTTTAGTTTGTGTGTTTATCATTATATACGGCCGCTGTAATTATTGAAAGCTGTAGCGTGCACCTGGCCACCTCTGTATATCCGTATGTGTGTTTCCATATCCATGTCTTGTATATGTATTTATGTAAATGTACAGCATGTTCATTGGCAAAGTTAAATAAAATAAAATAAAATAAAATAAAAATAAAATAAAACCTATACGGGTGTCATTGCATGTAAACAAATGAAAATAATTAAATAAAAGCAATAGTAAATTGTTTCAATACCCGTGATACCTGAATAATTCGCTTTCACGAGACGCGGACTGTCTTTTGCTATTTTCGTCTACAAATAATATTTTCTCATCCAAATTCTATTAGAGTATTCTGGAAATCTCGTACTACAGATTGCATGTCGTGACAAGCAAATCTCGTACAGAGCAAACGGGAAATTGATATAAAGAAAAACAAAACGAATTATACCCAGGTAGATATTTTAATTTTTGAATACAATTGGCTTTAATCGAAATAATCAATGACCATTGTTTAAAAAAATCCATGCACCCCTGGTCAGGCTTTTGTGAGCATTTATGTAAGAACAAAGCTAATTGAAGAGACACGCAGAGAAATCTAGAAGATTAAATCTCGAAACGTCTGCACGTTACCTAGCAGCGAAAATTTTGAATTATAGTAGGTATTTTATAGTGAACTATACATATGACTATTTTCAATGTCTGAATCCGGAAGTACTTAATTATACTACAGGCCTGTATAGACCTGTATTACCCGGGTAAACAAAGAAAACAGCTGAAAAAAAATTGCTATATATATCCGATTTTTATTGAAAATTGTGTCCTGGCATGTGACGTCTGTGACGCATGTCTATTGGTTGTTTGCGAGGGCAAGAAACGATGATAAAGCAGAATTTGGTTCAGGAAATACGCAGTATTGTCTGAAATCGCTTCTGAAGACGTTTTGTGGTTAATGACTGGATAAGTCGTTGGTAAATACAACTCAGAAATAGGATAATTGCCTAGATTTGTTTTCTTTGTACTTTGAAGGTAGGCTTTCTTTTGACGGGATAATTTTTTTAGAATAAAACTTAAATTGTATCCTATTAATTCACGGCTGTCATTTTAAAGCCACTTTTTCTCAGGGGCTTTTTCATTCCATTTTCAAATGAGATTATGCGAGGAACGGGCGATGGCACTACTTCGTAGGTGAAAGATTCAGCACATATATACCTATAATCCTCGGGAGTTAGAACAAATTTCATTAAATTATTTATTTTAAGAATTTTGACTCTATGCGCTCTTATTGAACACAAACCAGAGTTTATGTAGAGGGCGATGAAATATATACTTATAAAGAATAGGGACCGAAAGAATAACTCTTAAAAATTTGAAAAGTAACATATATCAATATATTATTATGCCATGTCATATGCACACATTCGTAGAATGTATCAATTATATATGTGTACTAATATATATGTGTCTTGTAAAAGTTCAAAAGCCGAATCATTGCAAATATTGACTTTAAATTACAAAACCCAGAACGTTTACATATCCAATATATACTGAAATTATAAAGCAGCCACCAATTTACATAATTATATCAAGATAGATTTTTATCTTATGCAGCTTTTGTAAGGCGCGAGTTTACTGTTCGCTTTCAATGTAGAAATTCGTGGTCGTCGAATTGAATTATAAATAGTCCAGGCAATTACCAGGAAAACGTCGCAGCATGAGGCATGAACTTCAGAAAGCGCTTTTGGCAAAATTTGTTTCTGCGTGTTCATCAGCATTTCAACAGCAGGAAACTTACGCAAGCGAGTAAGATTGGGGTATAAATAAAAAAATAAGCAAAAACGTCGCCAATAAAGTTCTTTCTTCAATGTATCGAACACGTTTTAGAATCTTCTTACTGTTTCCTAACAATATATTATACTTTAAAATAAATCTTATAATTAGAGTATTATTTGCACGGATTTAAACAAACTTGCAATATAGCTATAGCCTATACACATGCCTTGACTAATAAATCGTGTTTATTACTGAATGTCTGATCGTTATTATATCGAGTATTTCAGCGTTGTATGTTCCATAAATGTTAATGATTGAACACTAATGTTAATGATTGAACACACTTTGTGCCAAAATAATTTTATTCACAAAAATGTGGATCAAATGTAGGAAGTTATAATTTGGTATAAAGTGTCATGTCTTGGATAAAAAAGTCTGGTGCTTTTTGTATGTTTGTCAACGATTCAGGCAGTGGTATCTATCTACATTTGAAACGAGGCAATCTGATCAGTTGTAGTTGCACAACAAAGAACAAGGATAGAAAATGAAACTATCCTTGTTCTTTGTTATGCAAATAAACTTGGAAATCATGCATATTTCAAACATTCTACAGACTTGCTTGGTAATTCCACTATGCATCGTTGTATTTTCATCTTCACACACTCTCATTGGTTATCGACCCAATTCAATTGCGCCGCCATTATGATGAAATAGACCATAGAAGACAACGATATATACTAAAGGCGTTCGCGGAATAAATGTTTGCAATTTTGAAAAACAAATCCCACGAAACAACATTTTGTGTCTGTCGAGGCTGAATTTTCCCGCGGTGTAAAATATCAAGTCTAATTTAAATCTATTTGATGGATTTATAAATAATTTTATTCACAAAAATGTGGATCAAATGTAAGAAGTTATAATTTGATATGAAGTGTCATGTCATGGATAAAAAAGACTGGTGCTTTTGTATGTTTGTCTACGATTCAGGCAGTGGTATCTATCTACATTTGAAACGAGGCAATCTCATCAGTTGTAGTTGCACCAACAAAGAACAAGGGTAGAAAATGAAACTATCCTTGTTCTTTGTAATGCAAATAAACTTGGAAATCAGCCATATTTCAAACATTCTACAGACTTGCTTGGTAATTCCACTATGCATCGTTGTATTTTCATCTTCACACACTCTCATTGGTTATCGACCCAATTCAGTTGCGCCGCCATTATGGTGAAATAAACCATAGAAGACAACGATATATATAAAGACGTTCGCGGAATAAATGTTTGCAATTTTGAAAAACAAATCCCATGAAACAACATTTTGTGTCTGTCGAGGTTGAGTTTTTCTACTGGTGTAAAATATCAAGTCTAATTTAAATCTATTTGATAGATTTATAATCGGAAATCATTTTTACAATCACCTAAATACGCCACTGAACGTTCGTTCAGACGATGTGTCAAAGAGCTCGAAAGGACACCACAGACACCACAGATGACGTAATTTCCGTAAGTATTCGTATGAACGAAACTTGAATCTGTTAGATGCTATAAATTCGACATACACAGGGGTAGACATGTATGATTTATTATTGTTGCAGCTCAGTAATAAATATGAAATAACTTATAAGTGTAAATGATTAAATGAATGCAGTATTATTACTGCAATGTTTGTTTTCGGAGTAAACTTTGACCTCGGCACTAGACATTGTCAATAAAGGATCATTCGATGATAGAGTGTAAACATAAGATATGATTCTGATTGCCTCATCCGGGTTGAGAACCCTACCAGTCAGTGATGGGATTGTTATTTGGAATAGTTCACAGGTAAGAAATCTATACATTTGCACTTACCTCAATAATACTGTGACTGTATCTTTCTCCTCGTTCCCAACTCCCCAGAAGAGGACCTCGCGTCTCCAAAGAACTAAACCCCGTACAAGCTTCTGTGTGAATAAAATATTCTAGATGACTATAAAATATAACGATAAAGAAAATGTATTAGCTGAGACCAAGTTTATTTTAAGAAGATCGCAGTTTAGGAACATTTTTTACATTCTTTTCAGTCCGAATTCTCATCGGAGCATACTTTGGATTTGTAATTTGAAAGGACTATTAAAATGTCACTATACTAAAATATAGTATATCAAATGAGAAAATAATCGTACTATAGGCCAAAATGATATACGATATACTCCAACATGAAATATGATATATTACATAGTCGCATAGTTTCCATATGATAACCAATTGTAATAGATGTTATTCGAATCTGAAACACTCGTTATTCGCTTATTATATCCAAATGTGATATATGATATTATATAGGATATTAATAACACGGTGTAATGTTCTGTTTATTATATGGACTAAATTCAGAGTGACAAAAATTAGCAAAAAGACTACAAGTAAATCAGCCGCGAAAGACCATTATAAAAGCGCATATTTTTTAAATTATGGCCTAAAAATTCAAGTAGAAAAAACTTTACTTATCTAAAGATGTCTTTTAAGTGTTTTCGTTTGTATTTCCAACGTTAATTTCGTTTTATATACGAAATAAGAAAATGGCGGGAAAATTTTCGAAACTCGCTATGTCACCCTTAAAAATGACATACGGAAAATATCCGCATTGTACCCCAGATGTAGTGGCGTATGAGTTCTACGAGTGTTTTAGTTCTTAGTAAAATACCCCCATCTACCTCTATATAATAAATCCAAATATGACATTCCATAATTCATTTAATTCCCCTAAGAATTCCACTGACGCAGTCATCAAATTACCTGTTATGAAGATCGCTCAGAAATAACGCTGGCAGAATAAAATCCTGATAACTAGTCCCAGTTCTTCTTTCCTGCGTTTTCTGATCACGTGGAAAAGTTTGGAATCTTCGGAATAATCGAATTCTCGGAAAGTTCTTCTAATGCACGACCTTTTTATGACTTTGTTTAGATTCATTTGCGTCAATTTGCCCGCACGCGGTACTCGGCCGTAGACCCCGAAGGAGCAGCTGACGAGGAGTTGATGTTTGTGATGAATGAAAAACCGACTTCGGAGACTGATTCCCTTGACGAGGATAACTAAAATAAACTGGCTGTGGATTGAATCCCTTGATGAGAATAACTAAAATAAATTAGCTGCAGGCAAAAACGTCGCGCGGCAATTGAATGTGTAGTGTGATTTCATAGACCGATAAAATAGGCTAATACTAGAAGAATCACTGTGTATTTTGGTAGTATTAGGTAGAGGTCTGATAAATATACGGCAATTTCCCATGGTCTAAAATTGTTTGTGCTTGCACATATTAAAACGTGGATGACGTTATCCAGTGTGGATTGTGCGATCAGTTGTTGCAATATAGTATTGTGATGTCATACAAACACGCTTTATTAAGTTAGGCATTGATACAAATTATAAACCTGGATTGCGAGTTTCAATAGTTCGAAAATAGTGATTACTTCATGTCCAGAATCCACGAATATAGTCCTTAATTCGAATAATTTAGTATAGGTAGTTGGGTGAGGTTTAGGATTAAAAGTTAGGATTATATTCGTGGATTCTAGACTTGAAATTATTACCATGAAAATCAAGATCACCATCTTGATTGGGCACTGATCTATATATACGGAAAGTGTAATAAAGTGTCATTTTGATACATTGTTTATTTCTGTCTAAAACTGCAATTCGTTCTCAGCGTTGTAAAAAAGGCCGCGAATATTTATCAAAAAACGTCTGTGGTGAGTGTATTAAAGCTAACAAACCAATCACCAATTTAGACGAATTTCTAATTTTAACACTTCCCCTCCCAGACCTTTTTCCCTATCGTAAGCCCAGAACTTTTAATTTGAGATTTACAGTGGGCGCATACTTGTTGATACATTCGCTTTTTCGCGCCTCTGCTTTGCAACTTCAAAATATTTCGTTCAATCTAAGTCTTAAAAGACGTGGCATTTTTATCTTTTTTCCCAGGCTATCTTATGCTCTTTTCTATTATGTACGTTTTCAACCTTGTTGTCTTTTTCACCATAATTTTTATAACGGTTTTTTAACAGTTTTTCACAATTATCGGCGCATAAAAATAGTTGGGATAAATCCGCCATTTTGAATATTAATAACCAAAACATGCTTTGGCTGACCATAGCATAGGAGCCTGGAACGAGATAAATACTCCGCCATTTTGACTTTTTTGTACTATTGCAAAGATATGATAACAAACCAGCACAAAACACACAAACAATTGCACATTTAACAATTTACATTTATATATTATGACTATTATCACTCTGGTGACCTGGTCACAAGATTAATTTTACATCATAACCTATCAAATCAATTGCATCTACCATTACCAAATAACACCAGCTCCTGTGTTATTAATCCCTCCTAAGTTAGTAATCATGATAAAATTTACAAACCTTGATTGCATGTGTACGAAATCTCATAAGTTGTCACGGCCACAAATATGTTTGTATTGACGAAGACTTGATCTCGCCATTAATATATCCTCTGCCAATGTTGATTGTAATTTTTATATCATTCTTACTTCTGTTCAAAATAACGACACATTTCGAGCCATCGGGGAGCAAAAATGCTACGTATTCCAGTTCGTTTACCGTCGAAGAGGAAGTCATGTCAATTCGAAATGAACCAGGAAGGACAAATTTACTGAAGTGACCCAAATGGTAGTACATTGGCTGGAATAAACAAGGAAGAATTTAAAATTTTGTTTTGTACAGGCCATAGGGGATTAGGCGTGTTGTAGTCTTGTAGACCAAATAAATATTGCTATTAGCGGCCAAGGGGGCTTTCATTCCTTTATTTTAAACAAAGAAAACAATGGGCATGTCAATAATATCGGGCTTATTTATTTAGAAATATACCAACCCTGTTGCAGATGTGCGGATTCGAATGCGTGATCCCTTTTATTACTGGCCCGATTTATCAGTACTGGAGATGGATGATCCGCCGAGGCGAACTTAGGGCCTGTTTATATGGAGCCGAGTTACCCGCTAACCGAGTTACTCGGCAGGACCGAGTTCTCGCCTGTTCTATATATTGTATGGATATCTCGGTTGACTGTTTATATGGCGCATCCGAGTAACTCGGCGTGCCGAGTTCTCGGCAAACTGTGCCGGGTTTTCGGCAAGGCGAGTTACTCGGTTATACCATGTAAACACTTTGCAACGGGAAACTCGGCTAGGCGAGTAGAATATTCGCCAAACACGCATGCGCGTTTACGTTTCATTTACCACCATTGTAAAAACCTTTTTGAAATTTCCCGCTCTACATAGTAAGTACGTCATGTAATTACAATGTACCGTAACAAATGCCGAGTTACCCGGTTCCATATAAACACAATACCGTTTTGTCCCGGCAAGGTGAGTAACTCGGTTACCCGGGTAACTCGGCTCCATGTAAACAGGCCCTCAGGCAAGCAAAAGTTTTTCTTCCAGTTTGTCTGTGTTACGCACGGATAAACAAATCACAGATGGATGATCTGTAAACACGAATTATTTAAATGGTTCGTCTATTTGGACGAATGTGAATGGGCAATTCGTCTTGTCGCATCATCGGCATTTCGCACAATAGTGAATTCAAACAAAAGGAATCCCCGACTCTTTGGACAAGTGTGAATCAGGCTTAAATCCTAACAATTCGGAAACATTGTATTTTTTCTCACAGAGAAAGCATTTTGCCCACTAGTGCGTACAGTGGACAAGTGCGAACAAGGATTTACATGGGGGTTTGCATAAAGAGGTAGTGAACTTTTAACCATATAGTGGCAAGTTTACTATGCTTTCACGACCAAAAATGTAGTAATTATCCCATGGCATTCATATTATAACAACGGTATCAGTGATTTGCATCACTCATTTTGGTATCCAAAAGAATTGTATTTCATCATATTTAAGAATTGAGCATCATGAACATTCTTCATTCCTACCTGCTTATAGAAAACGTTATCTTCGCTGTCGACAATAATCGGTGAATCAACGAAATTCTTCACCCAGTTTGGTCCGCCTTCCATGTTTAACGCGAGATTCCAGTCTGTCCAACCTGCGACCCAATGTTGGAAATCCTAGAATTAGCAAAGGAAATTCCTTTAAAATAATTTTAAAAACAATGAAAATCAATGTTTAACATATAGAAACTAGATAAGTTCCAATATAACCAAGGAGCAGCGTGGCAGCGTCTTCAAATAACTTAGGATCAAATGTCACTGGTACAACAACTGCCAAAAAGACAAAACACTTCTCGACGTTTCGACCTGAGGGCCTTCGTCAGGAGAGTTAGTATGAAAATAAATAGGGGAGAATACATGTTTTGTATGGGGGCAAAGCACGTGATAAAAATGGGCCAATAGAAAACCAATGAGAGTTGAGAACGAGAGTTGATTACCGCGCGCATTAATTTCGTCATTACTCCACTTCGTTTTGCTATTTTTTTTTGCTGCCCGTTGTTTTCAGAAGATTTCTTTTTTTTTGCAAAAAAAATGCAAACCGCTGGCGGTTTTCCAACTTTAATCAACTCTCATGACCGATCAAACGCGCCCAAACTCTCATCAACTCTCATCAAAGTTTGAACCAGTTCAAAGTCGATGAGAGTTGATGAGAGTGCGCGAGAGTGTATGAGAGTTCGCGGTCAAACGCAAGCGAGAGTTGCAACTCTCATCAACTCTCATCAACTATCACTCTCGTTTGACCAGGGCTTAATATGTTTTCGTTGCTGATCAGACTAGTAATTCCCTCATTGCGGGCTATTCTTAGCCCACAATCAGGCGCCATGTATTCCAATTTGTTTTGATTTTTTGTTTTCTATTGGCCCATTTTTATTGAAATATTGGACATGCACGTGACCTCCTTGGCGAATTATAATTGGTTAATTGATTATGGCGTGGGGGTAAAAAGTTTTTAGGTGAAGAGAATACGCAGTTACGCTTTTACGACGGAGCGTCGAAATATCTTTTGAAAACGTTCTGGAGGTTAATCGTCTATGAAGGTATTTTATTATGAATGATATGCAATACTTAGAAATGTTTTATGCGTGTATGGAAAAGTATGAATTATTCTCACAGGAATATTGTTGCTACTAGATTACTGCTTTAAATTGTATACTCACTGATATATACCCGCTCTCAAAGCTTTTTTCCTCAGATGGAGAATGCACCGATTTCAAATACACTAATGTGACAGATTCTCGGCCTATATTTTTACACAGGAATATATTTCGCTAGATTTTCATAAATTATTATAAGAAATTTCGGTGAAATGTGTTCTCATGCATTGC